GTTTAGGGTAGGGTGTTTCATAATGAAATAAGTCAGAAATGATGGGTACTACACGCCCTTAACGGATCTAGCACGACTTTTCCTGTAACCCTGTATATATATAATTCGATCCATTTCGACCTTAAAACTCCAACACCGCATTTTATTTCCTATAATTTGTATGACTTTTTATTTTGAGAACATCCAAGGAACCGATCCATTTGACCAGACATACTTACTGTAGAATGAATATACAGTTTTCACGCCACGTTTATAGTTGTAGTCACCGTTCTTGGCGGTTACGTCATCAACGCCATATGAAATAAGTAAACAGATCGAATCTCCGTACCATGGGCGCAGACTAATCTTCAGCGCATCTGGTACTCTCTCCAGTACGCATGAAGCGGGTAACAAGGGACCGCTGTTTTCATCCCCTTCCTGGAAATACTCTAATAAATTTAGCACGAGCTGTCGGCCTTTTCCATTGATCGTATTTCCGGGCATTGTACAATTTTATGTTTAAGATTGATAACAGGACAATGTCAAGTAAGTTTTCGCTCTGACAAATATGATTGAAGGGCACTCATGCGTAACGACAAAGTGTCTGAGTCGGAGACACAAACGTATCGTCGTCCGTACCGCAAACAGGCGTAACTGATTTTATATAAATTTTCAGTAGAAGCGAAATGAATATCGACAGTTATTTGATTTCGTATATCTTTACTACTTTAGACAATATGAGCATAATTTCTTCCAATAACATAGCTAAACAGTGTGTTCATCATCTTCTGAGAAGTATATAGAGGAAAGGAAATTCATATTCTCAGCTAAACATTTTTTTATATTTTTTTTTCCAGATACGCCTCTTTGCGGTAACCTTGACAATTACAATAGTCTAGCGGTTTGAAGATACGACTTTCACTCCATATGGAATAAAATTAGATTAAATAAAAAAACACCTTATTCTCAGATGTAGGTAATACTCAAGCAACTCAAGGATAATACAGAACAAAAATAAGAAGATGATTTCATACAAAAACATTTATGGCTGGTCCTCATGAGGTAGTGAATCATAAAAACGTTGATGTTCTGGTAGAGTGATGGCAGGCCTATCGCCTTGGCAAAGTGAGGTCAAATCATTATATTTTTTATTTGTGATTTTTCATAGGTCGCTATTCAGAGGAGACAGCTCTTTTTTTTAAAATATCGGAAACATTTCTTTTCAAGGTTATGGACCTGTAGTTTGTTTGCTTATGGCTAGTCTTGAAATAGATTTTGTTGCAATTATCACTTGTCACATTGAATTCCATCATGTTTTTCCAATTCACATCCATGTCTTTATCATCTTTTCGAATAGATAATACTCTTAAGTCTGATGCGAGTTTTTTGGGGTCAAAAAAATTACGATAGTCTAAGGGACGAACCTTATATGGCTGTTTCTTCCTTGCTAATGCATAGACTGGCAATAACTGGCTCGGCACAATAATTTCACCTGCATTTTTCAAAGCGTAACTATTGCACTATGTGCTGAATCGCCTTCATTTTGTCCATGACAAGAGGCAAAAATTTTTAACGATATCTCTTTAACGTTTGAGCAATTACTGACAAGATATAAAAGAGTGGTAGCCATTATCGAATTCTTATTTTGGCCACTACAACCATCAGCAAATAAGTCAACAGTATTGTAGCCTTGTTTGTGTTTTTCGGAAATAAATAAATAAACAGCAGTCGATATTTCCGAGCTACCACGTCTACTTTCAGTCTCACTCCATGTATAACAAAAACATTCTCGAGATGCTACTTCATAGATAGTTAGATTGTAGACAGCAAGCCGTGTTTTATAAAATACGGAATAATGATTAGAAATTTTTAAGTATATAACTTGTTGGAGATCAGACGTAGCACCTTTGTATCATTTTTAGCTTTTTCTTTGCAGCTATTCTTTATTTCTCTTACCGTTTCCTTTTCTAAAATATGGGCCAAGTACTCCTTTTCCAAATTAGCCTTTACTTCTTCCGATCCTTCTCTGTAACACTTGCAAAGACCACATTGATCTTTTTTTGGTTTGTGAAATGAGAAGTTCATGGATCTGAAAATTTTTCTATACAAAGAAACACTTCCCTTTGTTTGTTGATCTTCCAGTTTGTACATGTGATACATTGTACTCAGAGATAAATCTTCATGTAGGTATTGTTTAGTTGAGGACTTCCGGCAGTAATGTGACTCTACTCTGGGGAACCTATTTATGTGCTCTATAATACTTTTTCTAATGACTATGTCTCTTGATGATTGTAACTCCCGTCGACCTCCACGATTTTCTTTTTCTAGCACACTCGTTATTCTATTCAATTTCTTTATTGCGGTTCTGCAAACTTTCTCACTTATCCCAAGGGTCCCAAGGAACATTTTTTAACAAACTAATTGTCGGATACCTTCTAGAGGTAAGAAAAAATAATGTGTTTGCTAACGGCGTGGAGCATTGCTATTTGTAGTTCTATGTTTTGGGTTTTCAGATAATACAAAAGCGCTTTCTCCTTCACAATTTTCTTAGTTACAGGCGAAATATATGTTTCGCCTTGATTCCTCAACGTTTTTGCAATTCTTCTTTTATCTTCTTTGACTTTTTTTTCCTATCACCTTCTGCCTGGGAACCTTCTACAAAAAAATCTTCAGGGCGCCTCTCTTCCTGTTTCTCTTTGCTAAGTACACTGCTCTGTACTGTCCTGTGTCCGTCCTGGCAGGATAGGGTATCATCTTCAAAATGCTTCCAACATAACAAAATTGAGTATTGAAAGCAGGAACTGAACACATCTCCTTTACAGCTTTTAACTTCACAAGTTTGATGATAGTCCGGATCTTCCGGATTATAAATCTCGGCTGCAGCAAAGGGATCGCTTTCAGATGAGGTGTGACTCAATTCGGACAAAATGTATTCTGTAAGTCAAAAGGACATATCTTAGTTACCACTGAGAGAGTAGCAAAAAATGGACACCGCATGTAGGCGTATCTTCATTTACGCCTATTTGCGGTGTATTGTATTTCATTTCTGAGAGATACGACGTTTAGTTTTATGCTGATATCTCTATGAGCGAACTACTTAGCGTTACGCCACTTTGCGGGATTGAAGATATGCTATACCTTGTTGATTTGAATCCGTTAACTCGAATTTGATTTTTTGTCAGATACGCCTGTCTGCGGTATGAACGACGGTATGTCTTTGAGCTTACCTAACTAACGCTCACACAGGGGTCGGTTGCATCTGCATGTATGAGGGAGATGGAGACATATATATATATATATACGAGCGCCATCCCACTTCAGTTGTCCCACCTCAAGATTTGTACCAAAATATGCCTTTATAAACTAAACATGATGAAACTATTTACTTCTAAAACAATTTATTTTCTCAAAAACATTTTAGATACACTCTAGTCGTAAAAAATACAGATTTGAAATCACTTAGACCTATAACTAATAGAACATCTGAACAAATAAACAATGTGCGAATAAATGCGCGAAGTTAACAAAGCAACAATTGAAACATTACCATTGGGTAACATCACCTTTATTTTTTATTACGGCTGAAATTCTTTGGGGCATAGTGTTAACCATGTTTTGGCAAAAATTTGGTGTAAAACAATCCCATATTTCTTGATGCTTTTGTCTCAGTTCGGTGATTGTACGAGCAGGATGTTGTCGTATAACCTTTTTTATCTCATACCACAAAGTTTCAATAGGTGACAGATCTGTACTGCTAGAAAACCATTTCAAAAGTGGTACATTATTTTCTTCCATCCATTTTATAGCCTTTTCGAGGTATGACACACTGCACCATCTTGCTGAAACACAAAATCTTGGCCAGATGTCAAACATTCTTCCATCACTGGTAAAAGCGATTCTTCTAAAATTGCCAAATATTTGTTTGTATCCCCATTTCCATCAATAAAATGAACTTTTCTTACTCCTTTTGATGACGTACTACCCCAGACCATAATGGATGCTGGAAATTTCACTGTTCTCTTCAGACAGTCAACATGGAATGCTTCATTTTTTTTTGCGAATTGCACACCATTGTTGAGGTGTCCATTGTCTATGTTCTTTAGCCCATCTAAGCCGATTTTTCTTTTGCAGTGGAGTTAATAGTGGCTTTTCTTTGACCTATAAACAAGTTGTTCAACTTTAGGGTTATTACTTCACTTTTTTTTATAAGAAAACTTACCTTGCAAGTGTTAAATCCCAGTTTGTGGGCCTCTCGATGAGTTGTGGACCTCGAAATTCTCCTTCCAACAGCGTCACTCCACAGAGCACTTAATTGTAAATAATTGGCACGCCTGTTTTTCACGATTATTCTTCTTAATGCTCTTCGGTCGGCATTTGTGATATTACTTTTTTTCACATATCGTGGCGTAATATTAACTGAACCAGTTACGTTATATCTTCTAACAATATTTCTCACACTGTACCGCGATAAGTCTAACAAAGTTGCAATTTCTGAGTTTGATTTCCCAGAATTAAAAAATTTAATTATCAGTAACCGAATTTTCTCACTAATAACCTTTCCTCTACCCATTTTGAAAACCTTAACTACCCAAAACTATTTTAAACGTATTCTGACAGCTGTGATTAATAAAAACAATTGTCATGGCTTTTATTTTTCACAGCCACCTATGCGTTATAGACTTATTTTGCATTGAAATGAAAATAGGTTGATATGCTGTAATTGCAACATGTGTTATTTTTATGCTGCAAATTTGATTAGGGAGTGATAAAGTTTGTGTTTTCTACTATATATGATCAAAATATTCATTGTTTATATTTTAAACCTATAACACCGTGCTACATTTTTATTATTTGTGTTTGATAAGAAAAAAACTAAGATTTCAATAGTTGGGCCAACTGAAGTAGGAAGGGGCTCGTATATATATAAAGAGATACTGGGAGTCTTACTTTGACCCGCCAAGAACGTTGAATAGAACTATAGCACTGACGGAAAGATATTACATTGAGTTTTGAAAAATGAACTAGTTACCTGGGTACTTCCTCTTATGCTCTTCACTGATAGTGTTGGCCTTTTCGAAATAAACCGCCTTCTTCTTAAGGTCTAACTGCTTCCACGTCTTGCCCAACTTTTTGCTAATCTCCTTATTCGAATCGGCGGGATACTGTTGAGCCATGATCTTTCTGTGTTCATTTGCATACAACATGAACGCGTTAGGCGGTCTAGGAATTTTCAGTTTCAAGTCTTGTTTGACGACCATTGAATTTTCGGTATCTACGAGTACATTTTGACAGATTTTTAAGAGTTTCGGTAGGTGTGTTTGACCGCACCGTGTTTTCACTTGAATAGTCCGTTCAATTGCTACGTTCTTTATTGCACATACATGTTAAAATACCCTGCTAAGCAGAAGTAAACTGTTTATAAAATTAGCACGCAAACTGAAGACAATTATGTTTCAAACTGTCTTACACGAGTTAGTATGCAGCATGTGCTAAATGTTTGCATTATTGATGACTGCATGACTATCAAATAAGTAGATCACGTAATCCAGTTTCTTTACGAAGAAATATAATCCCTGGACCTTTTTTCTAAAAGTATTGATACAGTGCAGTCTCTTTTAGAAATCCCGTACGATTGAAACGACTGCAAGTTCAAAATGTTGGAAAATAAACTCGAGAAAATGAAAAAACGGTAGACAAATATCAATCAATTGTAGCGCACTGATCATCTGAAAAGGTAGGCAAAATGCTCGGTATTAGTCCCTAATACATTATTTAAAGTTTCAGCATTGTTTCTTGTATAGTCTTCAATAACATTCTAATTTTTTATAACATATTTGATATTCCTCCAACGTTCGCTTGACCTATGTTAGTGTCAAGTATAATGGTATAAAGATCGAGTAAACCAAGATATGTCGTAGTGTAATAGGAAAGACCGCAGGACGGACGTTCGAATCCACAAAGCTCCTTTTTTTCTATTTTTCTTTTAATTTAGAGAAATAAATGCGTTTTCACATTATGTGTCCTTTTATTGCGAGCAAACAGTTTTTAGCACGCCATAGACAATGTAAGCTTACAGACAGGAAACCAGCGGTATACGTATGATTGTTTACAATTTGTTTTCATATCACTTTGATAAAAATCCAGAAACACTATGTCGGATCATAGTAGATAGTTTTTGAAAACATTTATCTTAGATGTGTAAATTATTAACCAACAATAATGGAAGACATCCGAAATTTTGCTTGTGATAATACTCTCAGGTTTTCAATACCCGGTCAAATTGGCTACCTCTTGGAGCCGCAGAGGATGCTTATAAAATTAAGTGAGCTAACCCACAGTTTTTGAATTTATCAAGCTACTGTTGAGCGTAGATGCTCATTTCATCAACAGCGTAGACATTTTTTGTATAGTTTGTATTTTAGTATTATGGCAGCATAACGCAAAAGTAATCTCTCTTTTCAAAGCAATACCATTTCAATATATTGTTAGGCTTCAACAGTTGGAATGAATTACTTTAAATAAAATTATTAGGATCAATTTTTTTAATGCGAAATCATGCTTATATAGTATCTCAATAGGTATGTATGCGGAAAGTAGTTCTTTTAACATCAGAAATGCTAACTTCGATCAACATCAGCTAGCTGTCGTTTGAGGAAAGCGTAGTATCTGTTTACAATAATGTCGAGGTTACTCTACATGCTCATTGTGTAAAAAATAATATTACTTTAACAACAAGAAGGAACGATTGGGAAACTTTATTTGCCCAATACAAAAACCCACCGCCTTACGTTGCCGCTAAATCAACAATTATTCCAATTTACTCATAAACTTGCAATTCAAATACCTTTTAACGCTTCTTTGTGGAAACGAAGTCATACATATGGAATAGACGACATTACAACCGACATTGAAGCTGCGTACCTAATATTATTTAGAAGCTGAAAATCTAAAGGGTAATACAAAAATGAGGAAACAAAGGAGCATGGTTATTATTTATAATGACACGTAATGCGTGCGGAAAAGTGCTACTTTCTACATGCAGAAGCGTGTTCGTAAAAAGAATTTTTTTCTCCAAATTTAAAAAAAAAAATAATAGAAAAAAGGAGCTTTGTGCATTCGTTACTCCATCCTGCGGTTATGCAATCTTTACTCCTTCCCATTACACTACCACGCCTCTTGGTTTACTGGATCTTTATACCACTATACTTGACACTGACAACTGTCAAGCGAAAGTTGGAGGCATATCAAATCTGTTATGAACAATTAGAGTACTCTTGAAAACTATTCAAGGTACAATGCCGAAAATTTAAATAATCTGTTAGGGACTAATGCCGAGCACTTTGCCTTATTTTTCAGACCGTCAGGTCGCTACAATTGGTTGATATTGCTCTGGCTTAGAGTTATTAGGTTCGATGTGACAATTTGGTACTTTTGTAAATCATTCCTTTTGAAGTTCTATGATAACTATGCTTCGTAATGTTCCGGATTCCAGAGTTCTATGTTTTTCTACTTTGAAAATATAGGACATTATTTCATAAGACTATGCAGCAATATTATATGTATCTTATAAGTTACAAAGACCCATGTTCACCATAGAACTTAATGATCTTAATATTTTATTCTTTAATATTACTCCAAAGTTGTATGGAACATAGAACTTTGTTGCACCATTCAATGCTTATTTTTGTGAAGGCTACATGAAACTTTGCTTCTTATGTTCATGTTGTAATAACATGGTAGTAGTGGATGTTTTTAGTTTAAGTAAGGTATTTAACTAAAGTAAACATGATGAATATAGAGTCTGATGATCAAGATCCTTTTGGTGGTTATGATAAAAGAAAAGGTACAGATATAGCTAGTGCTCTTTGTAAAATTTTGTCATATGTAATGAGGGATCATCCTAACATAAAGTACCCTATGGAGTGACAGCTGTGTCCCTCAGAACAGGAATTCTATAATTTCGTTCGCTATCACACACAGTTTCTTTGGCAAATGGATAACTCGCAGAGTATAACTATTACTCCAATCTAGGTCACTCTTGTGCTCAGGAAGTTGATTCTGTTCAGTGCAATAGAAAGAGTACTTAGCAAAGTGGAATATTACAGCCCACTCTCGCTCATTAGGGTTCTTCTTAATGTTAGCAGCCACAAGTTATACAAAGTTATTCAAATCTGACTAGGTGATTTGAAGTCTTACCAGAGTTTGTCTTCTAAAATTCGATATGAGAAAGTACATTTTTCAAAAGTTAAACAGTTATACTTTTCAAAAGCAATACCGAACATTGTATAATTTAATACAACTTATTCAAGTGATCTCCTTACGAACCATAAAATAAAGGATGAGACCATGAAAAGCATCTTGGACAACGAAGCAAGATCCAGTACTGTGCCAGCAGAGATTCCACTTAGTAAAATAGAAGCCTTAAGACTTATGTTAAAATGGATGCCACTGATTGACCAACAATTTTATGAGGCTAATATTCCTCAACTTTAACCGAAAACAAACAAAAATAAAATATAAAAGTCAAACCTATATTATTATATGTTATGAATTGGTATTATTTTTGATATTACATTTTTCGTTGTATTTAAAAATGTAATAAAGTTTTAGTTTAATCAAAGTACTATTTGTTTCTTGGTAAAGTAATGCATTTCCAGATTACAACGTTCCATGTTGCAAAGTACTATGTACTTCTTTAAAATAAATAAAAGTTAAGAATAAAAGTTCTATGTGTTTTTGTTTTTGTGACAATCTTCTCCCAATAAATATTTATTAAGCTAATAGCAGGAATGTAGCCTTCTGGCTAACTACTTTCTATCCAGCGGGTGTTTCGATTATTAATTACTCATAAACTTACTATAAAAGAGCTTGCACTTTAAACTCTTTTTCTCGAAAAGCTTATGTTGTAACTTAGAACCTTGTAACACTAAGCCAGCGATTTGTCTGTTTTTTTCGTTTTCTGGAGTTTGTTTTCCAACATTTTCAACTCGCAGTCGTTTTAGTAGTAGGGGTTTTCGAAAACAGACATATACTATATTAATATTTTTAAAGAAAAGCTCCAGGGAATTATATTTCTTCGTAAAGAAACTGGATTACTTATTTGACAAAGTCATGCAATCATCACTAATGCAGCCATTTAGCACATGCTACATACTAACTAATCTAAGACAGTTCAACATAATTGTGTCTTCGGTTTGCGTGCTAACCTTATAAAGCGTTCAGTGCATTTCAGTATGAAATATTTTTTTTATAAACTTTAAGGATCATCTGTGACAATGTAAAAATTTCAACTCTAAATGTGAATACACAAGAGTATGAAGAAATCTTGAAAAAAAATTTGTTCTTCGCAACAAAAGGTGCTAGACACATCCCCTTTGTTTTAAAATATGTATTATAGCGTATCTTTTTCGAATATCGTAACGAATCTGTTCAGATACTCACAAATACGAAATGTTTGAATTTGTTTAGAAGAAAAAAACGTAATCCTTCCTTTTTCGCATGAAAATAACAATTATCTAGTTGCGTATTTTGCTATGAAAGGCCCTTTGAACGAACCCTGTATATTGCTCAGTAAACTAGTAGTGATGGCCGAAAGACAGGTGTTTTGGGATGAACAATTATACAGTCTCAAAAACTACCTGACCAATCGCCTCCAATTTTGTAGTGGTTATTTAGAAGTTTGAAGCCTACGTATTTGAGGAATTACTTTGAGGAAATACTATTGTATCGGATCTCTTGTGGTGTAGTTAGAATTCGATAGGGAGTCATTAAACAGGGCTCTATTCCATTCCCTTTATCCGCCAGGAGCAAAGCTCGTTCTGTATTTCGACGCATAACGGCACAAATGTTAGACCTTTTCCATATTCTACTGTCATGGGTAGAAACGGGCCATTGTACATCTACACTTGTAAATTTGTCTTGTGCATCGCACGTTGCTTGTACATTGATGCTCGCAAAACCTTTTCGGTTTATATTTTCATCTCCAAATTGGGAAGGCTTTTGAATATGAACATGTGTACGATCCACAACTACCAACTGCGGCTGGAAACATATAAACCTCATGCCAACGACGCTGGGCTTCACGTATTTCCTCATTGGAAGATGGAAACTTGATCCACTGATTTGCTTTCTGCCAGACTTTTTCCGTTACTTCAGCGATTGTTTTCGACACAATACTTTGGTGAATTCCAATGATTTCCCCCACGCCGTTTTGGTAACTCGGATCACCGATATATCGCAAAAACACTTTCATTTTCAGAAACGGTGATAATGCACCACCACGTGTCTCCGTCTCGTCACCAAAGAAATTGTTGGCTAACCAATGCACGTTTGCTTCACTGAAACGATAAAGGCACTTAAAATCATTAGGTGACCTTTCTACGCGTTTTTGTAACGTTTTACGGCTCTTAGATTATTTAGAAACGCCATAATTACCACAGACGTGTCTCTTTCCTGAACGCGAAGTCTGCAATGGAGCTGGGTGGAGATACCTTCAGAAAAATGTATTCTGTGCTATAGATCCCTAGCAAAAGCTTGATTTTATTCATACAATCTGAAGTATTTGCTTATGGTGCAGCAAATTTTCCTTTGGTTGTGATCCATGTGCTCCAACTTTATTTATCATATACTTTGAAGGCTTTGCTTCATGAATTTGAAGTTAAAGCATTTGCTACGTTTTATTCATGAGACCCAGTGACTCTATATAAAATAATTTAAATTTGCTGATTCCCTTTGTAATTGCGCTGTAGCCGTCGATGAAAAATGGCAATGCCAGTCATCATCCTTTTGGAGTGTTGTTTTTGTTAATATTTATCTTTATTTTGCATAAATGCTCCAATAAACATTATTATGAATTTTGCGAAAAGCGTCACTTTCCGCAGTTGTTAGGAAAATAACTATTATTTCATACCTCGACCTGACGCATTGAGAATTCACTTTCAAAATGTAACTAGACTCACCTTTTCTTTGGTTGTCGTCTGCGTGGTCTGTTTTTTTGCCTTCCATTTGCGATATTTCTTGAATTGTTGCAGATAATAATTGTTTACCACGTTTGTACAATTGTTAGTCTGACAGAGATCAATTGAATTGATATGTCAACGAAATTTTATCTACAGGTAGATCTCAGATATTTGCCAAAAGCAAAATAACTCCGAGAAACAATACCCGTTTCATTGTTACGGATGGATAGACTATTTTCAAAAATATTTATGTAGACAGAATGACAGAATATACACTTTTCCTCAAAAAGCATATTTTGTTTTCACTTTCTTTGATGAGAAGTTGGTAAGCTTGCCCTACAAAGTTCGAATGCAAAAATTCGAACCTAAGCTGTGACATAGTAAGTTCTAATGTGATTAGAGAAATTTTCCATGGTCTGTACTTAGCATATGACCATACTTCTGATATCCATACCATAATGAAAAGCTTTTACATTCCAATACAAAACAATCCATGTTAACCATTTTGTCAGAATTATATGTAAGTAATGAACAACCTGTTCATGTTATTGGCAGACGGCAGCGATGTTTCTTATGCGACAGACGTAAAGACTGGAAATCCCGAAAGTTTTGTATTCGGTGCAATCAGTACGTATCTGCAGAACATTAAAAAATGTAACAGTTTGTAACAAGTATAATAATTAAATTATTACTTAAATTGTCACCGATTCTTATATATTATATTTCATATTATTCTTTCCGAATATGTCTATTTTTCAATGTTTACAGCATACCTATGTTAAGATATATATTTTTTAGGTCAGAATGTGTTTATTTTTGATAAATCACAAAAAAAAAAGTTAAAAAATGTTGGGGTACATTTGCACCCCACTCGGTACTTACTGTAAGTTTTTGACCACGGGCTTGTGAAGGTTAAGCACTTCCGTCAATCCATTGATCATAAACAAAGCATAACCTTTCTCTGACGTTGACAATATGAAAGGTATGGTCATTTGTTATCGATATCCAGAATAAAAAACAAATCTTAATGACCGAACCCTTCCTCCTAATTTAAAAAATGTAATAAAGATAAAAAATATAAATGAGAAAGTATGGATGTTTATCACTCAATCACGACAAATGGCTGAACTGGATAAAACTTGGTATAGAAATAGATTGTAGTGGGGAAATACCTTTGAAATATCTATTTCAAGGGCTACAGCCCAAACGGCTTAATGGAATTTGACATGATGTGTCTGGCGCGAAAGTGCTCAGTCGCTGGCCCGACTTTAAACGAGTAAGGGTATATAAATAGGGCATTTGCATCGTGGACTTCTGCATTTCGACTTATTTTCTAAGCGTGATCATCTTGATTTAGATTTGTTTGGTGTCTTATTTTACTTCAAATACTGTGAATAAATAGTTATTAGGTTTGGATATGTTAAGATGTGCCACACAAGCTGTGAGTCACTTGAAGTATCATCTATTCATTCTCATTACACATTTTATAATAAATCATTGCTGCATTAGAATGTTGAATAAAGATGTCTATTGCCAAAGTAATTATTGCATTTAAATATTGTATTTCTCTCCCCGTATCCAAAATACTTCAAAGCAAAAACGAATAACTTTATCTTTTACACTAGTTCCACGCGGGTGGAGCCGCGAGATAATGCTAGTTTCAAATGATTTTTTCCAACACATAAGCGTAACAACCTGAACGCACTGCGTCATCCTTAAAAAATGGATGTAAATAATCAATTTAGGATACTGAAAATACAATTTACTATCTACGCAAAGAATTCCCCAACGTAAACTGCACACAAACAGTTTCCAATTATGCAAGGCAGTCATACCAAACTGAAAAAGAGAAGATTCAAATTTTGAGGGTGATAAAAGAGGCAGTTTGTCATAACTTCTCAAGCTAAAGGTGATTCTGTCCTATGGCTCCGCTAATTAAACCCAAGCTCAGGTTGAAAATAAAATAAAAAATTGAAATAATTATTTAATACAACTCACCTACTCATAAAGTATATTATAAAAATTCTATAATGTAACAAAACACGTTCATTGTAATATTTCAATAATTGCACTTACAATTATTTTTGAAGCCAGGTATTTTTGTCCCGCCGTATTAGAAAACTAACATAAAATGTGTCAGGAAAAAAGCTTATTATATAAGCAACGAATCTTAAGCAGCTACAGCCTGTTTATAAAAACTTCCTAAGGTGAATCCTATTCTGAGTTGAGCCCTTGACTTCAAAAAATACACATGTGGTAACCTTCAAAGATACCGTGAAAAGGGTTATATGCCTGGCGACCCTTTTGTTTCACCTCAAATAGTAAAAAGGCTTATAACAATATTATGGCCAAAAGCACATTTAGCAATATCACGTATGAAAGACATTCTCACTTCTTGACGGACCTCACTGGTTTTTAATACTATTCAGGTTCACCTCAGACTAGGCGTTATTCTCTAAGAAAATAATAGAAGAAGGTCGCGAATACCTGTGAGGTACAGAATTACTAGAATATGAATCAAAAATGCCCTAAATAAAAATGGCATAGGTAAAGAGAAACTTCAAGCAGAAATTCGCACCTTTTTTTCTCATAACAGGACGGAAGACATTTTACTATGGTCGTTTACTATGTACATAGATAAATCATTGTTACCTGAGCTTTGAGCTACCTTATACATGCTTGGCCACTGGAAGGCAGCCTTCACGTTCACAAAGTAGCATCCTTTAGCATGTATGGTCACCTAAAACTCTGATAAGAAGGATCTCGCAGGTTGGCGACATATGCAATAGATATGTTTTTTCTTTTCATATGCAAAACCTAAAGGGACATTAAATGCTATGCCATTACACAGTGTTTTTATAAGTTTTAAAAATATCAGAATATTCTGGTAACCAATACCATATACTTACCTTGATTGAAACAACGAAACACAGACAGAGACATTTTGATACTCAAAAAGTTCAGAATAGAATCTGCAATCTCTTTCACTTAATCTCTTAGACCTATGCCACTTTTAAAACAACAGTGACATTGAATGTGATCAAAACAGAATTAAAATTTGATTACCACTTCCTTGACATCTCATTTCACTGTAAACAATATTCTGAATTCAATGTTGTATTTTGCAAATTACGCAAAATCAACAATTATAACATACTTATCACAACAAATAGTTAAAATTTTGCAAGTGAAAGGCTATGTAATAAATTGGATATAATTAAGATCCAATGACTCATATAATAAAGTGAAGAGTTTTTGTTCTAGCATAACAAGACTTCATGTTTGTGCTCATTATTTGGTCGAGTAAAGATATTAAATTAATAATTTTTTACCTCAAATTGCTTAGCAAAAATCTATGTATGGGCAGTTGTTCCATTAACAGATATAGGTAAGAGTGAATGCTAAACACATTTAGGATAATTGAAAACGAATTTATTGATGAAAAGTAAAGCATCCGTTGATGTTAGGGCAAGAACTCTCCACCTAGTACTGAAGTCTTTTGAATTTTCAGGCTGAATTCAACCACTTTGAAGCCTTTGAATGAACACTCATCAGTATTTGGTAATATAAATACATTTCTCAAAAACAAATTGAAACATAAGTCACTCAGTTTCATATGCTGATGTCTTCATAACATACTTCACTGTGAAAGCAAATGCTGCAAAACCTATAATGACACACAAATTTGTTAAGCAAGCCTGGAGATTACTGGGAGGTGAAACTGCTTGCAAGTTCCTTTGACTATCAGCATTTACACTTTGGTTTGCACTCCTCTTCTCCAAATCAGCCTGAAACAAACAATTTTTTTTTATCATTCAGTTTAAGATAGCCATTTTGTGAATTTGTAAATATTTTGTGAACAGGAAAACTATCTTCTGACAACTGTAGAGTGTATTATTAGCTTAAGATCATGTAAGATAAACTCGTCTGAAGGCAAATTTCACATGATCATATACATACTGTGACCCGTCAGTATTCATCATGGAATGGGATACTTATTGACTATGTAGCCAGGGTCAGTAATTATTGATGTATATGGTTATGTGGAAAGCCACTGACACTGAGAAAATGATCGGTAAATACTAATGATAGAGACCAAGTAAATAATGATACTGTCACATTCATCTATGTAATACCATTTTTGGATAGTGCAAAATATTACAATTTCAAGTGCAAATGTAGATAGTGTTTTAACCTGTTTGAAATGAACTTTACAGTCTGCAAGACCATCACAAGCAAACTCTTGCAGTTGCAAGAAGGGATTATTTCATCTTCTAGACATTTGCATCTAATGTCTTGCAGTAGCAAGATGATCCTGTTTCATCAATTCAAATGAGCAAGATTAGCCAACTTAAAAGAATAAAATATTTGCTGCCACATTCCTAACCTATAATTTTGGCTTTGGTTTTTTTACCCTTCAGAATACATGGTTTTAATGTCCAAAAACTAGTTTCAATCGCCAAACAACCAAGAGCAGAACACAATCAAACATACATCTGTTAACATTTAAATTTACTGGAGAGACCCACAAACAATTTTCATTTTTTCTTTAGTTGGTACAAATGTAACTTTATATAACATACCAGGATAAATTTATTGCTAAATCAAGTAGAATAACCTCCATATTTATTAGTTTGGTTTAATCTATCATCTCTATAAGTTGTATATAGTTACAAATGAACTGAGCGAAACACAGCCAAAAGTTGTTGGTGATGCTATAGTTATGACAGGAAGAATCAGATGTTTTGTTAGTGCATATTCATCTGATCAACATTTCTCTTGGTCCTGCTGACTGTAAAATGGGTAATATACATATTCTTACCTCAATTGATGCTACAGTATCAGGAAACAAATCACAGAACTGTTTATCTTTCAGATTATATTCTAGCGATTGGTAAGCATATTGATGTTTATCATAATCTGTAGTTTCTATACTGCCTAATGTTGGACTCTTTTCAATCTACAAAAAAATATTCAACTTTCAATTTGCACAAAATAAACTTTCAATAATTTTACCATAAAACTCAGAAGACCAGTAAGTATGGTAGAAACACTCCAGGCAGGATTCCAAGTATCTGGGTGGAAATCAGATATGCTCAAGCACAGTTTCTTGTTTGTTTTGAATCGTCCATTTGGTGTGATCATGTAGATAGCAGGTGGCTTGAATGGGAATTCTCTTGGAAAGACCAGCTTACCATGATAATAACCTCCTTCATATAGGGTATTCTCTGGACCACATACAACATAATGCCTAAAAAGGTATCCTCAGTTAATGCATAGTAAATTCAGGGGCTTTTCTCTTACAATTAACATCATTTTAATGTAACATCTGAAACTTATCTGGTGGTTTTCATGCTGATGATCTCAATGTTTTCTGGTCAACTGTACTTTGAAACAGGCCACCAAGCTCGCCAAAATGTTAGTAAAAACTGAACCCTGCATATGAGGTTTCTTTTAACAGATAGAAAACATGGAGTATCAACATCACTTTTTTGAAAATATCTTGAATGATTGAGTCAGAATGAAAGATAAATATTGTAGGCCCATCTGACAGGCCAAGAATGTGTTGTGATACAATCAAGGAGAATGCTTGGAGTGAAGAGGAACATATGACACAATAGTTACATACTAAGTAGATGAAGTTATTATGTTAGAAAGGACTATATTACTGATTAAATGATATTATCACCCTTACTGACCATTCAAGAATGTTTGTTGGTAGTGGTTCTGCCGTGATATATGGTACAGGATCTCGCTTTAGTCTAAGGTAGTCTTGCTTCAATCTTGAGGTTGCACTGTTTGGTTTCCGGGACATTGTTCTATTTGATGCCTTCGGCTACACTTGTTTAATGATTTTAAGGAGATACACACTAGTAGAAAATGAATTATAATAATTGAAAATACTGCTATAGCATAGTAACACGCACTGTGTGGTATATGACCAGGATATTTTGTTATTATACAAACACGGTGTGCAGTGTAATATGCTGCGAATTGATACTGGTGGTATGCAGTTTGATAAATATAGATAAGGATTAAAAAGTTATGTGAAATCCTATTTTCACCTTTTTTTTGACAAGTTGCAGAATCAACAAATCAACATGTAAAAAGAATGACGGATGGTTATAATGACAGATGACAGTCTTGCGTTTGCGTCTTGTCGTTTGAGAAAAGTCTTAAGGTGTGTGTACACTATGAAAGTAATAGTCCAAGGTAAACACAATCAGTTTTCGCGGATTCTCTCCGCCGTAACACCAATGGTCTTTGAAAATAGAAATCATTCTCAAAACGAGTATGTCATCCCATATCCTTTTAACTTTTAGGGCACTAGATGGAATATTACACGATTTAACTTAGCAACAAAAGAGAAACGTAGGCTTGAAATTCCATTTTTTTTCTAACATCAAATTGCTTATTTGAGCAAACAACCTTATCAGTCGATTCTATTCGTCATTGTCTGTCAGAGCGGTTCGTAGGACCTTTGCTCTTGGTTAAAGTCTTAGGTCTGTCAGGTCTGGTTGCCCAGATACCAAAGTCAGGGAGAAAGAAGGGAAAAAGAAAGGAAGGAAGGAGGGAGAACAAAGAAAAAAGAAGTTTGTCAATTTGAGGGGTGTCTTGGCATTGCTAATTAGTATTCGGCAATTTTAAATGGATCCTAAAATTAATTTTGAGATTGCTGTTGAAGAAAAATTATAATTTTGGTTGGACCTAATGTCGCACGACTTAATTTTGTTCAGACCGAAAGCCAAATTGCACGTCAGGAATCTCATTGTGGTCTGACGAGAAATTTTCAAGGTGACGCAGAATCACCTTTTCAGCGAGCTTAGAATGAGCTGACACTAGACTAATGGGGCGGTAATCCTGAGGGAATATCGAACCCACCTTCTTTGGAATCATTATGACATCAGCGGTCTTCCACGCTGCTGGGAAGTGCTGGGTCCTTAGCATGGTAATGATTGTTGCCACGAGATAAGTTAAGGACTTCCGCGAAAGTAGCTTCCGCGCCTTATTAGTGGTTCGATCCTCTCCAGGTGCTTCACGCACCTTGAGGTCTTTAATATGACCTTGAAGCTCTGCTGGTGTGCAATGCGGAGTCTCAGGAGATTCCGCTGATGTGCCATGCAGATCTTCAATTGAGGAATCTTCTGAATATTCCTCTGAGGAAAAGTCACTTAGGGAGTCACTACTGCCACTGACGCCGTTGGCCCTAAAATATCTCCTAACGGATTTTACAATGTGTTGCTCCTCGTCGAGGTCATTATCAAGGTCATAGTTGGGAGAGAACTGACTTTCCATTGCATCAGCGAAAACCTCGACCTTTTCCTATATCCTACAGACTATGCCCCCAGGACCGTGGATGTGCGAGAGTTGTTCTGGCTTTCCGTTTCTGAGCGACTTTGCAACTTTCCAGAGAGGAATACTTGAGTCAAGCATCCCCGATAGAAAGTCGCTCCATTGCTCATTACGGAATTCATGAAGAGCATTTCTCACTTTATAAACAAGATTTGTTGCTCTGCGAATGTCATCTGGGTGACAAGACCTCTTCGCTTGTTTAATTGCAGCCCTTTTGTCAGAAATTTTCTGACGAATGTCTGCAGGGAGAAAATTATCAGTCGAATCAATGTATCCTCCTCTTATTTGTGCTGGCCATTAATGGCATGCGCGTAGCCAAAGGAGGGGTATTCCATGGATGTCTATATGGTATTCGTTTCATATTTTCAAGTTCTTTGTACTGGTTTAATATCCAGAGTGAGTTTTTAGTGAGAGCTCCGTCGGTAACCAAACCCAAAAAAATTGATCACAAGAATAATTGTAGCCAACAGTATGCTGCTTACTTGGGGAATATGTTTAACTTCAAAGGGTGAGGAGGTGACCCAATCATTCATTTTTTTAATGGAAAGCCCCATATTTTATTGCAGACTTATTTACACATTTTTTGATTCCCTCTTTAACATGTTTTTTTCTGATATACGGTTTATGAGGGTTTGTACAACTAGTTTTTGAGTTACTAAAAGGCTGGGTAGATTTAATTCACAATGAAAAAACGCCTAATAATCAGCCTTTCTAAATGCTATTTTCCATTTTGGACGATATTGTAATATATTTCATTCGCCATTCGCCTCGATTCTGATTTGCATAAAAGTTCAGCTATAAATCAAAAACCAATCAAGTGGACAGGGCAATCAAGGAATGTAGAAATATATAGGGTATTCCATTTAAAAATTTGTTCATTGTGCCTTCTTGACCACCCTGTATAGACTTCAAAATACTGAGAAAGTAAGTAGATAAACATTTTCTGACGAATAATTAAGTAATAATCAAGCTATAACAGTTGCGGAGGTGTGAGTTGGTAAAGTTGAGTGTTTTTTGCGAAAGATTGTCCAATATCTCCACAAATTGATGCTGTTGTTAGCAAGGCTTATAAAAGTTTGGGCTTCATTGTCAGAAATTGTAGGGATTTCAATTTCAATAATGTGCATACCATGATCTCGTTATATAGTTCGATCCAAAATTGAATACTGCTCTATAATATGGTATCCTGTTCATGAAGTTCACTCGAATAAAATTGAACGTATTCAGAGGCGGTTTGTGAAATATTTGTGGCACAAGGAAGATGGTACGTATCCAGAAGTTGGCTTCAGGCATGATGTATTACTCAGCAGATATAACCTCTGTAACTTGGAGAAGCGCAAAAACTACGCTGCTTGTGTATTTTTATATAAAATGCTTAATAATGCCATAGATTGTGAATATTTACTCGGCAAGATTCTTATTCATGTACCTAATGCCAAGACGCGATCCAATTCAAAATACTTTTACTCAAACGTAGCTATAACCAATGCGTTGCTTTCCTCTCCGATATATGTAGTATGTAACAACTATGAACGTGCAAGAAACTCAAGAGATTTGTTCTTTTGTAATTAGCGTAGCTTAAAAAGATTTTACATAACAGTAGGTTAAGTCATATGGCAATTTTAAGTTATTTTTGAACAATTTTGTCTTAAAATTGATTCCCGTATTCCTATCCGTTAAATGGTAATAAACCGTTCGGATAGTGTATATACTAGTAAATAAATTGAAAAATAAAAACCTATAGTATATATCAAATTGCTTCGTTTGAAAGGGCCTATCCAAATCTGTTATAAATGTTTTCAAGTAAGGAGCATACTGTTGGCTACAACTTTTGTATTCAAGTCCACACCATAAAAACTCACCATGTATTTTTGCAGTTTATTCCATTGTCAGCACCTCGTATTCATCTTTTTTTTTGTCAAAACCAAACAATATTGTTGAATGCTGTCCGGAAAAAATATCGGAAGATATATATTTCATTGTAGCTTAGTTTTGCACTTTCAAGTTCCTTATAAAAAGTCAACCTCAAAAGTGGAAAGCTAAATTAAAGGACGATCTACCGAGATTTTTTCTATAGTGTTCAAATACACATACAAATATAAGGAACTTAATAGTGCAAAACTAAGTCTCAATGAAAGGTCGATCTTCCGAGATTTTTTCTAGAGAGGGTGTTTAACGATATTATCAGTTTATTTTATTGCCACTGTTGTTATCAGCAGGTACGTATTGTTTTATTAGATTGTTTATTGTTAGTATGCTGGCTTCTTTTTATTCAACAAATTGTTCCAAAATACCCTACAGCCTGTACAATACTTGTATTTTGTTACTTATTATCCCTATATACCAAACACTATAATAGTTGTTAAATATATATATATATATATACAGGGTGACTTCGAAGTTGAGTCATTTATTTTAACAGTGAGTAGATCTGATCAAAAGAAATGTTTTTTTCCTTTAACATTTTTCTGGTAAAATTAAATTAACAAAGTTTTAGCCCTTTAGAAGTTTGAGTACCGCACTGTCTCAATAATAATATATATGCTCATGTTTGGCGACAACGGATATAATCCGCCTGACCGGTTCAACGCATCGGAAACAAAAAAGCGAAAGAATTTGAAACGTTTATCACGATGTTTTTCGTCAGTCAGTAACGCGTAGTGGTGTTTGTTGCGTGGCTCAAACGAAATAAAAAATGGCACATGTTTACGAAAATGCTGAACTTGTGGACATGATTCTTATTTACGGGGGGGGAGTCTTTACAAAATGCTGCCGCGGCATCACGGATTTGTGCGAATCGGTTCCCCAATCGAGTGCAACCAACCCCTCGTGCCTTTGTTGATGTAGTACAAAGGGCTCGTGAATCAGGTGACTTAAGACCTGCCGGTTCTCCAAGACCGCACGATCAATACAGGTCCGCACTGAAATACTTGTCGGGAGGATACTTTATAAAACAAGGTAACATTTTTTTTTAATTTTTACACACATATTTTGGTTTATCTTCCTTCTACAATCATTATCTGAAAATTAATGACTCAACTTCAAAGTCACCCTGTATACATTTTCATAATGATATGTGCATAAATAATATTATATGCATTATAAGGAGAGGTACAGGCACGCTACTGCTTTACATATAGTGCTGTCTACGTGTGTTATAGCAAAAAGCTTTAATAAAATACTTGAAAGAATGTTTTTTCAGTTTTATTTCTTGACAGGGGCGTTTTTTTTGTTCGACATAAGGTGAGACAACCCATGGTGCATGGGATAGCCGCCCCTCCCCTCGCCAGGGGGTAGTGCTGGCTACGTCCATAAATAATGGACACCACCCATACCTTGTAGTAACTGGACTTAAGTAAATGCCAGGCGGAGAAGACACTTCTAAAAGTTTCTAGCACAACTTACCACCATTAATGTCCTCGTGCACAAGGGTCGTTAGCAGAAAGTGGGAAAAACAAATCAAACAAGTCAAATACAGACTAGAGAACCTCTGGTGAACTAACAGAAAGACATGAGTACGGGGACCTGTTAGAATTTATTATCGACGTAACTTCATCCATTATTTTTACTACACACTACAAAAATGAAAATTACTATAAAGCTTATGTAAACATCTATGTTTAATTAGTTAATACATCATATATATATATATATATATACAAATAATGTTTCACATAGTAGTACTTATTAGATTAACAGAATAAATTATTTTATTTTCCAGGAGGAATCTGTGAGAGCTGTCTAAGTTGCTTCAATACAGTTTCCATCAGTTTCTTCTTGTCTCTCTCACTTTTCTTCAAAACTGTAAACATGGTTTTTTTATCTCCTTCCTTCAATCTGCAATGGTAGCACAAAAAATAATTCCAATGATTTCATTAATCACCATGTGGCTTAAAAACATAATTCACGTATATCTACTCACTTCTCTAGCAGAATTATGGCCACATCCGGGTTAACTTTCTTGTATTTATTTGTTTCCTGTCCGTAATCGTGAAAGTATGTTGGCCAATCCCAAGATATGAACAAATCTAAGATTTCTCGTAGTTTCTCAAAATACCTCAATAGCTCATCCTGCAGACCTTCCACTGGTTCAGAGGCAGCGAATTCTAAAAGAAAGAGTACGTTTCAAACTCCATCCAACATCATGTAACCCAAAATTTAGTTGTGCCTGAAATCCCTGATATAAAACGACTCTAAATAATTAGAAGAGATCATTAAAATTATTTCGCCTCCTAAGACATAATCCGATTTTTGAGATAATACACGTGCTTCTTTTACTTACGTTCACATTGCAGAAGATCAAGATTCAGCTGATTTAGTACGCCCATGGAAATTTGCTTAATTTCGTCATCGAGTAACAAGTTCAATAAAAAATTCGCTATATGTTCACAAGCAGACTTACAGGCAATCTGGGCTGCTTCTGGCTAAAAAATAATGAATTTCCCTATCATTTAACTTGCCTTTTCAGAACACAGACTTCAATTATATTTAAATCTTTAAATTCCAAAGATGTAAAGATGTCCACTTACTGGGATATTCGTAAAACTTTGAAATGTCGTTTGCAAAAACGCAATCATATCTGAAATATAGCTTGAGGCGTGACCTTTCGGTTCCACAAGCAGCCAATCGTAATCCTCCAATTCCAAGAATTCACTGAGCTTCTGCTTCAACTTCTCGCATATCTGTCTCACAGCATCTTCCCTTGCTACTCTGAACAAGGCATGTTGACTTTGTACGACACCTGCTACTAAACTTCTCGAATCCTCCCTTAAATCAATGAGGATTTTTTACAAAAAGTAAAAGCTTCGGGAAATGTTGCTATGCACTGGGTTGTCATCCTTTCACAACCAACTAAAAAGATCAAGCGCTGAAAAAAGGGGCCAAGGGCTTTCATAATCAACTGGTTTCACCATCATTATTTTTCTTTGAACTTTAAGTGATGGTAGTTCCTGGAATCCTATTGAGTTTGAAGGAAGACCGATTATAATGCATAGTCTAAGTTAGGGTTTATTGTGGCTGTCTGTGAAAAAATGCAACCATAAAAAATGCTATCAAATGATGAAACATCTATCTAAGTCTCATTTCTGTGATATACGCTCATTAAAGAATTTTGAAAAAAGTATGCGTGTTTAAGTACATTTTCCGGCACTTACCAAGATTTGGTCATATGGTGCGCAGTAACAAGCTCCTCCCACGAAACGGCGGCAATAATGCATGGTACTTCGTCCGGCGTTATTCTAGTAGCGTACCGAGTACCGACTGACGCCTACAGCTGAAGTTAAAGCGCACGTTTTGTTTATAGTATAGTGATATTATTTCTACTATGAGTAATCTGGGTAAAGGTGAATATCCTATCAGATATATTTTGGTAAGCATTAGGCTTCCATAATGTAATGACCTTTTTTAATCTTCTTATACAGGGTGGTCCATAAGTCCTTTGAAATTTCAAATTTGAATAAAATTTAACGGGTGAGCGTGAGCGGCGCGGGCGAGGTGGGGGCAGTATCTTCAGTGTCTAGGAATTCAGTCGTCATGGAGTGTTTCACTGGAGCGGATCGTGCTTTTTGTGTGCGCGCGTTTTATCAAAATAATGATTCGGCAACCATTGCGCGGCGTAAATATCGAGAATACCACAATTTACACAATTTTACAAAGTGTCCAACAGCTCAAACGATTAAGAACTGGGTTGCTAAGTTCGAAGAGACTGGTTCGACGTTAGATAAACAGCGGTGGGGTCGACCAAGGACAACTCGTATTGAAGAAAACATCAACATTGTGGCACAGTCTGTTCGTCAAAATCTTACCCAGTCTACTCGTAAGCGTTCCAGTGCACTAAACGTACCCACAACATCTTTACAGCGGATTTTAAGGAAAGATTTACGTCTGCACGCTTACAAAATTCAGTTAGTGCAGGAATTAAAAGATAATGACGCTATTCAGAGACTAAACTTTCGTTGAATCGATTTTCTTCGCTCAATAATGTGTTGTTCTCGGACGAGGCTCACTTCCATTTAAACGGGCATGTAAATAAACAAAATTGCCGTTATTGGAGCCCCGAAAATCCAAGGCGTAAGCATCAGAAGCCCTTACACAGCCCTAAAGTTACAGTTTGGGCTGCTATGTCAGCGCATGGCATCGTAGGCCCTTATTTTTTTGAGGACGACAGAGGTCGCGCATTAACTGTTTCTTCGGAGCGGTATGTAGCAATGATAGAAGAGTTTTTGACACCAGCGTTGTAGAATTTTCCAGGCTATAATACGCAGACCTGGTTTCAACAGGACGGAGCAACTGCCCACACCTCCAACACTTCTATGCCCGTCGTCTGTCAACTTTTTCCCAGCAAAGTAATTTCTCGAAGAGGAGACATTTCCTGGCCACCACGTAGTCCAGATTTGACCCCAATGGACTTCTTTTTACGGGGCTACCTCAAGAGTAAAGTGTACGACACCACTCCGCGATCAGTTGATGTCCTGAAAGAAAATATCCGAAGAGAAATGGCAAGCATTACAGTGTTGACTTGCCGCGCAGTCATCGACAATTTTAGACGTCGTTTATATGAGTGCTGTGATCGTAATGGATTGCATTTAGAGTTTGGTTTTATTCCTTTTTTTCCAGCTCAAATGACTTATGGGCCACCCTGTATTAAGCTGCGGACCTCTGTAAATGGTTTTATGATTGATTCGTATTAATTCTGTTTTGGGTAATCGCCACAACTCTACTTTGTACATATGTATCTTTTAATAATATTCATGTAAAAATATAAGCAATAAATATAGCAGATACAAGTCATTCACTATTGACCTAAGCGCAAACAAAACTAATGTTTTTTTAATTAAGCAGATGGTTCACTTTGATTGACGATACTTTCTCAAATGCATATGACTAACGTGAAAAATTTCAAAGCACGTCAATGCCAAGTGAAACAATAACATGACATTAAGTACTACCCTCCACCATCTCGAGCGTTCCTATTGGCTTTCACTTTCAGGGTTAGAAGATATGCCTGTCCGAGAGTAAATCTTGGTAGGTGCCGGCAACTGTATCTCATTTTCAAAATTCTTCACGATTACAATACTTCTTCGCCAGTAGGCGTGGGAAGTAAAAACTAATTCTAGGAACTAATTTTTACCCAGTAATATTAGAAATGAACTGATCCAAGTAGACATTAGCCTCTTCCAAATATCCAGTGTCCACAATTATCTGGATGATTTCTTGCAAATTGATGTGTGGATTTCGGAAAGCAGAAGATAGGCAACCGCTGAAAGTTCGTGTCAGCAATAAGTTGATCGATTTACGGATCATCTCATCTACTTCCACTTGACTGCAAACAAAAATCAAATGTTCCAAATACACAAGTTGCCTGGCCAATTCCTGCCTAATATTAGAATAAGATTGTTATGTAGTAGAAAATGGCGTTAAATACGTTCTGCACTTTCTTCGCAATGCTGTCATCAGTTGTTAAATGATTATGTTCAGCAAAAGTTGGCCCTTATGAGAAATAAGCTGACTACGGGCACGTATAACTTAAAAATTAAACTTAGTCCCCACATATTTGACAACGCTGCCATCTAGAAATTTCTTTGCTGTCGTACAATTTGAAGATTTGTTTCTGAAAATAATTAGAAGCCTCTGAAACGCCAAATAACGAAGTTTGGGCCATTTTTTTCACTCGCGGACAGACAGACCGAGGGAAATGAGTGACATAGTTGTACATTGTCATATGGCAAGAAAAAAATGGTGTCAAGTAGGTTGACTCTGCACTTCCCACGCAATGCTGCCATCAGTTCATAAAGGTACAAGTTAGTCCCTCTTAAGCGTTCCACAAACATGTGTAATAAAAAATTGAATAGATGTCAGCCAAACAGATCCACACAACTAGTCCATACTCCATAGTCCCCACACATTTAATAACGCTAACGCTAGTTTCATCCCTGCGATAAGTATCGATCATCTGGCAACGGTGCTGAACCACACCAGTCTAAAGTTTTAAGGGCAAATTTTCCGGGAAATCGACCACCCCCTACAAACCCAACCCCGATTTTTAAGCCCTTAAAAATATTTTTCTAAAACTAAACTGAAGTTTTTTTTTTGTGTTGACCTGACCTATTAATCTGAACTTTTTTGTTTGACAATGTTTGCTGTATCTCTGAAAATAAAGTGGTGGGGGGTATTCAAAGGTTTCCGTAAAAACACCCAGTATCTACGGAATGGCTGAGCCGATTTTAACAAACTTGGGCTAGTTGAAAAGAACTATTCTTGGGCTACAAATGTCATAATATCTGAAATGGCCACTAGAGGCATTCCGACAGAAATGATTGATTTTCTCAAAAAAATTAAATACATTGGTATGATTTTTTTTATAAACAAGTAGCTAAATGATGTCTAAACAAGCTCGCGAAAATCGCATGTCGATATCTTGTTCCTAACAAAAAATTTTGCCCAAAGAAAATTTCATAAGGAAATTCCCTTAAATTCTTTTTTCTGGAATATTTTTGTGATAAAGTTGTGGTCCTAAAAAGGACCGATTTGAAAAAGAAATATTTTTAATGCCACTGTATATGCTCGAAATGCTGACCATCACGGTCTATGCATTTCTGAAGCATCTCATGAGTAGACAAAACTGCAGCTTCAATTTCGGCTCTAGGTATGTTAAGTATTGCATTACGAATCCGGTTTTTCATATCTTCTTGTAGGTTGGGTCTGAAACACGATGTCATTTAACCGTCCCCATAAATAAAAATCAAGACAAGTTAAGTCCGGTGATAGGAAACAGACTTCCTCTTCCAATCCACTGGTGCTGAAATTCTGCATTAATATGCTCTCGCACAATAATAGCAAAATGTGCTAGGCAACCATCCAACTACAAAAATAAGTTTGGCCGTGTTTCCAACAACAACGGTAATTGATTATTAAAAAAATCTAGAAAGACATTACCTTTAGGAATTGCTCGGAAAAACATGATTCTGGCTCCTATGCTACAACTATTTAAAACTGTAATGACTCATACGCGTGATCAACACGTGATCAGAGCTCGATACCGGCTTCCTTCCAGTACAGCCGTATAGCGTACGACATATGTCGTTTCTGTGGCTTTGCGGTGGTCAACAGCACAGACAGAGATGGAAATAATGGCCGATTGTTCTCCGCCGGTAGAACCAATGAAATCAAAGACGCGCGTCGACCGGCAGACTCATAGGCGTCGGCAACGCATTGGAACGTGTTTCGTTGAGCGATCGCATATTGTGTGTTTTTATAAGAATTGTTGTGTGATTGTTATTGTTGTGGTTTCTGTGGTTACTGTTTTGGTTATACTTAACCATGGAGAGTATAAATGGCACGAGTGGAAGTACTGAAAGCCAGGGAACAAGTAGACGGCTTCGTAAAGCACTGAAGAGGGACGCGAAAGAAATCGTGCTCAACGTGTTCAATTATCTGAACAGAACTATGTCGCAGGGAGAAGCACTCGCGCGTTGTGAAAGTATGACAGGCGTTCCAGAGTGGACCATTCGCAGGGTGGTGCATGAAAAGAAGAAAACTGGAGCTACTACTGATCCAAAGTTTAATTTGAAGGGACGAAATGCCGTTAAATTGGATGACGATAGCAAAATGGCGTTAAGGCGAACCGTACATTCATTCTTCTTTAGGAATGAGATACCAACCCTCAAGGCTGTACATGCAGCGATCAAGGAAAATGAAATTATACCCCAAATGAGCGTCGAGGTAATGAGGAAATCCCTGCACGAAATTAATTTTCGTTACGAAACGCGTAATCGGAAGTCAGTATTGAGAGAGAGACCTGAAATAGTCGCCTGGCGTCTAAAATACCTACGCGAAATGATTGAATATAGGCGACAAAGCAGAAAAATCTATTATTTGGACGAGACATGGGTACATGCAGGTCACACAGTTAAAAAAACCTGGATAGACGAAAACGTAGTGAGTAACCGACAAGCAAGCATTGAAGGTTTGTCAACAGGTCTTCGTGGACCGTCAGGGAAAGGTCAAAGATTGATCGTAACTCATATTGGTAGCGATAGTGGCTTTTTAGAAGAGTGTGACTTGATTTTCTTCTCTAAGAAAGGAGGTGATTACCATGACGAAATGAATGCCAGCTGCTTCGAGAGCTGGTTTCAAGGGGTGCTTCAGCGAGTTGAGCCCAACTCTGTGATCGTCATGGATAATGCTTCCTACCATAGTCGTCGAGCCGAACGTGTACCGACTATGGGATCTCGAAAAAGTGACATGCAGCAATGGTTGCGCGAAAAAGGAATCCCGTTTGACGATTCATGTGTGAAAGCGGAATTGTATGAAGAAATTAAACAGCACAAACCTGCGAACATTAGTTACGTGACTGATGAGATGGCCCGGCAATGTGGTGTCACTGTGCTGCGGTTACCGCCCTACCACTGTGAACTGAACCCAATAGAGCTCATCTGGGCTCAAGTGAAGAGTTATATTGCGCGCCATAACACCACCTTCAAATTACCAGACGTTAAGGTTTTACTTGAGACTTCCATACAGCTAGTAACGCCCGAAGCTTGGCAGAATGCTATCCGTCATGTTGTGAAGGAAGAAACAAAAATGTGGCAGCTTGACCACCACATCGACACCATCATAGAGCCAGTTATAGTCAATTTCAACGAGGAAAGCGATAGCGACAGTTTATTACTGTCAGATGTAAGTGGAAGCGACGATGAATAAAGGTAATTCCCAAATTTTTGACTTACAATATGTTTCAAACCACTCTTTATTAAGCATGTGACAAATCTAGTTCACCCATGTTAAACATTCATACCCCGCCTATGAACAGCCGACTACTGGTAGTTAAGTGATGTTCACGTGAACATCGATGAGTCATTACAGTTTTAGATAGTTATAGTATAGTATGCCACACCACACATTTAAACTCCAACGCCCTTGGTGCTGAAATTCACGCAACCAAATCGGATTTTCTGCAGATCAATAATGCATATTGTGCAGATTCACTCTCCAGTCACCATTAAAGGTGGCTTCATCGGTCCAAAGAATTTGAAATAAAAATTCTCTATTTTCGCGTATCATGCCTAACATCCAATGACAACAGTCCAACCTCGAATATGGGTGCATTCTAAAATTCAGAAAAATTTAAATTTATATATTTATTTATATTTTGATGGCTATAAAAACTTATCTATGGTCCTTCAAAATATTTCAAACCGTTGTTCGTGATATGCCCAACTGAAAGGATAATGCTCTTGTGCTAACATGAGCATTTCCTTCAATATATCCCAGTACGCGATTAATATTTTCGTGTGTTCTTCCAATTCTTTGCCGTTGAAACGCAGGCCGAAAACTACCACTGGCTCGTAAGCTCGCCACTAATCGGGGGAAAACTATCACAGTCGTGTAAACTCTTTTTGATGCTACGGTATTCTGAAGACATTCAAAACAAAACGGCAAGCATATCAACAGCTTCATCGTTCGTAAAACGTATTTGGTAAGCACAAAAATTGACTAAAGTGACGCGAAACTTTTGACCACTATTGACAATTTGAGGATTATTTATGTTTTGATTTGGTATTTGTTTTGTTGTATTCCATGGTCTGCTTTTGTCTTTTTCGTAAATACCCATAGTGAATATGCATTTAAAGAAAAATATGCCTTCTGTTATTAGCATTACTTACTTACCTTTTAGCGATATTTTGTAGTATTTTCAAAACTTTATTGTGATGAATAAAAGAGAATTCCAGAAAAATTAGGTTAAGAAAATAAAATTTAAGGGATTTCCGTCGGAATGTCGAAAAAAGCCCTCTAGCTGCCACATATGAAACTAAGAAAACTTCTAGTTCTTTTCAACTAGCCCAAGTTTGTTAAGATCGGCTCAGCCGTTTCGTATTTTACCTAAACCTTTGAATACCTCTCCAACACTTTATTTTTAGAGATACAGCAAAACTTGTCAAACATTATCATCGACTTGCAAGATCAAGTATTTTTTTGTTAGGTTAATATAGCGAAATTCACAGAAATATCACTTTTTTAGATTCAAGATTGCAGCTACGACTCTTAGCGGCCATTTTAGAAAAATATTTTTCAGGATTTTCTCTTGGCCGTTTTAGTAAGAACTTTTGTTCCCCAGATACAGTACCTTGCATTCTTAGTTGGCTACCCTGTACGTGTCAACACATCCACAAAACATATCTCGTTTTCCAAATTTTTCGCGATTACACTATTTCCTCGGCATTAGTCGTGGAAAGTAAAGAAACCGCAATATCTCACTTTTGAAATTTAGAAATTGCAATATTTCCTCAATAACCTGCATAAAATAAACTATGTTCAAAATACTACCTACCTTAAATTCAGATCTTCTGAGAACTTGAGACATGCATAGATAAATTCTTTCACCTGCTGATATACTTTGGGTACCATACTTGAGAAAGGAAAACTGTATGGAAATGTTATCACATCATTCAAGTCTCCATCCCATGGAAAAGATAACAGAATGTTATCAAATTCCTCTTGATCATAAACCTTAAAGTAATATGTATATCAATTTGACAATTATATTAAAAATAATTTAGAGAGATTACCTTGATTGGCTGAAAATCTTCCTTTGAAAGAATTTCTCTAAATACTTGCACCCATCTTTGCATCAACACCTCGGTATAGTGATCTCTCAGTTCTCTAACCAACTCCCACAATGGTTTGACAGTATATCCATAGTTTTTTAAAGTGGCACAAAATAACATTATCAAATCTTTTATCTTCAGGATCAAAGTAGTGTCTGTACAATATGCCTAAAATTAAAATTATTGACATCTGCTTTTAAATACTATTTCATACAAAGTTGTGACAGATTATATTTTTGGCATTGATGACATCAATAAATCTACTGTGTCGATCTTTTAAATATTAAACAGTAAGATATATAGTATGTTCATAGAACAAGAAAAAAACTTTTTTAATTTTTTTTTCTTTTTGATATCATATTTTCTCCTGACAGATGGGTTGTGAAGTCTGAACCAGTAAAACTTCTAGGAATAGTACTCCATACAAGATTAAACTGGACGTCACACTTTGATTATTTACATTCTAGATTATCTACACCATTATTTGTTCTTAGGCAACTTAGCAGATGCCTTGATGACCATACTTTGCAGATAGTGTATTTCATCATATTCCACAGTCACATCACATATGACACAATGCTCTGGGGAAACTCGGTAGCGTCTAACAAAATCTTTATTGTCAAAAAATAATTACAAAGTCCGGTTATGGATCAACATGCAGAATCCACTTAAAAAATCTACAACTATTACCACTTCCATCAATGTATAGTTTTGAGGTCCTCTGTTATGTGCACACAAATCGGAACAAATATCAAACCTTTGCAGAAATACACAACCAAACACTATGTAATGTTAATTAGGTACCTAAGGAAACCATACACGCAACTGAATATGACTAAAAATAAAAGACCTGACCAATGCAAATAAAAAACAATTTTGAAGATATATCTAATTACTGCTTCTCAAAGTTTGGTAAAAAACGTTGCTTAACCACTGTTTCTATTCAGATGATATGATGTCACCCGAATAAATAATAAAATAGTTTGCAAGACCTCACATGTACATCGTATATAATGTAGTCAATAAATGTTGTATCAGCAAACTATAACAAAAAAAAATTGTTACCGAATGTGTCTGAAGTGCTGTCACTATTTTGGATAGAGCCATGGACCACATATCATCTAGAAATGCTCTGGTAATCAAACCTTTTCCCGTGTTCAAGACGTGATCTTCCAAAATGAAAAAGCCAAGTACAGAATGGATGTAAACTTTATAACTTTCTTCTGATTCATGCTGAAATGATTGTTATTATAAGGCCATGTGACCAAAACTTAGGCTATAAGTTATACTGATGACATATGACAAATTGATGATAAACCTTTTGTTGGAACAAACTCACCATGTTGGTAGGTGGTTGTAGAACAAGTCTAGCTTGTTTGGTTCTTTCTGCTCTATAGTAGGATTCAAAGGTAGATGATCTACCAAGAATATGAGCAATGTGCAAACCTCGATAGATGGGTGAAAAATCAATCAGTTCTTGAGCACTTAGATCTTCTTCACTTGAGTAACCTGAAATATTATCATGTGGGAACATATCTCATAATTCTGGAAATGGAATTATTGATAACCAATATACCTTGTTGTACAGTAGCATTCCTCTTCTTTTTCCTTCCAATTATTGTAGGATCACTAGCCAGTTGTTCACTAGTCTACAAGTTTTATTACAATTTGTTAAACAGTTTTGTATGAATGGATTTGCAATTGTTAACTTACATGGCGCATGGCAACCTCTCCAATTCTTGGCGAAAATCTCCTGATATTTTCTAAGAAATCTTTCAAGTCTGACATTGATGCTTCTCCAATTTTCTCTCGATACCTGTTGAAACAAACATTTTAGCTGTAATTGTAATTTTGGAGTGAGTTAAGAGGTGTAAAAGTTGCTATAAAAGTCCTGTATCTATATAAAGAATAGTTCCACTTACTTGGGAATGTTTTCTTGTAACTGTCTTGAAAACCTGTAATTGGATACATGAGGCAGATGTAAGTGCTCTAGCTCTTCAAGTGTTTTCAATGCTGGGTAGTACCTTGAAATGGATGTGAAATATCAGATTGTATGTGGTAGTAAACTAATACTAATGGTAAGATATCCCATAGCAGTGGCGAAGCGTCCATATAACCATCGTTACCATTGGTAACAGTTAAAAATCTTAATAAAAGCAAATTAGCCCCACGAAAATAATGCACCCTATAGTGTCTAGGTTTTGCGAACACGATGAAGCTGACTCGCCTCGACTTGGTTGTCGGTTGTTACCATGTTCATTTATGGATACACTTGGTAGTCTGTCGGGGACCGTCGGTACCGGCTCGTGTCTGATCGCGGTCGCCCGAATGCGTGTGGCGCTGCGACTATTATGTGGGCTTGTTACCATTTTTTGATTTGGTTACTCACTTCTCACTTGTTAATAGCGGTTTTGGTTACCGGCTGTAGTATGCGTGCAATTAAACATGGATGAGTGTAGCTGCGTAATCGATCAGCTACTTGAAAAGTCATTCTCCTTGTATAATTTTTAATGAAAAAAAGGAGATCATTGAAAATGGAAGACCAACGCCTATTTTAGATGATTTTAAAAAGGAATAAAAAAACGTAGTTTGATATTTTAAATTAAGCTGGTATATGGAAACTCTTGTTTATGTGGTTGTAAAAAAACAGATTGTATTGTTGGCGATGTCTTCTGTTTTATACAGAATAAAATGCAGCGGAGTCAACGATTTAAATAGTTTTAGGGCTCTAAAGAGGAGACATGAAATTTCTCCGATTCATGTGAGATGTGTAGCCAATTTAATTCAGTTTGGCAAAACAAGAATCAAAAGTTGTCTTAACCAACCTTTTAGGCAGCACACTTTTAGGTACCGTATGTTTTTGGCAAAACAGGAATTACTGTTCATTTTGAAGGAGATGACTCTGACAATAGAGGAAATTACAGAGAATTGTTAAGATTCGTTGCCAAAAAAGATCAAAAATTTTCCGAACATCTAGAAACGTCGACTGTTTTTTCGGACAGCTTGGATTAGTCATAGCAAAAGACGATGAGGTATATCAAGTGCCCCAGACGCTCAGTCCAGGAATGTTTACCTTAATTTAAAAATAGTTTAAATAAAATACCTAAAATAAGCAAAAACTTTTTTTAATAAGATTTTTCACATCTGCTTTTGGTATCAGTTTAGGAAAAGTCACGCGTCGCCACTGTCCCATAGAATTACCAATGCAGAATTACTTCCAATACTGTAATGATAACCATCAGTATGTTTAAAACATATACCTTTTTTCAGCAGTTTGCTTTTGCAATTTGAAGTATGTGAGGAAAACAGGAAGGCAGAGATTCAACTGAGATATAACTACTGCAATATTGCTCTGGATTTGCCTTGCTTGTAGTAGCTCATTACCTGATTTAGTTATATTACTTGCTGCTGTATGCAACTGTTTGTCTAAGCCCACTACTTGGTTCTGCAATCATGAAAAGAATAAAGAAAATGAGATTTTGTTGTTATTTGGTTGGTTTTTGGGTAGTTAGGCGATCATAAAATATTTTTACCTGACGTTTTGCCAACACGAGTAACTAACCCAAAAACCAACCAAATAAAATTGGATGATGACTTCAACAGTCTTCTGCATTTCATGAGATTTTGTTATTAAGGTATACAAAATTCAAATGTCATGCGAAACTGTATGTTTTCATAGGGCATAAATGAGATTTGAAAACACTATTGATATTGGGCCTCAAACAACATGGTTCCTTTTAGATATTATAGTAGTATTTCGCGCATCTTAGATCCATAAGCAATGCACATTCAGCATTTGTAGCAGTGGCGGATTTAGAGGAAGGGCGCGCGCCCCCCTAGACGTCTGACACTTGCTTTTGTAATCTAACACGATTGTGTTGCTTTCTGATACATCATGGTATCCTTTGGTATTCCAAACGCTGTCGCTTTTCGACATCGCTTACGTTTACAGCACAATTCTCACGATTTATACGTATATACGAGTATTGTGACTTGTGTCAAATCTAAGTCTAAGCAATATATTAGCTATACAGATTATACTTAGAAAGTGATTTATGTTCTGTTTGTTGCTCAATAGTAATTTGAAAAGTGCGTAAAGTTTGACCGATTTTGTTCGGGGTTGGTGTTGCAGCAAAGCACTATTAGTCTAATCATATTAGACGAAGATACCCTTGGTTTGCGACATAATTCTAGTCTGGTTTTATTGCTGCAAGTTGCTCAAGGGGGTATTCAAAAGATGGACGCATAAAATGGGTACACCAATTTTTGTGGGAAAACTTTTTATTCGACAACAAAAAATAAGAAAACGTGTTTTAAGGGATTCAATTTAAATAATTAGCAGGGTCGAAAAAACTCTCCTTATAAGATTTTTAAGTATTTATGAGACCTACCAAATGAGACCACACGTAAAAAGATCCGACTAATAGCAAAAAAGTTATCGCCGAAAACCGAGGCAAACTGTAGGTCTTGGCACGTGTTGGTAATGCGACGACGATTTCTCGCAGATATTTGAAATTCTTCAAATTCGTAGGATTGGTACAACACAACAAAATTGGAGTAGATTGGTCAAGCAGTTTGTGAGAATTTCTAATTGTTTATCCCAAGACATCTGTTTTCCGGCCTTCACTACTAGTTTTTTTGAGCAATATACATGGGTGAGTTCAAAGGGCATTATATAGCAAAATAAACTAGTTTACCTTGACGATATGAATCGAAAACTATTCCGGAAGATAAATGTTATTTTTATGCAAAAAGGATGGGTTACGTGTTTCTTCTAAACAAATTCAAACATTTCGTATTTGTGAGTAACTCGCAACAAAAGATGATAGACACATCCACTTTGTTTCAAAATGTGTATAGTAACGTATCTATTTCGAATATCGTAGCGCATTTGCTTACTCACTCACAAATACGAAATGTTTGAATTATGAATCCTGTGGATATGAAGAATTTCAAGTAGTTGCGTAAAATTATCGTCGCATTACCGACAAGTGGCAAAACCTGCATTTTGCCTGGTTTTTCGGCCATAACATTTTTGCTATTAGTCGGATCTTTTCACGTGTGGTCTCATTCTGTATGTCTCATAAATACCTAAAAATCTTACATAAAAGGTTTTGTCGTTCCTGTCAACACTTTCGATTGAATCCCAAAAAACACATTTTCTCATTCTTTGTTGTCAAATAAAAGGTTTTCCCACAAAAATTGGTGTAACCATTTTATGCCTCCATGTTTAAAATGCGCCCTTGAACAACTTGCACCAATAAAACCGGACTTTGCAATTATTTCGGAGAAATTTGCTAATATGATTAGACCATATGTTACATGAACGCCTACATTGGAAATATACATTTATAGGATTTGCTTAGCGGTGCGCCTGTAGGATGTCCATAAAATGCGTAGATCGAAGCTCAAAGTCAATACCACACGTCCCACATTTCGTACAAAAAATACATTATCAAAATAATTACGATCTAACATATGTAGTTTTTTACAAAGATTTCCAACATGTTTATATGCGATCAACACCGATTCGAAAACTGAGAAAGCAACAACTATGCCGTAAATCTAAGTTCGACAACGAAAGTCTGAAGAATAACTGTAACATCTATATTGAATTTCAAAATATTATTGACTATACCTATTGATATTTTCATCACCTGCTGATATAATAGAAGTACTTGATTGTGTCAGTATTTACACCAATTACTTGATTTGTTTAACAGGTAGTTCAGAGTATTAATCCTTAAGTTTAGTACACACTAGTAGACCCCGTTGCGTAATTTGTCTATAGGCAGGAGATGGTCTATAGACATCCTTCTTTGTCTCGTCTAGTGTCCATACGATAATGTGAATTTTTCGGTCTCATGTTCGTTTTCGCCATCAAAGACATTGTTTTGTGTGGAATGGCTGGGATATGTCTCGCGGTTCCTCAAAATGTCTTTTTTGGTTAACAGAGCAACAAGTTTTTTATGTTTTAATCTTTAATATTATTACACTAGTTAATTATGAATGCCAGTTAATTCTTTTGTTCTCATATAATAAAATATTGCCTTCCTGAGGATTTCTGAGCACTTTCCATATTTTTTTTCAAGTTGGCATTGAACAGATAGAACACAATGGATTTAAGGAGCAATAATATACTAAGTGACATATAAATCCGAACACCCAGTTTAAATGGTTTTATTTCAATAAAAGTTGGTGAATGTATTTATCTTACTGTAAATAACAAGTGAAAAAATTGTCAGCCTTATCAGTTGGACATTCCGGTTTTTATACTGCTTTTTTTTAATTCACTAACGCTCTAAAAATGAATATTTTAGCCGCAGTAAAGAATCAACGTTGGCGGATTTTGGTTCTTGACATCCTTTACGATCGGTTACGATGCCTAGTGTACGGAGACCTGTACGATTTCGTCAACTTAGTGAGTTTGATAGGGGCCGTATAGTGGGACTTCGGGAAGCTGGACTTTCTTTTCGGGCAATTGCAGTTAGAGTGCAAAGAAGTGTAGACGCTGTGGTAGGTGTCGAGAAGGCCGTACGCAAAGAGCAAGGGGCACTGGACGCCGCCGTAGAACAACAGACCGTGAAGACCGCCGCCTAAGATTATTGGCCTTAAGGGACCGTTTCTCCACTACCAGGTCCATTGCAAATGAATGGTTTGCAGAACACGGAAGACCTATTGGCATGCGAAGTGTTTACCGACGAATGAGAAGTTTTGGCTTGTTTTCATACCGGCTACACTGGGTCCTCCCTTTAACTCGAGAACACCGACGTAATCGCCTTGAGTGGTGCAGACAACGGTCACTCTGGGATCAGGAATGGAACACTGTTGTCTTTAGTGACGAGTCTCGATTTTGTTTAGGCATGCACGATGGTCGTGCCGGGGTTAGAAGGCGACTTGGTGAAATGAGGAATCCACAGTTTTTTGTTGAAAGACATGTTCATCACTCTGTTGGAGTTATGGTTTGGGGTGCTATAGCTTATGGTTCCAGGTCACCTTTAATCCTCATCAGAGGTAACATGAACGCGCAGCGTTATATCCACGAAGTTCTAGAACCCCATCTTTTACCCTATCTTGACACCCTGGCAGATCCAACTTTCCAACAAGATAATGCCCGACCACATGTTGCAAGAGTCACAATAGACTTTTTTCAACATAATGATGTCCCATTGTTACCATGGCCACCAAGATCTCCCGACTTATCCCCAATTGAGCACGTGTGGGATATGATGGGTAGGAGATTGCTCAATTTGCAACGTCCTCCTCAGACTCTAGAATCACTTCGAGAGGAGTTGGTGGTTGCCTGGAATGAGATACCACAGGAGGACATTGACCACCTGATCAGAAGCATGCCTAGGCGCGTTGGAGAATGCGTAGCACATCAGGGTGGCATCCACACATTATTAAAGGTCAAAGGGCTTTAAAGCAGTGCAATCATTTTGAAATTTTTATCATTTACTTATTATGCTTAATTAAGTACTTATACAAAATTTTATTAAAATAAAACCATTTAAACTGGGTGTTCTGATTTATATGTCACTTAGTATAGGATAAATTCTAGAAGTTGATTTGTAGTCATGACATGTCTTGTAGATATGACTGATAACCTCATGTTTCCTTGCTTTGAGGGGCTAGAAGTCCTTTTGGGAGTGGAATGCCACCCCATGCTTTCCTGGGCTTTTCTGGTTTTGTGCAGTGTCATCATAAAATTGTAATGGGTTTGCATGATCTCAGCATACTACAGGATCATCCAATTTATTATTGTTACACACTGCATACACTAAACAATAGAGTACTATAGAAGTAGTTGCATAAATGAAACAAACAGAATAAACACAGTTCGTTTTGTTGAATTTGTTGGATCATTAAAACTTACATTCAATTTATTGGAATGAGACCTGACTTCGAGAAGCTCTCTGACAGATTCAATAAAGCCTTGGTAATATACATTGCATAGCCTTTCAATGTCTTTATCATGGTGTTTTATTCTCTCTTGCAATTTTTTCTTGAATTCATTATGTTCTTCATTATCAAAAATTGCCCTAAAATGATAATCAATTGATTTGTTTAATAGAATTATGCATAACAGCAATATGAAGTTTTTGCAGTTCTTGGTAAACGATAAAGCTTGAAATAATTCATTATGCCAAGGGATAATATCAAGTTGCAATAGATTACCTAAATGTTGGGCCCCAATAGTCATCAATGCCTTCGATTTCCTGGAGGTAGAGATCATGCTGTGAATTTGCACTAGTTGATTTTTCCATGGTCTGCTTTCCACTGAATCTTTGGCTACAGATTACTAAAATTTAATGTTTTCTCCTTCACTTCTAGGCATTCACATATTCATATTCAAGGCTCAAGCTTTGGGATAACTACTCTTTGCTTTGGGGTTTAAACTTCTAAGCACTGATGTAAAATCTAGCAAATAGGACTATTTATTTAAAGGTTGATTACTACGTTGGATATAGTTTTCAGTACCTATTTTCTATGTATAAAAATATATCACAATTCAAAACAATTTTTGACATAAGGAAAATAGGTTATGAAGAGTTGATATCATCCATATATCATCACTGACATCGTAAAGTCATTCGCACTTATTAAGGTTGGTAGCTCTGCGGTGGGACTCTGTGTCACATGGAATTCCATCAATTGATTCAATTCCATACGACTGGCACTCCGTGTGCAAAAATAAATCAAATTCAAGCGGATAACCAAATGGAAATGGTATTTACCATTTTGGATTGGTATTTACCGATCCGTTCAAGCGAGTGTGGTTATCAGTTTGGTTATAAGATCCGTGACGTCATGAATCAGCTGTTATATGTCATAGTTATCACCGCAAAATTGTGGTATTTACCCAACTCCGGAGTAGTTTTATATTTCTGGTTATTATTTGACATGTGACAAGTTAGAATTTTGCCGGGTATTGGATATTTTTATTGTACTTCAGCTTCATTTTTGGGAAACTTGATACAGGCTGACTTCAGTTTTATCATTATTTATAATCATCACTGTTGTTGGGGACACTTTAAATCTAGTTCCTACACTTAAAAAAGTATCCTGTCTAGCCATATACCAAAAGAATATTAAAATATGGCCGTATAAACTCACTGGATGATGTCCACCTGTATACGGTTTTGTTAATATCTTTTTTCATCGCTTTTTCATCATTTTTGCTAAATCAATAAATATTTTCTTTGACATGCGGAAAAGTTTAGAGAATTGAAAGTTATCATAGCTACAAAGCCATGGTTCCATCAGTAAACATTTTTTTCGGAAAACAAAAACATTCCTCCCATTAATATTATGAAAGTTTTCTTTTTTCAACTTTCCATACCCCGTTGTAGACGAAAAAGCACTGATTATTAAGTGATAATAAAAATAATCAGAAATTATATACGCGCTTTTCTAAAATAAACATCTTGCAACAAACCGCGGTTAAAACCAACGCGTTCAAGCGATTCGAGTAACTGACGTCACCATCCCGTGTGTCATCTTGAACCATATTATAACCGCGGTACATAATACGGAAATTTTGGTTATCCGCTTGGATTTGATTTAGTCGCATGAAAGTGACAAATACTGTCGCTTGAAAACCACTTGTCTTGACGTGCGGAATTCTACGGAAAAAAGCTTTCTAACCTCACTTTGCAGTGTGTATATGACCTGACTGCGTCTTATTCCGAATATTGGCTTTAAATTTGGATCAATCATGAGAGTCAGACAAGAACATTGGAACTTGCTACTCGATATTTGCGAACAAAACCCTGAGGTGATCAGTAATAAATTTAATGGACCTGATGGCAAAGCAAAGGGTCATGAACTGTGGCAAAACATTACCCATCAACTGAATAGTTTGGGATTCGGCGAAAAAAACAAAGAAGATTGGAGAAGGGTAAAAGCTTTAATCAACAATATTTAATTTTGCAGTTAATGTATGTATTTAATAGGCTTTGATTGACTGGAAATGTAAAACGAAAGCTAAGGCATCAAAAATCAAACAAGAAATTGTGAAAACTGGTGGAGGACCAGCAAATTATGTACCTCTCTCTGATGCAGAAAAGCGGCTCCTCAGCCTTATGGGAACAAAGTCTGTTCAAGGAGATGATGTATGTGAAATGGGCTTTGGACAGGTGAGTACTTCATAATGCTACATTAACAAAGATTTATATGAAGATAAGTTTTGAGACATAGCATATACTATAGAGATAAAGCTTTGAAAATACTGTATTTCATTATAGGTAACCACAACATCTAATACAACAGATGTCTTTAACTCAACAATGGAAGCATCAAGCTGCAATGTGATAAATCAAGAAAATAGGCAAAATGATAACATCAAAACATTACCTGAGCACAATTATACTCCAACTAATACAAAAAATCCCTCAAGAAAACATCAAAGAACACCATATCAGAGAACTTACCAAAGAAATTCAAACAGATCAACAACAATTACTGAAGAATCACTCCAGGTCCTCAAAAAAATAGAAAGTAATACCCAAAGTATTGCAGAGTCATTGAAAATACTTGCTGCTGTTGCACAAATCGCATTTTCAAAAGACAGTTGAGTATATTTTTATTGGTTGACTTGCTTTCACTACATTTTTGTAATATCAAACTAGGCCATATAATCCTCATGAAAATTTATAATAAAAAGTCTAAAACATATTTTGTGTATTCATTTATTATCAATTAAATCAAGACAATTCTCTACAAGAAAATTGAAAAATCTAAGATTGAAGGAAAATCTTGTCTTATGCCACTCAAACCAGTGAAAATATTACGTCTCGTCAATCGAAGCAGCTGCTGGAAAAAAACTAGGCTATTTGTCTAGAGCTAGTACTTTTCTTCACATAACCTCCTCACTCTATACAAGGCCTCGATAAGACTTAGCCTCGAGTATTGCTCCCATATTTGGGGAACTGCACCTCCGACCACATTATGGACGGTCTCGAGACCCTGTCGCATCGACGGGATGTCGATGAGCTCTCTCCTACCGCTATGTCAATGGGATCCGCTCGGCTCCATGATGCCAACGCGTGACGAGCCTGTCAGACTTTGGCCTCCCATCCCAACTGAGTACGTCCAGATTTGGCTGGTACGGCAGCTCCTTTGTGCCCAAGGTTTTGAGACGGTGGAACAGTCTGCCTGAGAAGGCTTTTCCCGGTTCAACCAACCTTAGACAGTTCAAGGGTTGGATAAACAAGTTGTCTCTAAGTCCCTCATCATTGCAATCGTGGTGCCATGGCATTTTGAGCTTCTGCCTACGCGGCTGCTTCAGTATAAAAAAATAAAAAAGTTCATAGAATGAGTGATATGCTCATTTTAGAAACCACTTCAATCACCATTTTCTAAAATATCTACCACAGTATGTATCAAAATATAGACATTTTTTTTAAATATTTTTACATGGAACTTAACAATTTGTCTTAGTACTTATTCCTATAACATCTTTTCCAAAACTGGCATGTTTGCCCTAAGCAGATTCAAAAATTAACATGTTTTAGTAACAAACAACTTGTAATATGGAAAAGGATAAAATACATCTTTACAAGATACCTCGCATGATACATATGAGGAGCAACTTTTCAAAACGCATTTTGTCCATTTTGGACAAAATTGAGATAGAAGCGGTTTCTGAAATCATTTGTTGTATTCTACATTCCTAGATAAATAAAACATATCAAGGCGCATTATGTCCCTGTGTAATTGGAATGCAAAGTATAAGGTTCACATCAAAATGCATTTTGTCCACGGATCTGGTTTGATCAAAACGCATTATGTCATTTCACCGCTAGAAGGCGACAATATCGACCAAAAACAGCTGAAACTTGTCAGTTTTGTTCATTATAACCTGCATTTCAGTTCTGCCTATGCAGTGCAACAGGTGCAACAGCGATACACGTTTACTTAAATAAAAATAATTTACATTAAATATTTAAAAATTACTGTATTTTAAGGTGTTAAGTTTATTACAATGGAAAGCCTCGATACCAGTGTTATGGTGGGCAGCTATAATGAGGGATCAAGAAAAAAGCTACGACGAAAAACAAAAAGGGAAGCAGAATATGAAAAGAGGTAGGCACTGCTTGTTTGTTACAAAAAAAATGGTAGTACATGTTTCGTTCTTTTATAGATATCAAGACGCCGACCCCTTGTTGCTCAATTTTCGGCCAACCTGTATCCACCGAGAAGGCCAGTTTAATTGCAACAGTATTTCTAGAAGCATCCTAGCAAACGCAAAAAGAAAAGTTTTCATTAAGCCGGACAGAAAAGAGCAAGATAGAAGATTATCCTTTTTAATGGATGTAACGCATCCAAAACGCAGCCGTGTTCGTGGTGATGTGAGAAAAAACAAGCGACATCGCGTTGCAGTTAAATATTTCTTGATGTCGACAGAAAAACAAAGAATACCTGTATGCTCAAATTTTTTTGCGAAGTTATTTGGGGTTGGTCAACGAAGATTGAATACAATTGCTGACGGAATGTTATCTGGTGTCGGAATAGTGGATAAACGAGGAGGAGATCACAAACTTCAGAGGTTTTCAGCAAAAAGGAAGAAAGTGTACGAGTTTATTTCAAAACTAAGAGCTTCCGAAAGTCATTACGCAAGAAATAAAAGCCGCCGACTTTACTTGCATTCATCTTTGAACATAAATCGACTCTTTCATCATTATAACTCTACCGTTGAAGAAGAGCAGAAGGTGAAAAAGACATTTTTCGTGAAAATTTTCGAGACAAAGTTTAATCTAGGGTTTGGGTCCCCTGCTTCCGATACATGTAGTTATTGCGCTAGACTTAAAAGTAAACTTCAATCTTGTGAAAATGGTGTTACCAAAGAACGTTTAGTTGCAGACATTGTAATCCACAAAAAGAGAGCTAAAGCCTTCCATAGTTTGATGAAAGCAACCCCAGAAGCAAGCATAACGTATGTGTTTGACTTGCTACAAGTGCAACCGATTCCCAAAGTCAGTATTGGTGAAGCTTTCTATGCAAGGCAAATTTCATTTTATGCTTTTTGCGTAACTGATGTTGCAACTAAAAATCCACATTTTTATATCTGGAATGAAACACAAGCTGCAAGAGGTGCTCAAGAAATTTCTTCAGCTTTAATGGACTTTTTAGATAAATTGCGGATTGATGACTCCATAACCCAAATAAGGCTTTTCGCGGATGGCTGCGCAGGCCTGAACAAAAATCAGCACATGATCCATGCCCTAACATTCTGGCTACAGAAAAACTCTCCAAACAATATAAAACAGATAGTAATGTATTTCCCAGTTCGCGGGCACTCATACCTACCTGCTGACAGGGTATTTGGCCGAGTTGAAAAACATCTACGAAAAACTGAAGAGGTGTTGGACCCCACAGCTTATATTAAAATTTACAAAGAATACGGGACTATCAGCGTACTAGGCGAAGATTGGTTTATCAAAAATTACAAAGACTTAAAAGAGATACTAAAACCAATCGATGGAATAAGTGACATGAAGAGGATCTTTTTACAAAAATTTTTAAAAAAAGGCTACGTTGATGTTAAAATGAAACTTGCGCCCACCTACATATTCGACGACACTTCGAAACAGCTAATGTCGATAACAAAACGGGGTCATGCTTTCTCAAGGGATATGCAGAATCGCTGCAACCTACCATTGGTAAATAAAGTCAAGGAAGATAAAAGAACTGATGTGCGGAAGCTGCTTTGTGCAAGATTTGGCCAAGAGTGGGAAGATGACATCCCGCTATCGCCGTTTTTGTTTTTTCATCATGCCTTAAAGCCCATGACAGAACCAGACGCTGAAAGTGCAAATCCAGACACTGAAATTACAGATCCCGCCAAAGATGTAACTGAACAAACGTCCATGTGCGACTGCCTCGAAGAAGATCCCACCAAGGAACAAATTTGACTTTTTTTACGTGTGCTTGATATAAGTATTATTAACATTACTATTCATGTTTGTATGTTTCGAATAAATTAAATAAAAACAAAATAATATGTTCCCAAACCAATAAATTGCAACAAATAGCATTATGTCCAATTTTAACTGCAACAAAACGAATTTTATACATTGTGATGAAACAAAGCGCATTAAGTCCAAACATTTTTCAGATTTCCTCACTTTTTCTGATAAATTTTGATTTAAATGAGGTAACTTATTACGCCTATTGCAGTCCCACTCTATGTCTGTCGCTGCTGACCGGCAGATCGACGGTGGCTGGGGGAAGATGACACGACGCCAAGACGCGAATGCTCTCAACCGATTCAACGCAGCGCAATAAGACGTTATATTTGTTTGTTACTTAAGATTGTTGGAATATATATTTATTACTGCAAGTAGTATTGATCGACTAGCGGCTCACCATCCTAGACAACATCAGAAGTGTGTGTTTTACGGTGGTTCCCAATTTTAGCAAATATTCTGCAGGCTGTTGTTTGCTCAGAGATTGGACAAGATGCCAAAGCAAAAGCAAAGGAAATCCAGAAAACGAAGTAGAAGAGAACCTTCCTCGTCTTCAACAACCAGTAGTTCTTCCGGCAGTTCTAGCAATAGTAATGGGCATAAACATAAGAGATCCAGGTGTAAGTCAAGGGAAACCGTGAGTAGCGAACATTATTCTACTTTTACGAGGGCCGATCAGGGAATACATATTTCGATGGTAATTCCAGAATTTGATCCGAAAATTAATGACATATCAGAGTGGTTAGAGGTTATCAAATATAATGCAGATATTTACAAGTGGCCTGATAGCCTTATTAAGTGTCATGCTTTGAATAAACTCAAGGGTACAGCCAAAACCTGGTATGACAGTTTCATTCAGGGTGACTTGGGGTGGTCTAGTTATGCTTGGGGCCAGTGGGAGGATATATTGAAAAATACATTCCAGAGTACACGTAATGCTTATCAACTGTTGATGGAAATGGTAAATCATAGACCCAGCGAAGGTTGTTCGTTATATGATTTTTGTTTTGAACACATAGCGAGAATAAATAAGTTACGAGTAGGATTTTCAGATTGTGACAAGGTATCATTAATTATAGGTGCTATAAATGACGTTAATATAACATCAGCTGTGGAGGCAGCAAATATTCGAAATCCTCATATTTTGGCGGCATATCTGAAGAACAAAACTTATACTGGTAGGGGCAAACCGTTAAAATCAGAGGTGCAACAGTCAATCAATCAAAGTGGTCGATTGGGAGCATCTGACAATATAGTCCGGTCAAGTACGATACATCAAAATGTAAATTGCACCACATGTGGCAACAGAGGTCACGAGCGGAATGATTGTAAACATAGAAATAAGATATGCAATTTTTGCAGAATTAAGGGGCATATTGAGGTGAATTGTTTCAAGAAACGAAAGAACTCAAGTGAACCAGGCAGATAGGATAATTCAACTAAGTCTTCAAAAGTAAAACAAAAAATTGAACAGGTCAAATTAATTAAAAGTCAGAATAGTGCTTCAAAATTTTTCAAAAAAATATTTCTTGATGGGAATTTAATAGAAGCTTTTGTGGATTTTGGTAGTGATTGTTCTCTAATAAAATTGGCAATAGTGCAGGAGCTAGGGTTAACGTTGAAACCTCTTGGGGAGAAGGTAACATTGTCAGGATTTATGGGTATAGGGACTGTTGTTACGCAATTTGTTGAGGTAATGACCCAAATTGATCAGGTGAAACTTAATACAAAATTTTATGTGGTTTCTAATGAAAGTGTAGACAATGATGTTCTTGTTGGGAGAAATTTCACAGAAAATAATACTATTATGTATTATCGTATAGATGACAAGTTGATATTCAAAATAAAGGACAAAAAGCCACAGTGGTTGCAAAATGTCAAAACAGGGGTGTTGTCAGAACAAGATAATAAGACTCTGCAGGATATTCTAATTCAATATCAAGGTTGTATATTTTTGAATTTGAATAATTTGGGGAAGGCACACTCTGTTTCATTAAAAATAGAGTTGGGCAATGACAAACCAGTCACTCATAAGGCCTATCGATTAGCAGAGATAGAAAAACAAATCATGAGAGGTAAGGTACAGGAACTTTTGGAGGCTAAAATCATACGTGAAAGTAATTCACCATATGCCAGTCCTGCTCTTCTGGTCAATAAAGGAACTAATGACAAACGACTAGTTGTCGATTACAGGGCGCTAAACAAAATAACTGTTAAAAATAATTTTCCAATGCCATTAATCGAAGAAATTATTGATAATTTGAGTGATTACAAGTATTTTACCTCGCTTGACCTAGCATCAGGTTACCATCAAATACCGATGGAGCCTGCTTCAATGAAGTATACAGCGTTCATAACACCTGAAGGGCATTTTGAGTACGTTCGTATGCCGTTTGGGCTTTGTAATGCCCCATTGGTATTTCAGAAATTTATGAATGAAATCCTTATGCCTTTAAGAAAATTTAATGTGGTTCCTTACTTGGACGACATCTTAATACCGTCAAAGACTATAGAGGAGGGGTTAGATTTATTGCCTAAGGTACTGAAAATTGTACAGGAGTATGGTATTGTAATAAAAATCGAAAAGTGTTCTTTTCTTACAGAGAAGATAGTTTATCTAGGATATCAAATCTCATACAATCAAATATCACCATCCAACCTGAAAATTGAAGCGGTGGAACAATTTCCTTGTCCTAAGACACAACATCAACTGAGACAGTTCTTGGGTCTCGTCGGCTATTTTCGGAAGTTCTTAAAAGATTTTGCGCGAATTACCGCCCCATTGACGAAGCTATTAAAGAAAGGAAGTCGGTGGTCTTGGACAGAAGTTCACACACAAATAGTCAAAGATTTAAAAGCCAAAATTTGTGCAGAACCTATTTTGGCAATATTTAATCCAAAAGCACTGACAACCGTATATACGGATGCTAGTCGTGATGGTTTTGCAGGAATTTTGATGCAAAGTACAGATGGTAAAGAGAGACCAATAGCGTATTTCAGTAGGCAAACTAATACCGCTGAGAAAAATTATCATTCTTTTGAGTTGGAACTATTAGCAATAGTCAAAACTTTGGAACGGTTCAGATTTTATTTAGTAGGCTATCAGTTCCAAATTTTTACTGATTGCAATGCGGTAAAGAACGCATTATCTAAGCAGTCGATAATTCCAAGAATTGCTAGATGGGTCTTGTCTTTACAAGAGTTTTCTTTTACCATTCACCATAAAGCAGGTACTCAGATGCAACATGTAGACGCACTTAGCCGAAACTTTAATGAATCTCAAAACAAAGCACAAGTCCTACTCATCCAAGAAGATGACTATCTCAGGGAAGCACAGGATCAAGATGAATCCATAGTGGAAATTAAAAATATTCTTTTAAGTGGGGATGTTCAGAGTCACAAAGATGTTTTTAATAATTACGATTTAAGGGGGAACAAAGTCTATAAGTTAACACCTTATGGGAGAAGATGGGTAGTCCCAAACAAGTGTAGATGGCAAATCGTCAAAGCAAACCATGACGATATAGGTCATTTTGCGGTTGATAAAACGTTAGAGAAAATTAAGCAACGGTATTGGTTTCCCAGAATGAGGCATTTCATAACAAAATACATAAATGCATGTTTACCTTGTTTATATCATAAAGATAAAGGGGGCAAAAGACCCGGGTACCTTCACTCCATCCCAAAGTATGCTAGACCACACCACACACTACATATAGATCATTTAGGACCTTTTGTGAACACAAAACAGGGAAACAAGTATTTAATAGTTGTTGTTGATGGCTTTTCGAAATTTGTGTATTTAAAAGCAGTTCCTGATACATCTGCAAAATACGTAATTCAAATGTTAACTGAAATGTTCGCGATGCTCGGTAACCCAAGACGACTCATCACGGATCTTGGATCTGCGTTTACTTCAAAGGCCTTCGAGGAATTTGTTGCTGCAAGAGGGATACGGTTATTTACAACAGCTGTTGGTCTCCCAAGAGGCAATGGTCAATGTGAGCGGACGAACAGAACAGTTCTAGACGCTTTAGCAACATCTGGTTCGCAAACAAGTGAAGACAATTGGGATACTAATCTTTCACATATACAACAAGGACTGAATAGTACTAGACACCGTATTACACAAAACACGCCCGCAGAAGTAATGTTTGGTTTCCAACTACGGACTGATAGTGACAAATACCCTGATGACGATATGGAAACAACTCTAGATGTTACAAAAATCCGAAAAGAGACAGCCAAACGTCTGGAACACAATAGAATCGAACAAGATTTAAAATTTAACACTAAACGTTCTCTACCTAGGTTGTACCAGGTGGGAAATGTGGTATTAACTAAAGTAACCAGCTTTTCAGCGAATGAAGACAGTAAAAAGTTACGTTTAGAGGACCATTCAAGATAGTTGAGGTTCTACCCAATGACAAGTATAGAGTGCAAGAAGATCGTTTCACACAGAGGTCAAGGCGACCATATCAAGCTGTGGTAGGTGTGGAACACATGAAACCCTTCAAAGTTCAAAATCAATAAGGTGAGTAATGAACTACTCAAATGTTACGCCCTCAATGGCATCTGTTCTGCTCTCAATGGCAAATGTTACGCCCTCAATGGCATCTGTTCTGCTCTCAATGGCAAATGTTACGCCCTCAATGGCATCTGTTCTGCTCTCAATGGCAAATGTTACGCCCTCAATGGCATCTGTTCTGCTCTCAATGGCAAATGTTACGCCCTCAATGGCATCTGTTCTGCTCTCAATGGCAAATGTTACGCCCTCAATGGCATCTGTTCTGCTCTCAATGGCAAATGTTACGCCCTCAATGGCATTGTTCTGCTCTCAATGGCAAATGTTACGCCCTCAATGGCATCTGTTCTGCTCTCGATGGCAACTGTTACGCCCTCAATGGCAAGTTTTGCTCTCGATGATGAATGGTCGTCCTCGATAGCAAATGGTGTTGATGGCAATAGGTATAGGTGTTTCCTAAATAACTTAATATTTTCAGACGTTCGGGACGAACGTGACGTCAGGATGGCCGTGCAGTCCCACTCTATGTCTGTCGCTGCTGACCGGCAGATCGACGGTGGCTGGGGGAAGATGACACGACGCCAAGACGCGAATGCTCTCAACCGATTCAACGCAGCGCAATAAGACGTTATATTTGTTTGTTACTTAAGATTGTTGGAATATATATTTATTACTGCAAGTAGTATTGATCGACTAGCGGCTCACCATCCTAGACAACACTATGTATTAGTTTCTGTCAAAAAAACTCACTGTCTTAAAATTATATGACAAGATTTAACAGAAAATCGTTTTTCGTTAATACTGAATAAAATATTTTTTGGACAAAATATGTTTTGAAAAGTTGCTCCTCATATATACTAATTAGTGAAGTATCTGGCAATAATGTTCCTTCTTAGCAAAATCCCATCTCTGTTTGTTCTTTGGTCAAAATTGCCTTGTTCCAGATGATTGTCAGTATCCTGTAGTGGTAGCATCTCCAAATTAAAATCCAATCTAGCAGCTACACATATATTATGTAAAATTGCACAAGCATTTGCAATATTACCCACATTTGATAAACAGAGGAATCTTCCTTTCAATACACCTATGCACCTTTCTACACAGTTTCTTGTCTGAATATGGGAATCTGTGTATCTTCTTTCTGGCGAACCAGGCAATGCATTTTGGATAGGAGTTATCAACCATGGTTCCTGAGGATAACCTGAGTCGCCTAAGAGCCATGAATGTCTATCACCTACATTAAAAAAAAAAGTTACCTAAAAATAATTTTCATCTGTGAATGTTACAAAAAGGAATATCAATCAACAATTGCTTTTGTGCATATTTCATATATATGCAATATGGTCCTTGATTATGAAATAACAAATAACACTCTGAGCATACCTTCCAAATCATTCCTCACCAATGAATTTCTCCATATATATGAATCATGAGATGCACCTGCAAACCTGGCATTGATATTAAGAATGTTTAGATCATGATCACAAACCTGAAACAGTTTTTGGAAATTATAGAATTATATTTTAATATAATCAATCAACCTTACAATTTGTATATTTTTGGAATGGTAACCCTTTCTGTTCAAATAGTTATGCTCTTCCAAAGTTGGCCTTAGTATTTCCACATGTGTGCAATCAATTGCTCCGATTACCCCAGGGAAACCTCTTGCTTCCATGAACCTTTGCTTAATTACATGTTTTTCTAATGCTGTTCTTGGAAAGTGTACCAGTTGTTCAGAAAATGTACTGATAATAGCATTAGTTATTTCATGAATAGCCCTTGAAATACTCTGCTGAGACATTGAAATGTCATAGCTCCTGCCTATCACTCTTTGGTAAGTGCCAGTAGCATAAAAATGAAGCGCAGCAAAAAACTTCAGGATAACAGGTACTGCTACAGGATTCGGCACCTGGTTCAAATGAGGTATGATGCCATTTAAAACATATTGGGCCGTCTTTATTCAGCCTGAACAATTCTTTGAATCTCACATCCTCAAGTGAAAAGGGATCACTTTGATTTCTCATCAATCTCCTGTCCATATTTTCGATACAGATATAGTGGATACCAAATAAAATCCGATGCACGTCATAGGTGATGTCATTCATAAAAATCATGGTTACCAACAGTTGACTACATTCAATGTGACATTTCTACTTGAAGTTTAAATTTCCCCGTCTCGATTCGGTTGGTAGTGCCGTGCAGAGAAATGTGAGGTTGCCACTTCTCATTTGTTGACATCAGTTGCCATTGTCCTTTTGTCGTACTATTAGTTCTTTATTGTTTAGTTTGTGAGTTTTGCGCTATTTGAGCTTTGAATCGTTGCCTTGCCAATTAAAAATTGTTCTTTTCAGAACAACAGTTACTGTGAAGTGGTGTAAAGTATCCAAAATGCCAAAACAACTTAACAGTCGGTGTAAAGAGCTCATATCATTGAATATCACCTAAATCAGGTGTTTTTATTCAGAAAGGAATTTAATTTTACAACAAGTTTATTTATTTTTAATATAATGGTATTATAGTAAATGGTAGGTATATATAAACAATTTATTTTATTAAATTTATTTGCTTAAAAGAAAATGTGCAAATTCTGGCAACAGCGCACAGCTCCAGATCGATGACGTGCATCGGGTTTTATTTGGTATCCACTATATCATCTAGCCTTTCCTCTTCTTCAACTGCCAATATCGCAGCTATGTTTATAGGTACTAGATTTCAACAGTGAAATATGCAATCAAAAACTAAGACCAAGGTTTCAAACATATAATAAAACACTGCCACAGGTGATAGGTTAATTACAGTCAATGTCAAAAGAGCCAATGCGATACAAACATAAACATAAACTAAAAAATTATGAGATACTTTCATCTTAGATTGGCGAAAATACCCGAAGCGTAGTCGACTGTGACACAGAGTGCCACAAAACGCGACAGTTGCTTTTGTACAGTCGATATCAACAGTGGAAAGCAAGGTCTAGAATTCCATGAGACACGGAGTCCCACTACTGAACTGACTGATTCAGATTCAGAATTTTTAGTCCCGTCCTACTGTTGAGGGAGATATTATCCATCTGGCAACACTGACGCTATTTTATGTACGTTACTGATGTGTGCCTTAGCTGCCTTGATTCAATTGCGTGCTCTGATAAAAAGCGGAGTGGGTAAGTACATTGTTATTTATTTGAATGCTGTACGTCCATTGTCCAAGTAAACACATTAACACAGGGGTATCCCCAACGACGATGGACGTTGGGGACTATCAGTACCGGATGCTCCGCTGTGCGATTTTCGTACGCCGGCGCACATGGCGTGATGCCGAGAGTGATTTTCATTTGGGTTGATTTGATATGTGGATAACGTGCACGTGCATATTTTCACTTGCAGGCCAAACGGCTGGACGGATTTTCACATATATGAAGTGTCGTTGCATTCAGTCTTAGCGGTGCGTGTCTGCGAGTGACAAGCTACATTAAAATTTTATACACAACAAAATGGTGGATTTCAATAAAATATTTCAACCTTGTAATAATTTCTATTTCATAGGCTACAGCTCAAACTGCTTGATAGATTTTCACATAATATGAGGTGTCGTTAGATTCGCCTTAGCGGTGCGAGAGACAAAAGCTACATTAAAATTTTATGCAAAACAAAATGGTGGATTCCTATTCCACAGGCTGTAGCTTAAATGGCTTCCTAGCTCCAGAATAGAGCTTATCGTCACTTTACTATAAAAACAAGATAACTCCATTTATCTACATTACCTATATTTTAGTATGTTCTGTGAAGCAGGATACATGCTCATGACGTTAATACTGGACTACATTAATTTATCCTTATTTCACAGAACATCCTAAGTACATGTAAAGTGTGAAAACGTACGCAACTCCAAAAATAGAAAAATGGGGTTACCTTCTTTTTGCAGTAAGCTTGCGGTATAACAATAAATGGAAATGACAATTTTTCCCCATTTCCTTTTACGAGTTTTCTGGACTTTCAAACTTTTATTCAGTTCTTTGATGTGGAAGAACATTCTCGACCTGAAAAATCAGGACAGTCAATGTTGCTGCTCTTCAACAGAAGTTTTCCTATAAAATTTTGCTTCTATGTCACTATTCCATCCCCATTGAATGTGGTAAACACCTTGTTCAGCTTCTCAATTTGATTAATCAAAGCTGTGGAAGGTTTTGATAATCCACCCTCACTAAGATGGTTCTATCCAGGAATAAGTTTCATTTGAGGAACTTGCCAACCTCTCATCCTGCAATTTATGGCAAAGAAAGCTGGCAAAATTTTTTAGCCCATCATACTCGAGCTCATCTATTTCTTCCACTAAAACTTCCTCGTTATAGTTAGTTGATATTTCAGGGGTATTCAGTTTATTCATTAATGATGCAGTTAGTGGAATGTCCGAAGTATCCTCTTCCTCTACGCTGCAATACTGTGAGTATGCACCTTCGTTTCACCCCAAAATATATGTCCTTATTCTATGCTTAAAATCTAGGGGATAACTTGAGCCCTTTGTCTTTTTTCGTAAGCACTTTTCCGCTTTTCCCCAGCAACATGTAGAAGGTCCAGGTGATGATAGAGACTTGGGTATGTTTTCCATAGGAATGGCATCATCTTTCAGACCACAAAATCTTTTAGGGGTGTAATCCAAAAGGGTATGTTTCAAATTAACCTTATAGGCACTATCCAAAAGTGCTTCGAGCAAACCCTAGCGCTTTTTAGATTGACTTTGAAGTAGCCATTTTTTTGCTAAGGTTTGGATCTTAAGGAAAACTGTGGAAATTGATATCTTTGCAAAGATTCCGTTTAGATTGGTTGTCGGAATTAGATCCCACAACAGCGCACCGCATTTTTATCAATTTATCAACCACACAGGGTGTATCATTAACTAATACAACAGGTCAAAAATCACCAACAAATGGCACTATATGGTATTAACCACGATACACGTGCACTGCAGTAACGTTACGACAATCCTGCTGCTGGTAACTACGAGCCGACAACTCTCAAGGTGACGTCACGAAGCTCCGCCCAAATGCGCAACGTCCTATCTTCATTGTATGTGTATTGTGCCCTTGGGAATATATTGTTTCATGACTATCACCTTTTTTATGTAATTTTTTTATTGCATAGTGTTAAACTCAACTGGTCATATAAAATAACAACTGTTCTTACCTTATATGCGAATATTTTCCTGTGTAGATCTGAAATAGTTTCGTGAAAATTTTTATCATACATGCAGTTTATCTCTTGTCTTAGTTTGGTGGCATATGGCAATACTTCATTTTTTACTTTAAAATGAAAGATTAGGATGTAACTTTTACGAAAATATAATTTTTTCTTTAAGGGACCACCTCTGCTTGCTATTTTATATAACTTCAAAGCTGCATTTTTGGTGGTAATACTCTAGAATAGAATACTGTTTTTACTCTGTCTTTTTTTGTTTTTTACACAAAAGGGTGCTCTAAATTAAAAGAATATAACATACACTGTATAGTACTAAGGAAATTAGATGTGAAACTGTAAAAAATCCTTGTTTGTTGCAAGATGAGGTTCAAAACCAGCCGTGTTATTACACATTATAGCTTAGTAGCTAAAATAACGGTTCGAAATACATACGTAAATGATGTAATTTACTTGGTAAACTGTGTAGAGGTATTGTGTTGTGATTTTTCAATGTCTTCTTGTAATTCCTTAACCATTTTTTTTTTTCGCGTATTTTCAATGAGATCATAGTTTTTGCGTTTATAAGAAATATTTGAAAGTACAAACAATTCTCAATAACGTTCATCTCTTGACAGATAAGATAAATAAGGTCCATTGTTGCCAAGTTGTACTTTTTTTGGGAGAAATACGTAATGAAAAATAAGGTTATTTGCAAAATAAAAGTCTTGATTTATTGTAAATGGTGTTTTATGAGAAGTTGTCCCAATATTTACCGAAAAGTAGATGAAATTTTGAATAGTATGTGTCTAAACAGTGCACCAGCGGCACGCGTGACAAAAAATACAAAAGGCACCAGCGGCTTCTTAGGCTCTTATTTCACGCCGCGGGTCATATCCGCCGGCTTAATGCCCTACATACGTAAATAACAATTAACAGTATGACTCGACCATATAGTGATACTACTATAAATTTCGAAACTTCGTAAGCTTCATTTTGTTAATTACTTAAATACGTAGATTTGCCCAAATTTAAACAACCTCGTATATACTTCGATTCTTCTAATCTATTCGAAAATTCTACCTGCATGATGACGTGACATCGGACAGAAGAAAAATTGGTGAAAAACTAGTTATTCGGGGCTACCCATAAATTATTTCACTGTTTTTATTCATTGCAGCTCAAAATGTCTCATCTCAACGCTCTAACGATATGCGGTGTTCGATTGTTCAGCCCTGAAGAAAATCAGAACGTACTGTTCAGCACTCCAGTGACATTATTCTTAGGGCAAAATGGTTGCGGTAAAACTACCATCATAGAGTGCATCCGATATGCGCTTACCGGAGAAATACCTGCAGGGACTAACAATGGCCATGGATTCTTGAACGATCCTGGCGTGTCGGATGTTTCTATTACTAAAGGTAAGTTAGCTCCGTATATTGAAAATTTTAGTAATTGATCACCTGAAGACAAACTTCTACAGGATATATAAACTAAACCCCGTGATTGATAGTTTTCCCCAAAAAATCCAGTGTTGTCTTTGACCATGACCTTTAAGGTCCAGTCGATTTTTTAAATAGAACCCCCCGTTTTTCACTTCATTAATGAAAAAATATGGAAAATTTTTTGTTCAAATATGGTCTTGATAATTCTCAGACTGGTCAATGGCAAACTGAGGTACGGTGATATAACTTGAAAGCCAGTAGTCGTATAGGGGAACTATACAGGCATTATTTTCATGATTTATATCTAATTGTGACCTTGGATCTGACCTTGGTAATGACTTTCAAGGTTATTTGAAGGTCAACTCCTGTTTTAATGGGATACTATACTTTTAACCGCGAAAATCTGGCGAATATGAGACCGGAATAGGCTATTTGACTAATTTTGCAAAATCATTTTAAATTATTCTTTTATATATAATGAGCACACTACATGAATATTTCCTGAAAATCTATACTATTTTTAATAGAAATCAAATTTAAAGTTTGAATTTTTAGAACCGCGCCAAAAACGCTATTCCTGTGATGGCGCCGGCAGATGACGTCTGTGACGTCACGCGCCAGTAAACACGATTACGAGCTGTCAGCCGAAGTTAATTTCTGTGCTTGATTTTGCTATAAAATCATAGATAAAATGGTCTATAAATGGTGTGTAGTGCCAAAATGTACGAATACGTCTATAAATAGTCCACAAACATTGTTTGTTTCTGTTCCAACCGATTGTAAAAGACGAAAAAAGTGGTTACTATTAGCTCGGAGAGACCCAAAGGGCATTTCATCGACTTCAAATGTATTTATGTGTGAAGATCACTTCGATGTAAGTATAAATTGAATATGTTATCTACTAGGTAGCTTAAATTACCGCTTTTTTTAAGATTGAAATAATATATAACTATCTATAACCTCAAATGTATCTTTGGTTATGTTGAGGATAAGTCAGTGTTGAGGATCAAAGATCCTGTTTATTAACCCTAAACTTATTACTCTGTAGGGTTTCAAAATGTTTTCTGTTGTTGTGATTATATTAGCTACCTACATATCTCAATAATTTTCTATGCTGTGTCATTTTACCTACTTTGCTTATTAGATAGTGATAGTTATGTTGAATTGCAGATGGAAAAAGACACCATTAACTACATGCAGTACAAAATGGGTTTCAGAAAGAAGATACTTTTGACAGAAGATGCTGTGCCAACAAAATTTCATTGTCAAGAAGATCGTAAAAGACCACTGTCTGATGCTGGACTTTCTCGAGGAGCATATGTCAAGAGGAAAAGAATGGATTTGGTCAACACATGTTTGCAAAGTCAAAATGCTACTGAAGCCCAAGCTGAAAGCTTACAAAAAGATGAGAGTTTGATACAAGACATTATTGAACCTCAAGGTATGTAATCTATTACATGTGTCCTATCATAAATTATAGTCTAAGAGCTGATAGACATTTTTGTAACCTATTTGAGGCCTTATAAAAACTTGTCTACTACTTCTTCCATTATTTCTGAATAAAAAGGGCAGAACTGAATAACATATTTGTAGCACATTGAGATTTTCACAGAATAATATTTATGGTTTAAAATTGTTATATTCCAAGTGATAGGTCATTTTAATGGGACATTTTACTTGCTAGGTGATCAAGAATGCTCAACTTGTACTTCAGGTAATGGGTAATTTTCTCTCAAGCTGTTGATGTTGTGATTCACTACCCCTTATCCAGCACTGCACTTTTTCTTCAGTGATAATGGTAGTAGGAAGTAGTAGACAACTTTTCATAGTGCCTTAACATAATCATTTACATTGAAATTAAGACATTAATTTTGAGTCTTTGTTCTTTCAGGTTTATCAAGAACTCAAGACAGAGAAACTATTACCAACTCTATCATAACTGCAGAAAAATCTGTGCAAGTAACAATAAAAGAGAATGTGCATCATAGGAGCAAATCTGTGCAAACAAGATGCCAGACTACAAGTATTTCTACCTCACCAATGAAAGTTTCTACAACATCTCGTTCCACTTCGCCCTTTAAGATTAAACCATGCAGTCTTCGACCATCACAGTCTGAAATTGTCAAAGCAGTCAAGAGAAATGTTTTTCTTGAAGATGAAAAGTCAGATAGTGATATTTCCTGTATTGAAAGTGGTCGTCATTTATCACCTTTTGTAACTAAATCAGCATCATCATCATCAGGGCTTACGGACTCTGATAGTAATGTTACAGATGCCAATGAGAATATTGAAAAATTAGAGTGCCTCAAAATTACTATGCGTTCAATCTCTAAAAAACCAATGATGTATGTTGGTATTCCAAAAGAATGTTATTTCTTAATCAAATTGTTACATAAACACAAGCATAAAAGTAGAACACATTTTGCTATGCTTGAAAAAGATTAGAATGAACAGTACATTTTCTGAACTGGAGGATAATTTTGGAATATCATTATCTTATGCTAGTAAATTGTTTCTACAAAATATACCAATAATAGCTAGTGTTTTAAGACCATTCATTGTAAATATAGATAAAAAATTGGTAAAAAAAAATCTTCCTATTTCATTTAGACATAACTATCATAATGTCAGTTGCATCATAGATTGTTTAGAGATTGATATACAAAAACCATCAAAGGCTCTTCATCAGTCATTGACGTGGTCAGAGTACAAAAAGGGGAATACTGTGAAGTATTTAGTATCCTGCACACCTAATGGGTTAGTTAATTATGTTTCGCATGGGATTGGGGGCAGAACCAGCGATGCCACAATAGTAGAAAATTGTAACTTTCTAGATGGATTACCTCAAGGATCCTGTTGCTTAGCTGACAGAGGCTTCAAACACCTTGAACAAATACTTCATGAAAAGGGACTAAAACTATTAAGGCCACCCAGTGTAAATGCTGGTGCAAAGTTGTCAAAAACTGAAGTTCGACAAACTAAAATAATAGCTAGTTTGCGGATTCATATTGAAAGGGTAATAAGGCGTTTGAGAGAATTTCATATTTTAAAGCAACATTCAGTGATAAATACTAACATACGTCGTGTACTTGATCATGTCATTATAATTGCATGTGCTCTAATAAATTTGCAAGATTCTCTTATTAAATAATGGGTTTTTGCCTGTTATGATACTTTATACTTAATTATTATCATGTATACGTAATCTCCTCTTTTGTGACATACCATTTGAACTTTGTGTTTTGTACTTGGCTGAATAAATACTTCTACTACTACTACTATAAATAAAGAAATAAATGATGTAAAACCATGAATAAAATGATAATAAAACAAGAAATATGCACTGCATAGTTTTTTATTTGATAATCACAGACTAGTGCTACGATACAAAATAGGATATATATTTTTTTCCAAAAAATATACAAGTTTTTTATTAAGTTGTTGACATAATCATCTTCGTACTTCACTAGAATAATATCTACATTTTTTGTTTCGTCAAAGTTGCTATCAGCAACACAAAAATAACATTTTTTCATACCAGTTGCATGCATCTGTAATTGAACCTGTGCCTTACATTTCTCTGAAATAATTCCATTTTTTAAATAATTGTTCTTAGCTTTTGCTTTGGTAGGGCATTTTATTTCAACAATGGCATCTTTCAATAAACCATCAGGAGATGCTGCAAGCATGGGATTGTCTTGGCATACATAAAGTCCACATGTTCTGATTTTTTTGTTCAATGTTGTACTAACTGTCTTCCGGACAGATAGCTCCAAACTTCTACCTCTTTTCATTGCAATAGTATCTGGTATTTTTGCGCCCATTATAGTAGCAACCAATGAACCATCAGGTGTATGACATACGCTCACTTCATGTGCCTTTGAAGCTGTGATACGGCCATACCTCATCTCATACCACAAGCTGCTCTTGTACTGCATTCTTGTTGCTTCTTCAATTGCACTGATAGCAGCTCTGTTGAATGTTGTCTTCATTATGTCTACAAGATTGTCTACGTCTGCTTGAATTTTTGGTGGTTGGTCCATTATGAAACAGTGCAGCGAATACCGCATAACATTTGAGTATTTAAAATCGTCCTGATATTTTATCAATTCGCAGTGTTGAAGTTTTCTTTTTTTGGCTTCCAAAACAAAGTCTGTGTAAAGTGCTGATGTACTTGGTCTGTGTGGTACTTCCTTTTTCGACATCTGCTGCACAGTGATGTACTTCAGAGTAGTCCCTACTCTTGACAATGTTGGCTTTTTCCAATAACATTCCACCGAAGTAGATGGAGGTTCCTCACTGCGCCGATGTACCCACATCAAAAAAGCGACTGCATGCTTGCATCCTCCTGCTGAAGCAGCACAGTCATGGCACTGACAACTTATTATCTCGCTTTCATTTTCGTTGATAACCATTGTCACATTATAAGCTTTTGATCTCACTTTGTGCTCTGGGCACATTTTGCACTTAAGTGTGCAAAGTCCATGCTCCCGGTGCAGCTGCACATAGCCAATTGCATCGTCTCCGTAGGACTCCCTTCCAGACCTGTAAAACAAAAGCAAAACATGAAAGTATGTTTTATTCATGAAACCAAATATGAACCATATTATCATATTGAACTGAAAGCTTTTTTCATTACATCAACATAACCTAAAATAAGATTGATTTTACAAATCTTTTAATGATCATACATAAAGGTTAGTAGGTATAAATAAATACTTTCTATTACTACTTACATTGTTGTTTTCACATGTTTGAGTTCCGCAGCATAGTAGTCCGCATTATTTTTGAAGAAAAATGCTACCATTAATGCGTCAACCTTAGGTAGATTGCTGTTATCAGCTTGCACAAAATTTAGGTCCATTTTGAAGTCCACAACGAATAATGATGTCAATAGTTGAAAGATTGATCAAGAAAGTAATAAAAATCTGTTTATGAAATAGAATTATGATAGAATATCTCACAGAAAGCCAGCAAAAACGTACAACGCGATGTTTGTTTACTTGCATGTGACGTCACCAGAGTCGCAGCCAATCGCAGGGCGTTTCTGTGACCCATCGAATTTTTAAAAATAGCTGATTTTTATTTGATTATTTCCCAAAAAATATACATATTTAGGTGTACATTAAAGTACTATGTGTTTTCTTATTCTACTATCTAATAGGATGACCACAATTCGCAACTTATTTTCAATACTGTCAAATAGCCTATTTTAGATGTAGATTTTTCCGATTTTTTTAAAGTCTGTGATTTGAAAAGTATATGACTAGCCTAACCCCCGGTTCCGGATTGACGTCGACTTCTGGGACACCCTGTATAAATGAAGAATTCGTAGAAAAGTTTAAATACCTTGGAGTTTTCATTGACTCTAAATTAAATTTTGATATTGATTACGAGAAAATTATAAACAAGATTAGTAGTAAAGTGGGATATTTATCAAGAGTTTCAGGATGTTTGGGTTCATAAGTGTATACTAGCAAAAATGGTCAATAATAATATCATTCTTGCTAACTCCTTTTACTTAGTCCGAATTCGTAGGAATTTATGGTTCTGCTCTACAGGTAACGTTGAATTAAAGTACACGGACAATACCGGCAACGTCATCACGGTATCCAGATTCATGCAGGTTTCTAAACAACCTGACGGAAAGATGCAGTTCAAGAGCTTGGACGTGAATATAAGAAAAGAAGAACTCAATGGACAGACAAATTATATATCGGCCAGGTACGTATTTTAAAAAAAATAAAATGAGCAAATCCTTACAAAAACTTAATGGAAGTAGTTCACGATCACCACGCACCACACCAGTGCAGGGTAGTGTAATTAACAGTTGTTGGGAGTTACAATCATCTGGCACGGGTATTACGTATCTTGAAAAGTGACATTTTGTCGCTTTTATAGGTTTTTCGTGACATAACGCAGATTTTCCTACACTACCTGTTGTATATTTGTTGTGAATTAGTTTTGTAGCTGTACGTGTTGGCTAAACGTCATGATGCTTCAGCTATCAATGTTTGGCTCTGATGTGATCTAACATCTGCTTCAGAGATGGCTTTAATATCTTTTAACTGCATTGCATTTGTATCAGATAAAGCAACTGTCTAGAAGTATTTTATAAATAAAATGAACAAAGTATAACCTTATTTGTACATGCAGCTAAAGACCACAGATGAAAAGTTTCGTTTGTTTAAAATTTAAGAAAAAAATCAGTATCTCAAAAACGGTGACAATTTTATATAGGTAAGTTTTTGTTATTTGGGAGGCCAGTCCAAAGCCTACCTTCACCTTAAGTTTGTCGTGGTACTTACTGGACACCACGTATATATATATATATATATCGATGGTGTCAAGGCAATACCTCGTATCTCCATTTTTTGATAAATTTGAATTACCCGCTATAGACAAAGAGCTAGAGTGCATGACAGTGCTGAACAATCAAACGGTTCCTTTTTGGCTTGCATTTACCCATAATTCCCGCTCAAATTCGTGCAATACCTCGTATCTCTAAAAATATGGCGTCTTCTGTAGAGTGTTTATGTGAGTGTTGATGCTTTAACGCAGAAAAATAAGGTAAGAAATCGTTTTATATTTGATTTAATTGTTGTAGGTATTAGTATATATATTAAACATGTAGTTGTATGACATATTTGGCAAGAAAAGTAGCAATTATTGTTGTTTCAGCTTGTATTATGTAGTTGTGGCAGATACGTGACATTGAAATTGACAAAATATTTCTTATTTAGAAGATACAAGCTATTGCCTAGCGATACGAGTAGTTGTTTCGTAGATACGTGCTATTGACCTGTCAAAATATAAATTTGCATGTCAGATAAGTGCTTCTCCTTGCAATTTGTTATTTTTGTTATAGATCAAAAATTGCAAGATGCGTGGCAAAAAAATATTGGAAATGTGCCAAGCTGCGTCCTTGTCAAGCACAAGTAAGTTATAATTATTTATATATTAACAACAGAATATATACCATAGGATTAGATGAAACTTCCCATTGATTTGATGTCTTATTTTCTTATCAGTTATGCTTTCCCTTCGTTTCTCTTACATTTTTATAATGCCAGAAAACATTGTGACGGCTAAAAATTCACCCTCCTCGCCCTAACTTTTTTCCTAAATCATAGTAGTACTTGAGGAAAAATTATCTCCTATAGGTTTTTTGATTGGAAAAATATTGTTTCAGATATTTCTCCAACTCAAGAGCAGCAAACTATGGATTTTGAAAAATTAATAGACCAAGCAGAGATAGTTTTCGATAATCAGATTTTCTTGAACTACAGAATAACACTATATCACACGCTTTCGAACTAGCAGTAGCCGAAAATCTGAACGATGGTTCTCCTACTACAAGTATGCCTGAAAATTTAGACACCAACCAACATGAAATAGTGCCATTTTCTGTACAGAATGTAATCCATGACATCAGCCTAGATGCTATAAATAATCACTCAGTAATAGGTTCCTCAACTGTGTTTGCCGATCAAAATGGTGTTTTAGAAGAGACAAGGGTACAGCGGGATATCATTTCCGCTGAAGATGCACCTATTCATATAAATCAAATTTCAATGTGTCATTCCAACAGAAGCTCTTCGACAGTGGAGGACGTAGGAACAAATCCACCAATTATCATAAACGAAGAACCGAACAATAATTTCAGTTCACAGTCTGGGTCCAATCGTAAAAGAAATAAGGAACTTAGAATGAAGGGTATGGTTTATACAGGATTTAGGCGACCACGAAATGAAAAAAGAACGTTTCAAGATACAGAAAGAGAAGAGCGGAAACAAGGCGAAAGGTGTAACTCAGAAACCTGTAAGAACAGCTCAAAAAGAAAATGTAATGAAATCAGAGAAGACGCACGAAAAGAAATTTTTACAGCTTTTTGGAAGAACCTGAGTTGGGACCAAAGGAAGGTATATGTCTGCAACCTTGTTTCAAGACAGGAGACGTCTAGAAAAACAAAAGATGAAAATTCTCGACGTTCCTGCTCCCTATATTATAGCTTGAATGTTGGTGATAAGCTTATACCCGTCTGTAAAAAAATGTTTTTGGGAACTCTGGGGCTTGGGGAATGGAGTGTAAAGAGCTGGGTGGAGACATCGCATTACGGTACACCTTCCAGTGGAGCAGAAACTAACAGTCGTAGATTACCCAGAAAATCCCAAAATGATTCATTTATAACAACATTTCTAGAAAAATTGCGAAAGCTTCCTAGTCACTATTGTCGGAAAGACACTACAAAGTTGTACCTTGAACATGAGTTTTCTAGTTACTCAGACTTATATAAAGATTTCGTGGATTATTCAAAAACACAAAACACAGCACCAGCCAGTAGAAATACATTAATAAAGTGGGTACATAAAAAGAATATTGGTATATTCAAGCCTCGCAAGGATCGGTGTGATACATGTGTACAGTATGAATCTCAAAATCTAAGCCTAGAAGACTGGGAACAACATAGAACAGACAAAGAGAGAGCTCAAAAAGAAAAAAATGATGATAAAGAAAAAGCAATGCAGGGAGTCTGTCATGTTATTACAGTAGATCTGCAAGCCGTTAAAACTTGCCCTTATTTACAAACGAGTTCGCTTTACTTTAAAACTAAGCTTGTATGCCATAATTTTACTGTATACGATCTAGCTACAAATCAATGTACTTGCTATTGGTTCACTGAGCTGGACGCAGATATTCAAGCGTCCACGTTTGCATCACTTCTTGTAGACTATTTAACAAAAAAGTATCTTCAAAATGCAGCCCACATAAAACCAATAATAATTTATTCTGATGGTTGCACATATCAGAATAGAAACAGTACCATGGCAAATGCTCTGCTTAGACTATCACGCCAATATAATGTGCAAATAACTCAAAAGTTCTTGATTAAAGGTCACTCTCAAATGGAATGTGATAGTGTTCATGCTGTTATTGAAAGAAAGCTAAAAAATAAGAACATCGAAATACCAAATGATTACTATCGTCTTACTGGAGAAGCGCGTCAAAAACCATTTCCTTATGAAGTCGTAACTCCAGATTTTACTTTTTTCAAAAACTATAGTGCCGATTTGGTCTACTATTCAATCCGCCCTGGTAAAAAATCCAATGATCCGACAGTCACGCAGATAAGGACACTGCAGTATGAACAAGGCTTGATAACATACAAAATTAATTTCGACCAAGAGTTTGCAGAATTACCTCATCGTCCAAGAAGGACCCCAAGCGACATAAACCAATTTCTCCAATTGTTTGAGCACAAACTGCCAATTGCAAAGAAGAAATACGATCATTTACAAGAAATAAAAACCAAAATTAGTCAAAATTATTGGCCATTTTATGACAGTTTACCTTTCAAATAGGTTTTTATTATTTTTATATTTCCTTGTTTCCTGTTCATTTTTTTACTGTAACTTGGATATAGTTTTTGTGTATCTTCTATTTTGTATTTTAATGGATTTGATATAAAATTGTTCTAAAATCTAAATGGGTTTTCATTATAAGTACAATACCTCGTAAGTTCCAAAGTTGACGAAAAATTTTGTGCAATACTTCGTATCTCACATAATAATTACTAAATACCTATTTCTTAGAAGACAACTTAAAATAATAATTTTTTCGCTTGTTTAAAGGCCTAGAACAATGTTAAACTAAATAAAACACTTACAAGTATTAATTATTATGCAAAACATTGTCTCCTGAAATTTTGACATTTCGTAGGTACGAGGTATTGCATTGACACCATCGATATATATATATAAATATATTCACTATATACTGTCGAATTACAAGTCATATACATGCTAACAGTAATTAAATACAAGGCGCGGGGTGCGGTGATAATTTCCCGTAATTAACCTCAAAGTTTTTGAGAACACTAAAAAAGGCGGAAAAAATCGTAATTTATAACTTTCAGAAAGGATAACATGTAAATAATTACGTAAAATACTTATAAATATATAAAGCCGAAAAAATGCCAATTGCTGGTCCAGTCCTCTAATACTATTTGTATTGCCGTTTCAATTGAATCCAGCTTGAAATTCTGTTAAAATTCTATTTCCTCGATGATCTGTTCATAAATAATGTAAACAACTTCAAAAATGTCTTTTGCCTTTCCAATAGATGCGAGGACGCAGATGACTTCTGTTGCAACTCTCTAGGCGTTTCTAGATCCATACTGAACCACGTCTTATTCTGTCATCAAGAAAACAGTTACTGGCCTTTAGATCAACCGGAAAAAGTCGAGGAACAATTTGACGAGATCTTCGAAACCGTGAAATATAATAAATATATCGACTTCGTGAGACAGGATATCAAGAATAAACAACTAGAACTTAAGGTAGGCTCTTTTGTAGTTAATAGTTTTTTATAACGGAATGGTGGATGTTTAAATCACGTTTTAATTAGTGCTTTAATATGTGATAAAAACGATTTGACGTGGAATTTCTTCAAGGCGTACGTGTGAACATAGTAATGTCAATGTAATAGACAACTAGAACTTTGGTAGGTTCTTTTGTAGTTAATAGTTTTTTATAACGGAATTGTGGATATTCAAATCACGTTTTGTGCTTTAATATGTGATAAAAACGATAATTACGAGGAATCTCTTCAAGGCGTACGTGGGAACATAGTAATGTCAATGTTTGTTTGTTGAAAAGTTATTTAGCATTAATGCTACAATGTCAATTATCTATAATTTTCGTTTACACATTTTTTGAATCAAATTTCCGTTATTTTATATACTTGTGTATTAAAATTACATCACTTACATTTTGGCTATTCATAAAGTTAATTTTAATTTAATATACTAGATTCAAATACTCCCTTTTGTATTGTATTTATTTTGTGAGGTTTTCTAAATGTGGTGGTAATAAATGATTTTTTAATTTGTTGTTGAAAATAGCTATTGGAGCGTTTTTTTGTGGCAAAAAAGTAATGCGACATGAGAACAGTAACGTGCATCGAAAATATGTTCTAGAACTTGTAGCTAAATTTCGGGAAACTGGGTCAGTCGCCAATAAAAAACTCAACATTGAAAATCCCATAAGGGACGAAGCAATAGAAGTGAGGGTTTTAGGACAAGTTTATGTAGATCCTACGTTAAGTATCCGCAAATTGGAGACTGTGTGTGGTGTTAGTAGACGTACTGTCCAACGGGTTCTAAAGGCCCATACTTTTCATCCGTATAAAATTCACCTTGTACAAGAACTTAATGAAGACGATTTTGATCGGCGATTACAATTTTGTGAGTGAACGAATTATAAACGATGAACATTTTCTATTCCACACTTGCTATTCCGACGAATGTTCCTTTTTCTTAAATGGCGTGGTAAATCGTCATAACTGCCGATATTGGTCCGATTCTAATCCCAGAATTTATCATGAGGTTCATACACAGCAGCCACAAAAATTAAGTGTTTGGGCTGGTATTTTTGGCGATCATTTAGTTGGTCCTTTTTTCTTACCTGGAAATTTGACCAGTGAAATGTATTTGGGATAACTGAAAGACGCCATAGATCCTGCATTAACAGCCATAATTGAAAATCAGAATGATTGGCGGTACATTGCGAATAGGTTGATGTTCCAACATAATGGTGCCCCACCATATTACGCATTACGTGTTCGACAATATTTAGATCAAATGTTTCCAGATCGATGGATTGGTAGAAGAGGTGCCATTGAATGGCCCCCAAGATCGCCAGATTTATCACCTTTGGATTTCTTTATGTGGGGTCATTTAAAAAGCAAAATCTATGCTACTCAGCCAACATCATTAGAAGACCTTTCGACACAGAATTGTGAATGAGTGTCTTCAAATTACTCCTCAAATATTGCAAAATGTTCGACAACGTTTTGAGCAAAATCTTCATTATTGCATGGAGAGTCATGGTGGCCATTTTCAACATTTACTTGCGTAACGGGTCAGTTCATTCTTCATTTTTAAATTACTTTGCTGCCAAATGTATTGATCTCCACTAATGATGATGTATTAGTTTTATTTAAGCTTTAAATCAATAAATCTTCAAAACTGCTGAACTGAAGTACATTAATTTTACATCATTATAAAGGGAATTGAAAGATCTTTAAAATAAGGTATCACTCGACCCCCCTTTCCATTTAAGATTTTTGGGTGGTGTCACTCCCACTTAGGCGGCTGTACGTGTTAACGTGATTTTTTGCCAAACTTGTGTCCCCCTCGAAAACAAAATCGACGGGTCTCAGCGTTTTTCGAAAAAAAAACAGCTGTCAGTAAATGCGTCTGTTTCGTTTTCGATGCGCCACCCTGTATGTAGCTCACAATGTTGAACTTTTTGCACAGGAGTAATGGTGGAAGACTTTAATTCATCATGCATTAAACGATGATTCACCAATAATAATGCTTTCTCTTGCAATTATACTGAAACATTCATTCAGAATCTTTTTTGAGAGATTCACACTGGATTTTTATTAGGACGCATTCAACGATAAAACTGTATTGTCAGTTTTAGTCTTATTCCAAAAATGCTAACGCAATTAGTGAAAACGTACTACTCTGTAGTATCCATAGTCAAAGGATCCAACATCACATATAAAATCGTATTGCAGGTTCTTGAACAAAAGGTCGAAACCAAAAGAATAATAAATGAGGAAGTTGAAAAATGTCGAGCCAAATTTGAAGCAAAGCAAACAGAGTTCGATGAAATACAGAACAAAATACAAGAAAAGAGCGATGAGATACAACCGTTAGAAGACAGGATGAAACAAATATGTGACCTGGGAGAGTCCATTGGTTCTTTACAACCGAGTTTGATATAGAAGCTGACGGAAAGCAAAGGTAAGATCCACAATGTAAATTAAGCGTTTTTGCTGCAGGCTGGCGATACGTAATTGTAGTTTAACCTATGTCTCATACAGGGTGTAAACGTTATGGTAGTCATTATTGAAATGGGTAATAGGGTGGTCAAAACAAACATATGACCCATGATAAAAGAGTTAATAGATTTTTGTCTAAATGGTTTTATAGTTTACAACTTTACGTGCTTTATATCGACCACAATCTTATTAATTTTTATAATCTAATCTAAAACGATTTTAAATTGGGTAATTAACAAATAAATGGCATTAAGTTTTTCTAAGTTAAGCCAAAATTTATAGTCAGTAACTATGTAAGTTTCGTTAAATTGAATATTTAAAACGCACTTGACAACAGCGCGTCGGTCATCATCACTCTTATCGAACCAGCAATCGATCGCAAACGGTAACAGTGGTTAGTATGTTGTTTTGTTCTTTTTAGCGTACGTCGTCGTCTTGATTTACAGAATTCAAATCTTGCAGCTCAAATCTATCCCGACAGATTTCGCCAACGGTTACACCCAGACAGAAGGACATTTGTGCAAGTGTAACAAAGACTTCGAGATACAGGAAGCACTAATATTCGCACTCGTGAAAGATAGTTTACTGTAGAGCAGGAGGAACGAATTTCAAATGTCGTGGAAGTCAATGCAGATATCAGCATTCGGGAATTAGGCCGCCGCATACCATAGTAGTCCGTAGAATCTTACGGGAAAATTTGCTTTATCCCTAGCATGCACAACGAGTGCAGGCCTTGTTACCAGAAGACTATCCTCGCAGACTAACATTCTGTCAGTGGTTTTTGCACAAGAACATTGGAAAGCCGGATTTTTTTAAAGGGCCGAATGTACTTTTACGCGACACGGGATGTTAAATTTCCATAATACTCACACGTGGGCACAAGAAAATCCTCATACCATTCGTGAAGGTCGTAATGAAGCTTGTGTGGAAACTGGAGGACGACATTTTGAACACCTTTAAATACAAAAAAGTGCAGTGTGGGTTTTAAAAAGAAAAACAATGTATGTATCGAAATTGTGTTCCCTATTTAGATAAGTGGATTTTTTTAATACGTCCAATAAACTTTCACACACCAGATGAAGTGCTGAGACAGTTAGTGGTAAGTCCGTTTTTTTTAATTGTTTGCATTTTACGAGTACATTATCAAATAATGAAATAATACCTAAGTGCCAAAAATAACAAACTCGATCTTTATTTACACTGCGTTCCGTCTTAATGTGCGTCTGCCATTGCGGCGATGTCAGAATTCATTTTACTTTAAAGTCGCTTTTTAATGACTATCATAACGTTTACACCCCGTATAATAGGACATACTTTACAAATGTGTATCAGCAACTACGAAGGAAACTAGAAAAGAAATCTACCTAGACAACTGAAATGCACAAGCATAATTACTTAGTTTAGTTAACTTTGATAATCACTTTCCTACTTACGAAGTGAATTGTGAGGAAAAATGAGTAACTCAAATTTAGAGTATCCCAGTATCATAAAATTTCTGGCAAAATCGTCGTGTGAAGGTCTCTACCATTAGGCATTTGAATATATCGGAACCCAGCGTAATCACCATCCTACACCACAATTTGAACATGAGCAAAGTGTCAGCCACGACTGTTGACACCTGATGGCATCAGTTTTTTTGGTAATCGATTTTTCCAATCGACAAGCGTTTCTGCTGCAAGGCAATGCTAATGTTCATAAGGCCGCCAAAATTAGACCAGTTATGAAGGAATGCAGTCTCGTTGAGATAGACGACCATCATCCCTATAGGCCGAACTTGGATCCTTCTAACTTTTACTTTTTTGAATTAATAAAGAAAAACCGGGACGCCATTTTGACTCGGATGATGGCTTAAAAAACAACCGTCGACGACTTTTTTGACAGTCGAGAGGAAACGAAAAATTCTTCGTACGTCTTTTGTTTAATGCCTAGATAGATTTCTTTTCTAGTATTCCTCGTAAGATACTCAGTGACATTAGATGTGTTATGCCAGAAAAAAATAATTTCTTCAACTTGGTTTTTTGACAACATGACTATATTATTTGAAGCATGCTGTGGCGACAGTGTCGACCATTTATTTTTGTTCTTGTTTACCTTTGCTAAAATGTTATCTCTTAGTTTTTGTGAAGAACGCAGTTTCTGAGAGCTGAGTGTACGATCTTATACCTGAATTTTACTTCCCGCATAATGTAGGGAACCCGTTGAATTGACGACACTTGGGCGTTCTAGGGGACGTCTATGGTGGAGTTGGCAGCAAACATCTTGACTAGCACTTCCGCCTTGGCCTATGAGTCGAATACAATCGTTCCATCCTGCCACGTAACTGGTGGAAGGCTACTGTGTCAGAAATTCTTTTCAACCTGCTTGGCCAGCATCCAGAAAGACAGACTGCCATCGCGGTGCGACATTACCCTGTGCCTAACTTTTATATCGTGCTGGTTTTTGGAATTGCGAACCGCTTCGTTATATTTGTTTCTGGACTCGACGTCGGCTTGTCTGTTCTCTGCAGTGGGTTCTGCGTGCCTTGACTTTCTGCTGGCGAGCAGTGTCACACAACCCTTGGACCACCCTGGTTTAGGCACTTTCACTGTATGAGGGATGTATTCCTCCATTCCGACGTGGATAATTTCGGTTATCGAAGAACAGACAGGGGACGCATCCGTGTCAGTGAAACAGACATCTCTCCAAGGAAAGATAGAAAACACCCTGGGAAAAGCTAGCGGGTGGCACCGCCTCGGGCGACTGGTCCTTGTCTACCAAATTCTTTTTGCGTGTTAATGACATTAAATAGACCTAAAGTGGCCCGTTGGCGGACTTGTACCGCCACCCGGCAATCGGTACTGAGGTATTCCTTAACGCGTGTACAATCATTTGAACGGGAAGAAGTTGTATACTGGATACAACAACTTCCGGAACAAGCATTTGCCACGGCCCCGCTCAGTAGGGGTACTAGTATTAAACGTAACAAAATGCCTCGAGTTCGGAAACGTCCAAATTATCGCCATGTTAGCGACTTTGACAGGGGTACAATTACAGCCCGTCGAGATGTTGGTTTATCTTATCGCGAAATTGGCAGCAGTCTTAATTGTATTGCAATGACGGTAATGCGCGTGGATCGTGTGTGGATAGAAAAAGGTAGAGGGACACGAAGAAGGCCAACCGTTGCACCGAGGCGTACCACAGAGCGTCAAGATTGGTCCTTCAGACAACAAGCCTTGCGAGACCGTTTTGCTACTACGCGTCAGATCACTGACCGATGGTTCGCAGGAAGAATGTAGGCGTCACTCTATCGCCACATTAGAGCCTTTGGACTTTATTCATACCGTCCACGATTAGTGCTTCCTCTGACTACGGCCAACTGTCGTCAACGTTTGAACTGGAGCAGAGAACGACAACATTGGAAGACAAAATGGCATAATCTCATCTTTAGCGACGAGTCGCGATTCTGTGTGTTGTTTCTTCAATCTCATCGAACATGTGTGGTATATAATGGGGAGGAGATTTGTAAATAAAATTTCGTGAGGATGTTATCGTTTCATTCTCGATTTAAGACTACCTCATTCCCAAAAAAATCAAGTTGATGAAATTATTTCTGGGTGTAATGCTTCTAAAGTCACCGAGTATATTAACTTACTCTTTCAGGGTTACAAGACCAGCAGGAGATCTTATTGAAGAAAATAACACTTGTGTTTGAAGGAACAGACGATGAACTACAAATCCGAATCAGGTCCTTTAAGCAGTTACAACAAGTTGAAGAAGATAATATTGAACAACTAAAACAGAAAAATAAAGAAATTATTGAAGAAAATAACATTGTGAGTGTGGATATACAGAAAATTCAAATGAAGATAGGAGAACTGAAGGAAGAACAAAAACAGCATAGAAATAAACAAAAGGAAGTTAAATTATTAGTGGAAAAGTTGAGAAATAAACTAGACATTAACAGTAATATTGATTTGGAGAATACAGAAGAAATTGCCGATGAACTAGAGAGTGCAATACAAAAACAAGAGACAGAATACGCAAAACTCGTCAGAGATAAGGCAGAAGAAGAATTACAAAACCACATCGACTCGACTAGAGCAACATTGGTTTACTTTAGACAAATGTTAGAATTAAATAAAGGATTCCTGAGGGAATTAGGTAGACAAGGTAGAGACATCAGAGATGAAATGAACGAATTCGATTCATCTGATTCCCACCTAAAAATAGTTGGTGACAAAATCGAAAAATTACAAACCACTCTACCATCTTTGAAAAGCAGTTTTAGTGAACAGGATAAAAATTTCGAGATACTTGAGCTCACGGGAGCTATAAATGCTAAAGAACAGTCTCTTGAAAAACTGGAACGAGAACGTAGAATCCTGCAACAAAACTACCACCATGAGCAGAATCTAGAACGCGAAATCGCAGCAGTTGCTGAGAAAGAAATGGAAATTAACAAGATCAAATCAGCACATGCTTCTAATTTCAAGCTACTATTTGGTGATGATATAACCGAAAGCAATTTCAAAAGGTCTGTTATACGAATTCGAAATGAAGAAGAAGCTAAGTGTAAAAGACTCGCCATTCGTATGGGGAAGTTGGAAAAAGCCGTTTCCGGCCTGGAAACCGAGCTCAAAACGCACAAGTGGAAACTAGAGTCGGTTAAAGAACAATTGGACAATTACAAGAAGAAAGTTGAGCAAGCTTGTAGAGAGAAATCTTTCGACGAGTCACTAAAAGAATCTTATACCAATAACCTAAACTAACCAACCTAAACCTAACGAAAAATCGGTTAACCTAACCAACCTAAACCTAACCCCCCCCAGGCCTACCTACTACATATTACACGTGAAGGTACATTTCATGGCCTACCTAATATTACACCTACATTTCATAGTTACTCTTACTTTGGCACGCATCTACACACAACATATTTACGGGTATAAGAAATGAAACAGTGTGGTTTCGGTTCGAAACTATAGCAGGAACTTTATTGGATGAAAACAGGATGACAACAACGCTAGTTACATTTCATATTCAGTTTATAAGAAGTAAAATATAGCAAAATGCAAAGTCAGGAATGTTCTCACAAAGATAACACCTAACGCTGTAACTAGAAACCGGATGGACGGCGCTAATCACAAGGGCATCGGGACGAGTCACTAAAAGAATCTTATACCAATAAAGAAACTCTTCAAAAACAACAAGACCAGTATAGGTCTGCAAAGATCATGATGGAAGAATTCAAATTACAACGGCTTAATGAAGACATCGAGACGTTGACTAACAGAAAAATACCTGAGCTAGAAGATAAAGTTAGAAAGCTCGAGGAGGAATACAATGAGAAGCAAATGGAACTTGCTTCGGTCAAGACTCAACTGGAACTGCCTCGAAAGAAATTTCAAGTCACTGAAAATGTTATAAGTGATTCAACGCTCCTGGATCAGTACATTATTGAGATCAAGAACTCCAAGGAGGATATAGAAAAGTATCGATCACGAATAATAACAGTGCCGTCAGGCATATCTCGAGAGGAAGCTGAAGCTGAAATTGTCTCTGGAAAAGCCGAGAACAATAATATTATTGTCCATGGATACCCACAGGAATTTTTCTCATGGGTGCTGATCATCATGACGAGACAAATAAGGATGTCTATAAACCATCCACGAGTATAGATCGTGTCTTGAGACCGTCTCCATTCTGCCAAAAGACAAATTGCGCAACGGGGTCTTCTAGTGTGTACTAAGCTTAAGGATTAATACTCTGAAGTACCCGTTAAACAAATCAAGTAATTGGTGTAAATAGTGACACAATCAGCCACTTCTATTATATCAGCAGGTGATAAAAATATCAATAGGTATAGTCAATTATTTTTTGAAATTCAATATAGATGTTACAGTTATTCTTCAGACTTTCGTTGGCCGAACTTAGATTTGCGGCATACTTGTTGTTTTCTCAGTTTTCGAATCGGTGTTGATCGCATGTAAAAATTTTGTGAATCTTTGCAAAAAACTATACGAGTCCCTTCCCACTTCAGTTGGAACACTTCAAGATTTGTACCAGCCTTTATAAACTAAACATGGCGAAACTATTTACTTCTAAAACAATTTATTTTCTCAAAAACATTTTAGATACACTCTAGTCGTAAAAAATACATATTTGAAATCACTTAGACCTACAACTAATAGAACATCTGAACAAATAAACAATGTGCGAAGTTAACAAAGCAACAATTGAAAGATTACCATTGTGTAACATCACCTTTATTTTTTATTACGGCTGAAATTCTTTGGGGCATAGTGTTTTGAGGTTTGGCACGCTGCACCATCTTGCTGAAACACAAAATCTTGGCCGGATGTCAAACATTCTTCCATCACTGGTAAAAGCGATTCTTCTAAAATTGCCAAATTCAGGGTCCGGCAATGAAGTATGGTGTTTTTGAAAAAAATTACAAACTTTCATTTTTAAACATACATCAAAATTAATTATTTTAATACATTAGTGGAATGATGCCATTTAAGTAACATAACATAGTCAGGTGCGAAAAATTACATCAGTTAGGTGGCGTCCATTCTTGTCGATGCATTCTTGGAGACGGATTGCAAAATCATCCATACTCCTTTCTAGCATGGCACGAGGAATCCTTTCAATTTCGCGCGTTATGAGTTCCGAAAGAGCCTCAAGAGTTTGCGGTTTGTCTATGTAAACTTTGGATTTTAAATAGCCCCATAAAAAGTAGTCACAACATGAAAGGTCTGGTGACCGAGGTGGCCATTCCACATTTCCATGCAACGAAATAAGGCGCCCAGAAAAATGTTCCCTTAAAAAGCCCATTGCAGCTCTTGATGTATGGCAAGTCGCCCCATCTTGTTGCGTCGTCTTCTTAGTTCGGGCAGAAAATAATCACGCAACATGGCGCAATAACGATCTGAGTTCACTGACACTGTTCGTCCGTTTTCACGAAAAAAATACGGGCCAATTATGCAATTTCGAGATACGGCACACCAAACAGTTACCCTCTCAGAGTGCAGAGGTTGTTTATGCAGTTCTCGTGGGTTTTCGTGTGCCCAGTATCGGAAGTTTTGTTTGTTTACCATGCCCGATAAATGAAAATGGGCCTCGTCCCTCATGAACAAAACGATGTTGCCGTGCAGCAATTCCAGCATCCTTTCTGCGAACCTGTGTCGTCTCACAAAGTCATTTTGGAGCAGCTTCTGCACAACCATCATTTTATACGGATGGTGATGGAGGTCCAAATGCAAGATTCTGCGAACTGAACAATCTGACATTCTAAGAGCGCGAGCGTGACGTACCGCTGAACGGTGAGGGCTAGTATCCACCGCTTGTTGCACTCCTTCAATGTTTTCCGGAGTTCGCACTGTTCGATCTCTTCCCCTTGCAGTACCAGGTCTCAACGATCCGGTTGTTTGAAATTTATTCACCCACTTCAAAATGGTATCGCGTCTTGGAACGCGACCATGCCGACCAACGTTAAAATGGTTTCGAAATCGTCGCTGTGTGAGCACAACAGAACGACCAGTTTCAATAAAAGTGTTGTAAATAAACACGCGATGTGCCACAGACCACGGCTCCATGGCTACTAAAATGGCATCGCGAAACGAGTAGATATCAATCATCGTGAAAACATTTGCTCGACAGTGCTGCATGTAATAGTCGTTGCAAAAACACCATACTTCATTGCCGGACCCTGTATTTGTTTGTATCCACATTTCCATCAATAAAATGAAGTTTTCCTACTCCTTTTGATGGACATGCTGCCCCAGACCATAATGGATGCTGGAAATTTCACTTTTCTCTTCAGACAGTCAACATGGAATGCTTCATTTTTTTGCGAATAACTCTACTGCGACTGTCACCAACACAAACTTCGAATCGGGCCTCATCACTCCATTGTATTGCACATCATTGTTGAGGTGTCCATTGTCTATGTTCTTTAGTCCATCTAAGCCGATTTTTCTTTTGCAGTGGAGTTAATAGAGGCTTTTCTTTGGCCTATAAACAAGTTGTGCAACTTTGGGGTTTTTAGTTTTCGTTTCAATTTGGTCATTGAGTTGCCGACAGCGTTTTCGGTGTCGATATAACATTTTTTTACAATACGCGTATTGGTGCTTCAAATTGCTGACGTCGGCTTTTCCAGAGACAATTTCAGCTTCAGCTTCCTCTCGAGATATGCCTGACGGCACTGTTATTATTCGTGATCGATACTTTTCTATATCCTCCTTGGAGTTCTTGATCTCAATAATGTACTGATCCAGGAGCGTTGAATCACTTATAACATTTTCAGTGACTTGAAATTTCTTTCGAGGCAGTTCCAGTTGAGTCTTGACCGAAGCAAGTTCCATTTGCTTCTCATTGTATTCCTCCTCGAGCTTTCTAACTTTATCTTCTAGCTCAGGTATTTTTCTGTTAGTCAACGTCTCGATGTCTTCATTAAGCCGTTGTAATTTGAATTCTTCCATCATGATCTTTGCAGACCTATACTGGTCTTGTTGTTTTTGAAGAGTTTCTTTATTGGTATAAGATTCTTTTAGTGACTCGTCCCGATGCCCTTGTGATTAGCGCCGTCCATCCGGTTTCTAGTTACAGCGTTAGGTGTTATCTTTGTGAGAACATTCCTGACTTTGCATTTTGCTATATTTTACTTCTTATAAACTGAATATGAAATGTAACTAGCGTTGTTGTCATCCTGTTTTCATCCAATAAAGTTCCTGCTATAGTTTCGAACCGAAACCACACTGTTTCATTTCTTATACCCGTAAATATGTTGTGTGTAGATGCGTGCCAAAGTAAGAGTAACTATGAAATGTAGGTGTAATATTAGGTAGGCCATGAAATGTACCTTCACGTGTAATATGTAGTAGTATTGCACTCTCTAGTTCATCGGCAATTTCTTCTGTATTCTCCCAATCAATATTACTGTTAATGTCTAGTTTATTTATCAACTTTTCCACTAATAATTTAACTTCCTTTTGTTTGTTTCTATGCTGTTTTTGTTCTTCCTTCAGTTCTCCTATCTTCATTTGAATTTTCTGTATATCCACACTCACAATGTTATTTTCTTCAATAATTTCTTTATTTTTCTGTTTTAGTTGTTCAATATTATCTTCTTCAACTTGTTGTAACTGCTTAAAGGACCTGATTCGGATTTGTAGTTCATCGTCTGTTCCTTCAAACACAAGTGTTATTTTCTTCAATAAGATCTCCTGCTGGTCTTGTAACCCTGAAAGAGTAAGTTAATATACCCGGTGACTTTAGAAGCATTACACCCAGAAATAATTTCATCAACTTGATTTTTTTGGGAATGAGGTAGTCTTAAATCGAGAATGAAACGATAACATCCTCACGAAATTTTATTTACAAATCTCCTCCCCATTATATACCACACATGTTCGATGAGATTGAAGAAACAACACACAGAATAACTTTATCTTCTAGCTCAGGTATTTTTCTGTTAGTCAACGTCTCGATGTCTTCATTAAGCCGTTGTAATTTGAATTCTTCCATCATGATCTTTGCAGACCTATACTGGTCTTGTTGTTTTTGAAGATTTTCTTTATTGGTATAAGATTCTTTTAGTGACTCGTCCCGATGCCCTTGTGATTAGCGCCGTCCATCCGGTTTCTAGTTACAGCGTTAGGTGTTATCTTTGTGAGAACATTCCTGACTTTGCATTTTGCTATATTTTACTTCTTATAAACTGAATATGAAATGTAACTAGCGTTGTTGTCATCCTGTTTTCATCCAATAAAGTTCCTGCTATAGTTTCAAACCGAAACCACACTGTTTCATTTCTTATACCCGTAAATATGTTGTGTGTAGATGCGTGCCAAAGTAAGAGTTATGGTGGGTTCATGCACGCACGATTAAAGCTAACTTAACTTGAGAAAATGAGCATTTCATGCGCATGCGCGGCCAGGATTGCCAACGTAGCAGTTGAGGCAATATGAAAGTTAAATACCCTTAAATAATCATATGTTTAACGTCAAAGTAGCAGATGAAAGAGTGTTTTGTGGCTTATGTGTCACGTGGACTGGCGGACCAGCCTTGACGTTGACAAGTGGCCCCTCCCCACACGCTTGCGCCAATGCACTTCACAGAACTCGGATAATAGTCCAGATAATATTGGAACATCTGCTCGGAAAACTCTTCCGATTCCTATTTTTGCATAATCTGATTCAAGGACCTCTTAAAGAATCTGCATGAGACTAGGCTCAAAATTGCTCCAAAAATTGTTATTAAACCGATTCCAAAAATTGATTTGTTCGCTTTGTTTAAAGTATTTTGCGGTTTTTAGGACATTCTAAATAAAAAATGAGCTTTGGAACTTTTCTCTAGACTTGATATATACAGGTATAAGCAATGTAAAAACTCAAAATATGTCATTTGCTACCCTAAAAACAATATAAAAAATGAATATTTTGATGTTGCCAAATCTCACACATGCTTCAACCAACCAATAACAAAACCCCCAGAGCATTTGAATGCGCGCTCAATGTATAGTCTATGTCTATGTGAACGCGAGAGAGATGAAATATCTCTCGTGCACGCTGAATATGCATTGAGCGTCCGCTTGCATATAAATTAAATACAAAGATTTATAATAACAGTATATCCTAAAAGGTATCGTTAATGGTTATTTATGAAGCATGGCGACATTAACATTTTCGTTTTTTCAGATCGTTTTTCGGTATCGCAAAATCATTTTTTTGTACTTTCCCATCTCGTACAAAATCAACTTTTGACAAACATTGTCAAACATCATTTTGTTTCGGAATATCAAAAAAACGAATGCTACCTTTGATGAAGCGAAAACATTAATTTTTGTAATTTATTTGAAAAAGTTGTTCAAACAATTAGAGACGCAATTTGGAGCCTGACAACATGTAGATTTGTTACTACGAGGCTTTTTCGAATAACATGAAAAAAGTCCGAATCCGAATATTTTCCTGAGCAGATGTGAAGATATTTCTTGGACTATAACCTCGACGGCAGCGCCACTTTTCTTGGCTGGAAATCTGATGGAACTATAAATATTGAAAGTATGCCGACAACGCATATCAGGAATGTGTCGGCGATTTCATTTGTTTACATTACGAAATCTGACTGACGACCGATATTGAGGCAGTTCGATGATCATAGATGCATAACACATCCTCAATAAAGGGAGTATTTCTTTCATCAGTTTGACTAGTAATGAATTTCAGGATAATAAAAAAATGTATAATTAAAAAAATATTTACTGAACAGTCACAGCAATAATAGAACAAATTCTTCATTACAATAAATTGTACATACATAGAGGTATTCTACTCATCTGGATTTTTCTCTATATCATGAACCTGATCAGTGCAATATCATGCAAGCACTATCTCTTGTTAATTGATCAGGTATATTTATTGCGAAAACGTAAATACTAAAATAACAAAAAATACTTCTGTAGGTAGAGGACTGACTGGAATACAAATATAATCACTCTGATATGTGAATCAAAAATAGTTTTGCGCACACTGTTTAATGGGTAAAGGCAAACAAAATTGTCCTCAACAAAAAAAAAACACATAAAACAGTAATTGTTTATTCAAACTAGGAAACAAACTCTCATTGACAATTAATTTGGTATCCATAAAATAAATGATGATCTTCATTCCAACTGTCTCCTTGAAGGATTTTGACACTGTGAAACAAAAAAAAAATTAGCATAATATCACTGTCATATTTGGTCAGCAAACACTAAACAGAAACATAGTCATCTCACCACGCCCCTTCAGATGATACTGCTCTGTACATATGTATAAATTCCCAATCTAGCAGTATACATTTGATTGCCAAAATTCTGTGTTAAAAAAAAATTTCATTGGTGATACCAAACGCCAGTCCTTAATTTGGCCCTTTACCAGGTTCGTTATTACCAACAGTACAGATGTCACAAAAAAAGTTACGTGCTACTCAATCTGTTTACCTCAATAAACGTCAAAAGAGATTACATATTTGGTGGGCTGCGAATACACAGCATTCGTCAGGTGTACACCTGGTTTGTAGTTAATGACAAAGTACCTTCACAGTGCTCTGTCAGGTTTTGGAAAAACATGTCATGGGGGGCATGGTATAGATTTAAATTCTCTTTTTTCTTCTGTAGGGGCTATAATTTGCCAACATCACCACTGGTACAGTCTCAGACATGAAAGTGTTTGCATCTATCAGCTATGAAGTCAGTACTACAAGCACAAAATTTTAAGATAATTTCCATTTTTTTTTTTCCTTCTCTAGAATATAATTTCAAAATCCTCTCTTGGTAAGGGGCAATTTAGGACCCATGTTTATTTTTTTCATGCTGTTTTTTGATCTAATTTATGCAGTAAACATGACCACTGACTTTAATTATTATAATTTTTAACATACATGATTTTTTTTATCAATCCGCCCCGATGTTCAGCTCTAAACTGTCATGCGTAAGCAAGCGCAAATAATTTTTCATACAAGTATCACCGAACCATCTGCCCATACAGCGATATAAAATCGATCAAACATCACGATATAAATATCGACTATCGACTTTTGTACAGTATCGATGGCTCGTAGCCATCTTCTAATTCCAGCTGTAGCGATCAGCTGACCAACGCTAGTGATCCGATTGGTTGGTATCTTAAGGAAAAGTTCAATATATTGAACTTTATTTTAAGAAGTGACCTTGAAATTAAGAAAACGACTATAACCTCAATATATTTTGGCATTTATGCAAAAATGAACTGATTTGGATACTTACTGCAACGTCATCATTAGGCGCTCCTCTGGCGATGACCGATTGCGTTCAGGTGACTTCTGCAGGTACCTTTTCAACAAGGTCAGGAGTTGATACCACCGCGGATTTTCGTTATTTTTGCTCTAGGCATGGCCATCCTCAATTAATCGCACAAAAAACAAGTCAAAGGCAGAAAAACACACCCGAAGACGAACACCAAAACAAATCTCTACTGCAAATTCGTCAACAACTCAAACAAAAACAACAGATGAGTCACTGCCTGGCTTTCTCGGTAAATCGTCGTGGAACACGAGACACCACAGAATGATTATAATTACGTCAATACGAGCATAGAACAGTATGGAAAGGGCTATCCAAGGGTAAGACGAGTTCCTAAACCACCCGAATCATGTCAAAAAATGGGTGTGACGTCACCAAAACGTTTGACCACCACTGGAAGTCACTAGTTAGTTACTATCTGAAGGCGTAACATGTGGAGGACACTGGTGTAGAAACAGCTGATCCTTAAGTTCGGTTAGTTTAAGTCGTGCATGATCCCGACCATCGACTTTAAAACGAGGATAGACCCCTTTGCTTACATTTCTGGTTGTTGACGACATATACAAAGCGAATCGACACGTTGCCTCGCCACAAGAAACGGCAGCAAAACAACGGATTTGTTCGTGGTCGTTCTACACATTTTCAAACCTCCAGTAACTAAAATTACTCCCTGTTTATGGTGATTTTTCAGCGCATGTGTGGGTACTAAACATCATGATTCTCGTACAATGGATTGATATCAAAATAGTCAAACAAGTAAGAACCTTACATAAATTATACCATAATCGACTTGAAGATCTGGCAACGTTGCTTTTATCTGCTCATTCATAAAGCCGGCTCCATACGCTTGGCAAACAACGGCAAACACCAAACAACAAATACGAACATGTGGATGAGTGTTTGTTTTTGTTTGCCTGTTTGTGCTTGTGTTTGCCGGTGTTCGACATCGGTGTCGGTTTTTCTTCAGAAATCAAAGGATATTCGGCAAACAGTTTTAAATGTATCCACACGCTTGGTAGCAATCAGTAATGCGCACAAGCTTGCGGGCGGCAGACGTTCCGTTTATGAGTCTAGTTGGTGCTAACAGCAGTGTTTCGCGGGCAGAGTAAAGGAGCTAGAAACTTTGAAAAATGTCTGATTGGTCTGATGATACAATTCTATCCTTTTTGGAAGCATACCAAAATGAACAATGCATTTGGAATACTAGAGATACCAATCACAAAAACAGGCAGAAGGTGAACGATGCGTGGACGCGCCTTAGTGTTCTTATGAACAAAAGTATAAAGGAATTAAAAACTAAAAAAGAAATATTAATGGCTACGTTCCGAAGACATTTGAAGAGAAAACAGGACTCCATTCGTTCTGGTGCAGGTAAGTTTTGACTATTATTATCAACAAATATAGGCTTACAAAATGTTGCCATTGCAGTAGTATGACCGACCCTCCTAAGACAGTGTGTGAGGTTAACTCCCATATAACCTACCGCGCTGAATCAATGCGTGTTGCTCTATTCCAATATACATATTCTTACTTGAATTTGAACAAATCAATTTTTGTTTCAGGCGCGGATGATACTTATAATAAGCCTATCTGGTTTGCATATGAGGTCATGGAGTCATTTTTGGGTCCGGTGTATACCTGCACAAAAAATATAAACACAGAGGAGGTAAGTAAAAGATAATTTATTCATGGTCGTTGCTTGAGTAGGTATATTAAACTCGCTCTTTTTTATACATTCTGTTTAATGACATGACATAAGTAACTACATAAAATAAAAACGAACTTTCATAGCTACCTGAACATATGAACCTAGTAATTGTTTTTCTATGTAACTGCTACGCTTATTCCCCAAATTAAAGTAAACACTGGTATAATTTTAGATTATTGTAATAATGCTATATTGACCTACAGAAATATGAAGTAAATTCTTCTCTTATCTGTTTAGCTTGCAAGGGTGATCTACGGGGTACGTTTGACATATTCTGAATTGCACTATATTCACTTTCGTGATTTCGCCAAGATCCAGGTGTTATTAATGTGCCACTGCTATCAATTACATCGAATGTTCCTGGGGGAGTATATCTTTCTGGAGAGCTTTTTCTAAGGAAGTTATGTATAAGTACACAAGTCATTGTAATTTCTGAAACAGTACTCGGGTCTAAATCAATTGGGCGACGGTAAATTCGAAATATTGAAGTTAAAACTCCAAACGTGTTTTCCACTACTACTCGAGCTCTAGATAAACATTGATTGAATATTCTTTTTGGTGAACCGACGTTATGCTGTCCTGGGTAGGGTTTCATAACATGCATGCTCAGTGCAAAAGCACCATCTCCTATAAAAACGTATGGCACATTAATTTCCGATCCAGGAAGGGGGCATGCTGAAGGAAAATCAATTTCAGTTTTACTGATTTTCTGCCATAGTAATGAATTATTAAAAACGCCTCCATCACTTATTCTCCCTTGGCATCCTATGTCTGCAAATATAAATTTGTAATTGGCATCTACTAATGCCAAAAGAACGATGCTAAACGTTTTCTTATAATTAAAATACTCAGTTCCGCTATGAGGTGGACTTTCTATAAGAATATGTTTCCCATCTATAGAACCGAGACAGTGTGGGAATTTTCTTCGATATCCTCGTTCTATAGTCATCCACGCATCTGCTGTTGGTGGCATCTGAAATCAAAATAAAAAATAAAAGATAAGATAACCAAACAAAACAACTAGTTTTATAGATTTGTTTATTACAGGAAGCCCCATCGCAAGAAATAGCGAATGTAACTGAAGCTATAGAAGAAGAAAAAGATAACAATTTAGGGCAGGCATCAACTTCTTCCCATACGCCAACACCTGTGACTTCTCGTCGTCGTCCTGCTACCGATTCAGCGGAGCGGCAGATGTCGGCAGCTTTTGGGCAGTTAACGAATATTTTAGCTAAAAGACAAAAGGAACATCCACCGCCATCAAAGGAAGACGACGACTGCGACCTTTATGCAAAATTGTTAGCAAAAAAATTACGAGAACTTCCCCCTGACGATAGAAAACTGTTTATGTATGATATAGACACTTTATTTATTAATAGAATTAAGGGAAATCTCATTAGGCATCCCACCCTATCTTCTTATAACTCAGTCCCATACCAATTGTATTCCGTACCAAATGCTTCACCAATTTCAAACCGGCCATCAACATCCAAAACGTCATATTCCGAACCAAATGCATCACCGTTTTCAGACAGACCGTCATCTTTTCAATCATCGTATTCCGAACCGTTGCCAAATGCATCACCGAGTTCCAACCAGCCATCAACCTCCCAAACTTCACATTCTGAACCCTTGCCTATTGCATCACCAACTCTAAACGAACCACCCACCGCAGTTAATTATACAACCCCCACAATTCACATTATATCTAACGAATTATTTGCACCACGAACAGCACACAACATTGTTAATGAAGCATTACTTAAAGCCTACGAAAACTTTGATCACCGTCAAAATTGAATATGTTTAGATATAGGTACATAGGTTTTTGAATAAATATATTTTTTATTAACAATATTTTTACGGTCTTTTATTGTACACATACCTTACCTTTATTTCATTCCTCAGAACTTCGTTAATAGCTTTGCAGACTTCTTTTACTATTTTTGATATTAATTGCGTTGATACTTTGAATAAATAGTGTAAACTTTTGTAACTGTCACCAGTTGCGATGAATCTTAATGTTATCGCTAGACGATATTTTGCTGGTATGGCGTCTCTAAAGTCCGTATCTTGCTTCGAAATTAGAGGAGAAATTTTGTCTAGCAAATATTCAAAATCTGCAAAACTCATACGGCAGAAGTTATGGAACTCTCCTGATGGTTCATGAAGAAGCTCACAAAATTTTTCGTCCATAAATTTTCTAAAACAAAAAAAAAAAAAACCTAAAATTGAACACGCTGTAATTAAATGCTATTTTGTATTACTAGGTACGAGACTGCAGTTACCTTGTACGATTTTTGTGAATTTTGATCATCCACCATCGTCTTCGTTTTCTTCTTTTCACTTCACTGTTCTTTTGCTTGAATTTAAAATAAAGATAAGTCAACCCGAAACTAATAGCTGCCACAAGCTCGTCGTCAGCCATGTTTGACGATCCGAAATATACTGGCCCGTTCGCCAAGCTTGAGGACAGTTGTTTGTGTTGGATGTTTGTGTTTGGTGTTTGTTATTCGCTGTTCGCTGTTTGGCGTTTGCGACAAACAGCAAGCGTGTGGAGCCGGCTTAAGAAAATAGTATATTGGTAGCACTTATTTAAGTTACTAAACAACTGTCATTTTGTGTCAATTGTCAAAGTTTGTTTTGATAGTGAATTTCCTTGCTGCTTTTATTCATTTTAGAGAGACTATAAAGGTATATTCAATCGCAATAAAATGGTGCAGCAGTGCTATTTGTGTAAAATTTATAAACATCAGGCTGGAGCGGAATCTTTAAAATTTCATTCGTAAGTATACATCTTGTTTATGTTCAGAGGCGTATCATGGCGTCTCATTATCGAGAAACTTGTTGATAGCTTTCGATTTATAACTGTAATATTCGAAATTCTAGCCTTCCCAAGAACCCGGAAAGGAGAAAAAGGTGGCTGTCGGCCCTTGGATTCGAGGAAAACCATCAATTTCCTAAGAGGGTGGAGCTATGTTCCAAGCATTTTGGAGAAAATGCGTTTGTTTATGGAAGTGAGGGACAAGTTGGACAAAAGACACTCTAGCGGGATGCGATTCCTCTCATCTCTCATTCTTTGTTTGATCCTGCAGTAAGCACCAGGTAAACTCTTAATACATAATAGACTAGTTTTTCTAATACAGTAAACAAAAAAGAATAGTTGTATTTAATAATATTTAACAACCACTCATTTTGATTCTGATTCTATCTGCTGTTTAACTTTTCATATAAGATGTTTCTGATCTAGGTATTTCCTAACTTAACTGTTATGGATTTAGGTAAATTTAGCTATAATTAGTGTTATATTTTGGCAATTTCACAGATAATAGACAGATATAAGACATACTCTATAATCTATCAGCAATCAAGAAGAGCTAACATAATATCTGCATCTTATGAGCTGAAATGAAGATGATGCTTATATCTTACATTACATTGCTATGAAAACAGTGACAGTACATTTGATTGATTTGGTTTGTTTAAATCACAATGCATTAAACTGAGTTGCTCATACGTTGGTTAAAACTATAGTTCCTTTTGATTTTTTGTGTATTTTTTATATATGTGCATTGATTTTTATAACTCATACTATTATTTAGTGTTTAATTTCATGAAGTATTTCTATGCATTAGTATCTCACTATGTAGAAGTCCCTAATTTGGTTTTGTATATATATATATATTTATGCTTTATTCTAGTTCAGAATCATCTGTAAGTCCAGAGAAGCAAGAAGACTCGGATTGTATATATATCTGCCATTTCAATCACTTGTGAGGGGACTCCTGCTAAAAAAAGGTAAGTTTAATTTATATCCTCTATCATGTTATTTTGTAGTATATTGAAATTTCTATGAAATTGAACATTTCTGAAGTCCTACATCCATATGGAAGCATTTTATATTTGCTGAATTGATATCGTAGATGGAAAAAATACCACCATTGTAGGTTCAAGTACAACAAGAAGGTATTCAGGAAATTATCTAGGGTTTTGTAATGATTTAAATAGAGCTTACCTCAATCTGTACCATAAAAAAGATGATGAAGTTGAAACTCATTCAGTTTGATATATGCCTTAATATAACCCTTACTAAATGTTTGATCAGTCCTAATCAGCAGTATTCTTTTCATAGCACTTATTTATTTGTTGTTTACAGGTTATTCATGGATGAAGAGATGTATAACTTTCCTGGCTCATCAAATGAAGAGTAAGGCTTATTAAACATTTGTGCTTTTATACTGTTACATAGGAATTAATTTTCTTCTTTGTAGGCAATATGTCCATACTTCCTCAACATTATCAGCATCAGAAAGTGATAGTGCTGCTAAAACTGCTGGAGTACAAGAACATATGCTTGATAAGAAAAAAAGAAAGAGGTGAGAGAAGTTTATCACTTATTCTATATCCTGTAATACATAATACTGCAACATACAGAATGATTGGTTTACAGTTTAATAGGTGGTAAGAGGATTAATAACGTTTGTTTTAGTTTTTAGATAGCCTAGGTTTGTCTTATATTCAAAACTTTGTTCTTATATGACTGCTACTATTTTGGTTATAATTATTATATGTCTATTTAATATGTGTGTACCCAATATGTTTTCATAGTAACACATAAAAATTATATCAAAAGTGATAAACTGCTCGATATATACATTTCAGCTGATACTTAGTGTATTTTTATGAATGAAGATATGAAAATGAGCTATGTGATTATATTAAAACTTATTTGGGGTCTCGATAATCATTCCATGTTCCCTGATTTGTTACATTTTGCAATATATATATATATATATATATATATATATGTATGAATAAAAATAGAACATAATAACTTGGAGTTTCTATTTTAAAGGCTTTTGTATCCTGCCCACTCAATAGAGTTCACGTAAGTATTCCAATTGAACTAGATATTGCACAAATATGAGTAATATATTTGTTAGTACACAACTTCGTACCGTTTTTTTTTTGTGATGCTCTTGATTTAAATACGCTTATTTTGTCACCCTTATACGTATTGTATGCTACGCCTATGTGTAATTGTACCAATGATTATACATACAGTATATTCAGATAAGAGATAGACCGGACATAAACAAGACCACGTGATCATCGAACGCTGTAACATTCGGCAGGGACGTATTAAGAGTCACGCAGTACATATTTTAGATAGTAGATGCTGCTTTGCGTAACTTTGTAGTAAATTAGCACTATTCGATGTGTATACGATTGGTGATGGATATAGGATCATGTGGGGGTGGGGTAAGAAATATATAATGATGTAAATATACATAAGGGTTTCAGAATTTTCGCTTCGATTTCCAGCTTCGGATGCCGCCTGATGTTTGGTGAAATACAGTCGAATATAATCTCAAAATGGCGTTTAAATTAGCCTAAATTAAAAATAATCGTATATCTCTTAAAATTGCTTTTAGAATATTGATTAGTATATTTTTTGATTTCTAGGTAAATATGTAACCAAATTAAAACGTTCAAAACGTAAAAAAATGTGCATGGTTGAACATTGTCAGAAAGTAGATTCTTGAATAGGTTTTGCCAAAATGGGTTCAAAAATGTCAATAATTAATTAAAAAATACAGTAGCTTTATAATTACTTATAACTTACCGAATTTGATGAACGACATCTTTTATTGGAAAGATGAGCTTGATGAGCTTTCATCATCGCTACTGCCTGAAGCACCAACGTCAATAATGAATGGCTCGACTTGTTCCTCTAAAATATTGTCCAGTTCCCACATTCTCTTTTCAACTTTGTCTTTCACGTGCTTAATACAGTTTTCCCATTTTTGCGCTGTTATTAATTCTAGTGCTTCTTTGAAAAGTCCTTTGAGGTCACAAAATTTAAAAGTTGTATTGTGCTTAGCTATATAATTTTTAACCTCTGCCCATATGAGCTCAATGGGATTGAGCTCGCAATGGTATGGAGGTAAACGGAGCACAGTTTTATTTTGACTTGCTGCCATTTCGTCAATGGCGTATTTTTGATATTCCGCCTTGTGATCCTTGACAATTCTTAATAATTGTACTTTCAGCATTGCTTCTTCAAAGTTGATATTTTTCGAGCGGAGCCAATTTTGAACATCAACTTTCCTTGAAGCCGTTGTTGGGACCTTCTCCATTCTTCGAGAATGATAAGGCGCATTATCCAACTCAATTACTGCGTTTTCCTCTAAGTTCGGTAAAATTTTTGAAAACCACTGTTCAAACGATTCGCCATTCATTTCCTCGTGGTAATCTCCAGTTTTCTTAGGCTCAAAGCACCACAGACCGTCAACAACAAATCCATCCTCACTGCCAATATGGCAGATAATGAGCCTTTTCCCTTTACCTGGAAATTGAAGTACTAACTGGTGTAGATTTATTTCAATAAGCGAACCTTTTTCAAATGTTTTCATCACATTCAGCGAAAAAACATTGAGACATGAGTATCAGATTGCTATAATTGGGATTATTTAGTCATATTGAAAGAAAGAATATTGAATGTCGTATGATTACTCAGCGCTTCACAATTTAATTTAAAGTTATAAACCTTTAAAAAATGAATGATCAGGAACCTGAAATACGCGCAAATATTAATATTAACAAATTATAACTTCATAAAGCTTAAAGTATGAATTAAAATGATTAGAAATATTAGGAACGGTACACAATATAAAACTTAGTAACTTTTTTTAAGTTTATAATATTCGACATATTTTAAGGTTATATTAAAAAATTATTGAAATATCGAAAAAACATAAAAACATGGCTTAAAAATGTTCTAACAAATGAAAATGACAATAAAACATCCACGCATTTTATCGAAAGTTATAAAAGTTTTGTTACTTGTTATATGTTTTATCTGCCCCCTGGAATTAATGTTTAGAACCTTGCTCCCAAGGTTTGAAAAACATCCGATTGTTGTCTATTACTCGTATTTACCTGCTGGATTTTTTTATCCGGTGGACAGTCCATCTAGAAAGGCCCTCCTGGATGAAGTTACAGAATCATCAACCCATACTTTACTTGTAGTGTGTCCTGCGTTTACCCACGTTTCATCAAGGTAATAAATCTTCCTGTTTTGATTTCTATATTTCCCAATTTTTGTTAAATAATCCCTCCTCCATAGCACAATTTCTTCTCTATTCAGTAGTAAACTATTACGACCCCGTTTTTTCCATTTGAAATTTAAATGCTTCAGTAACGCATGGAAAGTTGATCGTTTGAAATTTGGCAACGTTGTATCTCCATTTACCTCCTGCAGTACTTTATCTATAGTAGGTATTTCATTCCTAAAGAAGAATTCATGCACTTTCCTCCTAATCGCATGCTTATCAGCTTCATCCAATGATTTAACAATACTTTTGCGATGTTTACTGGTCATTGGCTCAGAAAAGTTGTGATTTTTTTTGTATTGTCTTAACACATTAAACACTGATGCGCGATACACCCCAACTTTGTGAGAAACCTTCACAACAATTTCTTTGATGGTTGATGCCTCGTTCTCCTCGCGCTCGATCTTATATATATTCAAAATGACCTCTTTCATTTCTGCACTCAGGTGTCTTTTTTTACAGCGTTTCCTAGGTGGACTACAGGAGTTTACAACTTCATCGGCAGTATCTGCACTACTGGGCATTTTGCGCAAGCAGTTGATAACAATAACAATCAATAACAAGGTATAACACTAACAACGACAAACTCAACAACTTAATAAGATAACAAACGAAAACGTCCAAAGAAATATCAAATTGCAATGATGCACACGACATACGTAACACGTCTGAACCTGAATGTGACTCTGCCTTGATACGACTACTCTGCCGCTCGGCATAGGCATTTAATTGCGAATTGACCAATGAGGGCTCCTGTTTTACGTCGAGACAGCGGCGTTAGCGTGAAAATCACCCGAACCTTTTGTTTACATCCGGTCTATCTCTTATCTGAATATACTGTAGAGTCTTCGTCTTCAGTGACGTGAGGTTTCACAACCTGAATTCTCATGCGGCGGCCATTTTATTGTTCCCCTCTCATTCCCTCATAGCCCCTCGCCATCACTTTGTGCTTTGTTTATGTCGTCAACGAATCTATATCTAATGTAGTTTTATGAATGACTTGCTGGGTCTATCCTTGTTTCAAAGTCGATGATCCCGACATAACTATGAAATGTAGGTGTAATATTAGGTAGGCCATTTCGTTAGGTTTAGGTTAGCCGATTTTTCGTTAGGTTTAGGTTTGCTTGGTTTTGGTTTGGTTTGGTTTGGTTGGTTGGTTTGGTTTGGTTTGGTTCGGTTCGGTTTGGTATCCTAGACCTTCCTAGATTGAGTCAACATACTTGATGTCATTTCGATGTTGGAAAGGGGGGTGTTTCACGCGGGAGAGTGGACCAGATTTCACAGATGCTCACGAAACGTACTCTAATCCGCTGAATATTGTGATCCCCGAACGAGTCAACCTACTTGACGTCATTTTGTTATTTGCATGTTGGAGTATTTCATTCTCCCATTCTCCCACATGGATCGCATTAAGCAAACGCTCACGAAATGAGCTCTCTTTCCCTCTCCCTGCATTTGTTTGGATCGTTTTTTTCTAATGCAAAATTGATTTTTATTATTAGGAAGTTAATTCAAAACAACCAAATTAATAAAAATGGACAGGAGTGACAGTTGATGTGAAAACCTAGGCAGCTACAGTAGCACCGATGATTAGCACCGACTTGTCACTGGCCAAACATGGCGGCAAATGTCATTCGTCGAATGTTATGTTTTTTTTCTTTTGAAATAGTTTATTTAAACAAAATAATACAAAAAGTATAACCAGTTTTAACAATAATTCCCCAATCAGTGTTTGCAAACACTGGCCCAGAGAATAACAAGACAATAATCAATATCTATGAACTACAGGTTTGCTCTAGCACTGCACAAGTTTCTTCCTGTGGCTGTGGCTCGAAAGGGGCTCATGAATATTTACGGTTGGAAGACAATGGTACGTTTGATTTTCGAATCCTAAGATAATTTAATTGTACAGATAATGGCCCAGAACCACACGGTACACGGTGGACAGACCCGCAGTGATGTGCCCACAACCCAAATCTGCAAAGATGAAGCCTTGCAACAACACCAACAGCTACATCAGAGATAAACCCTGCTACATCGAGGACATTGATTCAGCCTGACTACAAGAATAAGAAGAAGGTTTCGTTGATAATCGGTGGAGCAGCCACTGTCTTTATTGGGAGTGCAATCAAGATGAAATGTCCAGTCAGAAGGTCAGTATCCGTTTATCTATGACTGTTTCCTTCGTCTTAATTTCTACCAATCATAAACGAGCAATTTTCAATTGAAAATGGATTCTAGATTGAAAAATTGTATGACAACACCTGTCAGCAGTTTTTTTGATTTACCCAATGCAAAACTTGATAGCTGTTGTCACAAAAAATTACTGTACCTTTGATAACAAGTAATTCGGGTCTTCTAGGACACCAGAAATAATCTGTTACTCATGAAATAGTCCTGTGAAATTCCATTCGGACATCGTAACTTTTTCCTGTGAAAAAAATCGAAAAAACAGAATGCAAAGTAATATTTTGCACATCATCGATAATAGCTCAAGTTCGACTGAATATTTACAAAGTTTTTGAATCCCAAAAGTATACTCTCTCGTCTCTAGGGTGTAAACCAAAGTTTAATACTGTAATTAGAATAATTTTTTTCAGTGCTCCCTTTGAAAGGGAATTATATAAATATTTTTGAAACAAAAATGCAAATGTTTTGTCCATGATTACTCAGGTCACCCTCAGAGACTATGGGAATTTATATTTTTACACATTTCACAATCCACAATGCATTCAAGCTTTCAAACAATTGTTGATGTAACGATAATGGAACTTTTTATTTTCAGCTTTGCAAAAAAAGAGCAGTTAAGGACGAAGTTTGACTGTAGATCCCAAAACATTTGAATCGAGTAGAAAACCGTCGGAGACGCGATGAAAGATGTGTTGGATAATGGAAAGTGAGCATGTGGTATGTCACTGTACTGTCACTGTAGATTCTTGATTGAATTACAAAGATTGAATTGAAAAAACGAGCTTCCTTAATATTTCACTATTAAAGAATCTGACAAGGATGGTTGGTTGCTCTTTTCTTTGAATAATTTATTTAGTGATGGAAAATTCTCGAGAACAGAAAAATTGAGAATATTCTCGAGAATAGTCTCAATAATGAGAATTTTCTGATAACGACCTACTCGAAGTAGTAAAACCTACACAAAATCTAAGATTTTATTGAACATTAACAAAAACAAAATATAATAACTTATGTTCCATCTTTGGAGATAAATAAAAAAATATTCTCGTTATTTCAAAAACATAAAAAACAAAGTAAAAAGTTGAACAGAATTAAACAAAATGGAGTTAAGAAAATGAATCTGAGTCAGAAAAAATTTCCAGATCAGTTTTCATTCTCTGACGCCTCCGACTCATCACCATCGTCAGACTCCAATATCATTCTCACTGCCTCTATTTTTTCAAGACTCTCCTTCGACTGGCAGTGCGAAGTAGAAGGGTTCTCTTCTTCATATTTGGACCGTTTGGACATCGCTGATACCTGGTCCTGGTCCAATAGTTTTAAATTATGAGCTATGAAAGTAACTTTACCGGCTCGCTCAGCTGTCAGTCGGTTTCTTTTTGAAGAGTGTATGAAACCATATGTACTGAAACTTCTTTCGGTAGCCGCGCTAGTCGCAGGCATTCCCAGAATTTGAACCGCTAATTTACTTAGTTTTGTTCCAAAACAGGTTCCTTTCCACCAAATTTCCGGCTCTAAAGTATCGATGGACCTTAGAACGTACGGTTTTGCAAATAATCCTTCTTTAGATCTGTAATACGCCAATTCTGCCATTATACTTGCTGCGTCTTCTGGGTATTGTGAGTTAGCCATATTATCAATAAACTCAGTACCATGAATTTGCTCCTCATTGGTCAAATGAACACCATTAAAACGAGGGTCTAATATATTAGCTGCCAAATGTATTGGGTTTATGACAATACACTTTCTTTTTACTAAAAATTCCTGTAAATTTTGCTCTTCTTGCTTTGTAAGGGGACTTGAAGGTAACACTGTTTGAAAATGTTTTTCCAAACTATAGAAATATTCTACTACTTGACTTAGTTTTGGCTTGTCTGACTCTAGTTTGGTTATGTATTCAACAATGGGGTTAATTAAATTGAACAGTTTTAACACTCTTACCCAAAATACAGCTTCATCTAAAACTAATCTTTCTACTTGCTTACTCAATATAGTATCCACAGTTTCACAAACTGCTAAAGCTTTAAGGGCATATTTGGTATCAAGCAGACTTTTCAAGCTGTGGGTAATTGATCCCCATCGAGTTTTGACGGGTAACTTTAGCGATATTGGTACAGATGTCCCCTTTGTTTCAGTCTGGATCTTTTTGAAAGTGGCTAGTGAAAGATGAGAATTATTAATTTCCTTAACGATACTTTTAACATCGTCCTCTATCGAAGCCATAGTTCGCATTTTTGAGATGTCTCCTATTAATAAGTTAAGTGTGTGGGCGACGCAACCGTAAACAGATATATGTTTATATTTTTCGTGAATATTGTTCCTGGCTTTCACCATTGCACTGGCGTTGTCCGTCACTAGAGCACTAAATTTTTCTGGTCCTATTTCTGTTAGTACCTCTTCTATTTTTTCGGCCATGTACTCTGCAGTATGTCGATTTGTGTCAGTAGTGAAAGTTTTGAAGAAAATAGGTGTGGGAGTGGTGATAATAAAGTTAATAATGGATTCGTTTCTAGTGTTGCTCCAACCATCGCACTGCATTGCGAATAAAGCATTGTCTTCACTTATTTTAATTTGTATGTTGGCTGCGATGCTTTCCTATTCTGTATCTAGAAGTTGATTAGACAAATAATATCGTGAGGGCATTTTAAAGGTTGGCCTTAATGTTTGAAAGAATAACTGCCAATGTTTATTTTCCGAGATTGCAAATGGTGTTCCAGAAGCATAAACTGCTCTTGCAAATAGTTGATCCAACTTTGCTTGCTCCTCTTTATTTGAAAAATCCATAAATCTGCGTAATGTGGAACGAGAGTTTGATGAGTTACCGCCAAAGCTACCTGATATGCTGGCAGCTTTTGTTAAAGTTTCCTCCTCTTCACACTGATCTGAAAAAAATGTTTTATTTTGACTTGATTTTATTTAACTTAAGCAAAAAATATCCTTCCACTGTCCATGTAATAAAGCATACATTTCTAAATTATCCCGGAATATATCCTTTATAGTTAACTCACTATCTATGTTAAAATAAAATTTCTGTTCCATCAGTAACACACAAGCCCGAACACAACAAACTTATACCCCTTGAACTAGCCTTCTTTTCAATATATCCTCCATATACATACCTTTCAAAGATGAAGCTGCAGTACTCGACGGAGATGATACATTTTCTGATCCTACTATTTTAAAGTCTCTCTTAATATTACTGGGACATTTTAAGCACTTCAACAGGTGTTTAGTCATCCTTGTAGCATTTTTTACATATTCACTAGCACAAAATTTGCAGGTATAAACTACTTTTCCTTCAAGTTTTTTCAAGTCAAAATGATTCCACACATTACTTTTTGGTTTGGTTATTTTCCTATCACTCATGATTTTGACGATTTACGTGTTCAACAAACGAAAAATAATTCTAATACTGTCGTTCGGTTGCGATGCTTGCAGGTTATGACAGGAAGAAATACAAATAAACACCTCTAGGATTCCGGGATTCCCCACGCGGTCCGTTTGGCTCGCTAAAAGTAGGTTTCCGACGGTAACGCCCAGCCGGGTAAGGCCGCGTGTAAACCATACTGCTAAAAGCATTTTGAGAAAATTACTGGCGAGAATTTTCTCCACGAGAATATTCTCGTTCTCGAGAATATATGTTTTGAGAATATTCTCGCTCACATCACTAAATTTATTCAATGCCCCGTTAATCTGAGAAGAAAATGTAAAAAGAAATCTGGTGAGTAGATGTATGGAGAAATAACTTTGTTCAGGGTATACAGAATAATTTTTATGGATTCTGAATATGTCAAGGTTTAAAACAATTTCCTCATTGTAGTGTGCAGCAGGACGTGGCGTGTCGGGAAACAAATGCAGAATCATCCGAAGAGTCCGGTACGAAATGAAGAAACTAGCTGGACCAGCTTACAAATGATCTCATCAAGCCACCCGTTTCAAAGAACTTCATTGGATCGCCGTGTCAAACAATAGAATGTGAACTGGTGCTTTCAATATAGGTTGTAAAATGCAGTATTTTATGATATAGGTTTGGTTTGGTTTGGTTTGGGTAATGAATTGTTTGAGCATGGTTAGTGTAACAGCGGTCCTTAACAGAGTACTCCGTGGGCATCAAATCTCAGCTGTACGGGCTCTCTAAAGCGTTCCCCGTTTACCGTCACGATGTTACCATCTTCATCTTGAAAAAAGTAGGGACCAATATAATCCCAACACTCCAAAAGCAACACCAGTATCTGTGACTACAGGAATCCTCCTAATTAAGTTATTCCTTGAACGAGTCAACCTACTTGACATCATTTTAATGCAGCTTGATAGGGTGTTTTACTCTCCTGCATAGATCACATTTTGCAGATGCTCTCACTAAGGCCCGTATCGTCAGTCGTCCCTACAATAATTGTAGGGCGCGTTTATGGCCTCCTTGATTGTCATAGTTTTATACTTCTCCGTGTCAACGCTCTATTTTGAGGTTATGCCACACACATCTATTTTCGGGTTCGGTTCCGGTTCGGTTCGGTTTTTATCAGCCTGAAATTCCCTACAATTTAAAAGGAAAACATATCTTCACAATAGGAGAGCGCTGACGCTGACACGGGACGAGTGTAATCTAGAAATTTTTGAAGGAGATAAAAGAGTATGACAATCTAGGAGGCCATAAACGCGCCCTACAATTGTAGGGACGACTGACGATACGGGCCTAAATGTATCTCAATTTGCCCAATCAGGTTATTTCCTAGAGTGAGTCAACCTACTTGATGTCATTTCAATGTTGCAAGGTGTGGTGTTTCACGCTCCTGAGCTCCCATATTTCACAGATGCCCCCGAAATGCATTCTTATCTGCTGAATATTATGATTCCCGAACGAGTCAACCTACTTGACGTCATTTTGTTATTGCATGTTGTGAAGTTTCACTATTTTGGATGGATCACATTTCGCAGTCGCTCACGATATGTATCCTAATTCGCCCAATCACGTTATTCCTAGATTGAGTCAACCTACTTGATGTCATTTCGATGTTGGAAAGGGGGGTGTTTCACGCGGGACAGTGGACCAGATTTCACAGATGCTCACGAAACGTACTCTACTCCGCTGAATATTGTGATCCCCGAACGAGTCAACCTACTTGACGCCGGGTCGGTTCCGGGGTGGAGTGAAAGAGAGTAACAGTAGTGATGAGTATGCCCAAATTAAATAGAATCAATAACTCGTAATGTGATTCAAACTACAAAAAAAAAGTTGTTTGGAAAAGCCTTTAAGGATGACCAAAATTTTATGGATCTAGGAGCCCTTTCTTGGCTCAGCTTAGAATTAGAAGACGAAAAGCGTATTGTTTTTATTATTCAATGCTGTGCTCGCGGTGACAGCGACAATGTTCGGCAGAATGAAAATACCTACTTAACAAGATTGTGACGGATATTAAAAACTAAGTTTTTGAATCCACTATTATAATTTGATCTCCCGACATAAAACTAAAAAAGGGGAGAAAAAGAAGTAAGATCACAAAGGTAGTTGATACCTACAATATCAAATATGCTGATATTAATGAAAATGACATTTAGTCGATTTGAGATTATAAACCATTTGAATTTCAAACTGACAATTATCTTTTGATTTGTTAAATGATGACAGCGTCACATCTGAGTCCTTGCCAGGCCTCAGATGACCCGACATGACACAGATTTCACTATAGAAACGACGCTTACATTCCACTATCTGTCCAAGGATATTTCCCTTTTTATCTAAACACTAAGCAGTTCACTTCCGACAGAGAGATATGACATGAGATCGCGCGAGAGCGGTAGGGGTATTATGGCATGTTATCTTGCAGACTAGGTAGTGTTTAGTGTGCAAATAATACATTCCACGTTTACTCGCTATGATCGCTGTTTGCTGACATTTTTTTGACATTTCGTAGGTTTTTCTACAGGAGTTAACTCAACACTGCTGTTGTACACTTATTGTGAACTCGTTTTGAAGGTGTACGTGTTGCTTAAACGTCAGCGAACAGCGATCATAGCAAACAAACGTGGAGTGAACTATTTGCACACTAAAAACTACCCAGTCTGCAAGGATGACATTTCGTCGGTTTTTTACTTTTATTAGCTTTTTACATAATAGCCGTGCCGTGCGGGATCGGCAGGGTTATTATATAAAAACCTATATAATGTCAAAAACACCTAGAGAATGTCAAATTGTTGACTAGGTAGGCTAGTGTGCTAATCACAAAATACAAATAGTTCATTCCGCAATTGCTTAAGTGCGCATGAAGTGAACGACAGCTAGTTCCAAGTTTTCTTCTTGTTGTAAAACCTCATAATGTCATAAAAACCTACATAATGTCAACAAATACGACATAAATGTCACTTGTCAAGTTACGTAATAACCCTGCGGGACAGCGGTATTCCACAGCATGCTCCCCAATGTCGGGAAAAGAAAAATCCTTCCTGAGCGTCAACTCGTGAGCACAGTCAGTGAAATACTATGCTCCTTTTTTTTCTTTTCATACTCCAGCTACCACGAAGCAAAAATGCCTAAAAGCGCCCATTGGGTACCGAGGGGCTATAGGGGGATACAGGGGAAAGGGGGAACGCCACACGGACTCTGGCGAGGGAACACGTGTGCATGCAACATGCACACATTCTGGCTCCGCCTACGAGATCTGCCAGGTGGTACCTCCGCGTTCGACAGTCAGAGACCGTCTACCACCTACGGACAATCACAACATCCATAGCCAAGAGAAAAATTTCTCCTGGGACGGGATTCGAACCCGTCTACTACTGCGGCCATCGCTGCTGCCTGCTCCTTGGGAAATGATTCCAAATTCTGACAGCTGTTGACGTATATCAAAAAATATGTGAATCCATCTATATTTTCAGCAAAATATAATGTGTTCCTAAGCAGGTTGTTCATGCCATTTCATCACACAGTTAATTTTGCCTTTAGACAAAAGACTCTGACGTCAAGGCTCTGTACTTTTTTTCGAGAATGACTCGGGGAACAAGTTTTCTATCAGCAGTGTTCAGGAATATATAGTTTCCAGAAAAGTAATAGAATCTCGCCCACTGTTTATCAGGGGAACGATGTCATTCTGTGGGCGGATTTCTGCGGCAAAGGGATATTTTTTTCATCATTGTGTGCTGTCAGAAGTGAGATCCTGTTCAATGATCTCATCTGCAATCTTCCAATGTGCGCCAGCCCTTAAATACTACTAGTTCACCAACCACCTGTTGTGTTAGATTAACTTCAGTCCACTGTTCCAACGGTGGTTTGGGGTGATGTCAGTTCAGTTTTTCTGATCCACACAAAATTATCTTGCTGTGAAATTATTATGGAGCGGATAATCGAAGACTTTTTTATGGAAGCGGACAAAATCATGGAGCAAGCCACTCAGAGTAAATATAGTTGTAGTCACCGTTCTTGGTGGGTCAAACTACCAATATCCCTTTACATATCTCCATCTCCCTCGTACATATACATGCAACCTACCCCTGTGTGTGAACGTTTGTTCGGTGAGCTCAATGACATACGTTTGTTAGTTGTGTCTCCGTCTCCAAAACTTTGTCGTTACGTATGAGTGCCCTTCAATCATATTTGTCAGAGTGACAACTTACTTGACATCGGCGTGCAATTTGAATTGCCCTGTTATCAAACTTCAATATATAATTGTACAATGCCGGAAATACGATCAATGGAGAAGGCCAACAGCTTGTGCTAAATTTATTAGAGTATTTCCATGAAGAGAATGAAAACAGCTGGTTGGAAAATTATTTTATTATCAGTTAGGAAAATTAAGATCCGCCCATGGTACGGAGACTCGATGGGTTTACTTATTTCATATGGCGTTGATGTCAGTGACTACAACTATACCTATTACTTTGTTAGATTTGACTGATAAATTTACTTTTTTTGATCAATTCTATACTACTATGGACTAGAAATAGTTTTTAAGGAGGTGGGACAACCAGGCAGGACAACGGCAGGCAAGAGAATTCAGAAAAAGAATAGAAAGCACTTATACAGGGAGTTTCAGAAAGACATGCCAATATTTCTAGGGTAGAAAGTAAATCCAAAAATAACAGAAAAAGGTGTATCCTAGTTCTGATTGGTAGGTATTAGGCAGTTCCAAAATCGGATTAACAATGTGTCCTTAAGCTCCTCATAGTAGTCGTGGTACCCTGTACTTAGTTTTCCGCCTATGCAGCTGCTTCAGTCTATAAAAATGAAGTTGATTCTGTATTTCTCACGCAATGCTGTCCTAATGTTCGTAAAGGCACAAGTTAGCTCTTAGAAAGAAGTTAGCTGTGAACATGTATATCAAAAAATTAAATGACTCTCTCTCTCTCTCCCTGTATCACTGCTATGACTAATCCCACGTGGATGACGATATTGACTTTTTCCACATTCAACCCATAACAGCATGGCGACATGCGACTGTTGGACATATTTCTAAATTTAAAGGGTGAATTTACAATTTTCAAAGATTGATAGTGTCCGTGCAAGAGGGATGTCCGTATAAAACAAAAACCATGTTTCTAATGAAAACGGAATGTATTAAAGATACTAGAACATTTAAAACGTATATGTATATGAATGTTTTTAAAATAAGCAAAAAACTTAAAATTAAAAAAAAGGTTTGTTACCTTTCGATATTTACAAAGTATGTACATACATACAAACAGGTATGTATAATATAATACGTATGTACCTTCATATTTGTAGTAACACTAAAAAATGGAATAAAAAATCAGTTTAACGCGCAAAAAATCATGTACTGTCACCTCCTCTTTTTCTTTGAAATGGCGTCTTGAAATCGTTTTTCTAATTTAGAAAGAATCTCCAGATACTGATTTTCGACCAAACTTTTGAGCTGCTTGGTGAGAGAAATAGCTTTACCATAATTTGGAATAGCTTCTGTGGGTTCCGAACCTCATCAACATCAGAATCTTCGGAAAGTTCTTGTATTTCAACCGGATTTTCAATTTCTTGGCCTGAATCTGGATCTTCAGCATATAAACTTTCATCTAGGTTCTAAAAATCATAAAGGTATCCATCATCAGTTAGTTTCAATAAGTTCTTATTTTTGATGATATCTGAAAATACATTAGGTGGTAACGCATCTTCTGGGTCAGGTGTATCAGGCTCATTTAACTAGTCTCCACTTTGCATGCTTAAATCCTGCTTTGCGGAAGCAATTTTGCACCGTTTCTTTGGTTACTTGGTTCCAAGACGTAATTTTCTTTATTAACTCAAAAGCGTACCAGCAGTTTCAATATTTACTAGCAGGTGTTTGGGTATTAGACTTCGGTAATAAGTTTTAAATTTGTTTATAATCCCTTGGTCAAGAGTCGTTGGCAAGCCGATGTACAATTATTGGGCAAAAATAAGATTTTTATATTATTTAAGCGAATGTCTTTTGAAAGAGATCCTGCATTGTCTAGAAAATATAAAATGTTTCTTTTTTCTTTAGCCATTTTCTAATTTAGGCCTTGCAACCACTCTGTCATAATTTGTCTTGTCATCCAAGCTTTCTTATAGCATTTCCAAGTTACAAGCAGGTCATTTACGTTTTTTTAAATGTCTGGGTTTAGCTGCCTTACCCAATGTCTAGGAGTTTTTCTTTTTCACCCGCCATATTTACATAGTGCAAAATTGTAAACCTATCTTTGGGATACTTACCCCCGACACATTTTTTCGATCTATTAACTGATCGAATCAAAGACTCGCACTGAAAACCGTACAATAACACAATTTTTTTTCCAAATGGAGATAAGCGATAAGAGTAGTAAACAAAAACGCTAAGATTTTGCACGGTAGTGGTCAAGAATATCAAAAAATCCGTGTAATATCTAACATTCTTATTTTTTTTTTAGTTTTTAATCTTTTACCATTTCTTTTATTATGCAACTTTTATATAGGTGATTTTTGATTTATCAACTCCTTTTGACGAGTCCTACAAGCAGTTAAAATAAATGACTCAACTTTGAAAACACCCTGTATAACATAACCTTTTTTCTTTCTACCATCTAAGTCTCTACGATGCTCGAGTAGCTCCCCATTTAGCTCTCCTACTACAATCCGGGTAATCGCTCTTGGATACGTACTAAGATGTGAAGTCGCGGCGAACGTTTTTGTCACTGTCATATTTTCAAATAAAAAAAAGTGACAAAAAATCCGTCGGTAAATGTTACAGTCTCACAAAAAGGAGGGTCAAGATCCGTGAGGCAGACCATTCCTATGCATTTTTCGACGCTGCATCCGAATCTGGGATCAGAAAAGTTCCTAGACGTCTAGAATTTACCAAGCTTTGTTATGAATTATTGTTGATACCCCACACATCGTTTTATTCTATTTGGAGCTCGAATATTCCTAGCTGAAAATTTCTTCATATTTTTCGATTTATTCTTGTTGGCATCGATAAAACTTCTTCCTGATAAGGCACACTGCGAACAAAAACATGTTGGTCGCCATATAATCATCAGATTTCCATCTATCATATTTTTCTACAGATTCAGTGATTGCCTATATGGCTTCTCAAGAGGATATTCACTTATCTAGACATAAAATCTTTATTTACATCGCTGCAAAAACGGTCAACAGCTACTGGAATTACGTAGTGAAGGAGATGGCAAAGAAGGAAAAGGCTGGGCACAAACTGGATGCGGATGTGGAAGCTTTAAAGATTCAGAAGTCGTTATAATAAAAGATGTCTCAATTTTTTCACAATGATCTAACCACATTCCATAATTTCAGAGAAAAAAGATGAAAAACTCGAAGTAAGAAAGATATTATGTACTTTAAGTTGGGTGCTATAGCGAAAAACCTGGTACTATCACATACTCAAATGAACTTGAACTCCGTTGATTGAAAGAGCCATCGACGAGGTAATAATTGGTTATTGTTTTAATCCTGTTGCCTACTTTACTTACTTGTATGAGTACGCTTGTCTCCCAAAACGTCTCTGTGGTAACTTGACAAACTGAATATCGACCTCAACACAACTTACCATCATCAACAGGCGTTTGTTGGTTAAGATTAGATTAACATCTTTTTCTTAGTAACCTTTGATATGAACTCCATTAAGCCATAGGTTTTGTTAGACAAGATGTTATGGGTTTTAGACCCTATAACTTATTGTTTATTGCTTAACTTACTACTTTGTTTGAACAGAATTAGTTTTTGGATAATTTCTTATGTCCCTGATTGTAATTCAACAGACCTTTTGTAGATTCCAGATGAATTTGGTGAAAAAAGTAGTCTAGTCACTTTCCCAAGGCTAATCAATAGTCATATGGACTTGTACAGATTCAAATCATGCTATATAAAAGATGTCAACGTGCAACAACAAGTGGATCAAGATATATAGAAATGCAAAAGTCCTTGACTTACTCTCTAGATCCTATCAGAGGTAGTCTTAATAAAATCACTGACTATGCTGGAAGACTGGTAACTAAGTAACAAGATAGAATCGAGAACTATGGAAGAAGTAGAAACATTGGATAAGAAGATTGAAAACTTAAATAGGATATAAGTGGATTATAGTTTTTGTATATCACGATACTTTGGAGTCAAACAACCCTACTAATGTAAATGAAGTATTTTTAAAGATTGTCAGGAAATTAAATATTAACATTATAATTGGGAAATTTGTATCGTGTTGTACTTGTTTTTCTGTATTCATTTCTTTTTCTTGTTCAAAAAGTGGCGGCAAGTACAGTGACTATGTACTTCTTACTCAACGCTGTCACAAATCCAGAAAGGATTATGTTCGGCACAAGTTAGTCCCTTTGAGCTAGCTACAAACATTTATAACAGAAAATTAAATGGGTTAATCCAGCCAACAGACCCATATGCAAATAGTCCATACTCCAAAGTCCCCACCCATTTGATCATGTTAACGTTCTTTCCTGTCTAAGTATCGGCCATCTCTCAATGCTGCTGAACCACACCAGTTATAACCACCAGCCACGACACTATAACTCGAGATCGAAAGCCCCGGCGATCACCCATGCCGCCGATGCAGTTAGACGTGGACAAACTTCGGCTTATGTAAATATTTCTCCAGGTTTCACGGACAAATGTACGCGGGAACCTTTGAAGTGTGAAATATGTACTGATAGGCGCGTAAAATTACTGTGGTTGGACTCGTAAAAATATATTGCCGCCAAAAAAATGAGATATACCCTCCCCCACCTCCTACAACTCCTATCCCCAAATTTCAACCTCTACAGATTTTTTTTCTGAAAATGGTCAGAAGCCTCTGAAACGTCAAAAAACTAGCGATTTTAATTTTTTTTCTACTTGTTACCCCTAGCTCCTCCGCCAGTGGACCGATTTCAAAAACTATAAGGCTTTCTCGTCCTTGTCATGGGTAAAAAGTTCATCGAAATCCGAGCAGTTCTTCCCAAGTTATAGGCGGTCCACCGATTAGCGGACAGACAGACAGACAAACACACATCGTTTTTCGTGATGTTCACGTCATATAACATCCAAAAACGATAGTATCTCATTTGTGAACTTTTTCTTGATTACAATACTTCCTCGCCCAGTGGCTTCTACTCTCAAATAATGATTTTATTTAGAGTGTATACATTCTTGGAATGTGAATTGTGTCGAATCTGTTTAGGATCGATAACGGATCGTCAAGTTAGTAATAAAATTAAACTTATTGCAAAGTAGTTTATAAGCATTACGTCGTTTTTCGACAATGTATCAATTGTTACCAAAAATGTGGTGATTCTGAAATTTTCGCGACCGTCCTTTTGTTGCATCTCTTCACCTGTATTATTCTCGCTAGGAAGTAGCTTACACTTTCGAATGTGTCGAACATCTCTTTCATATTCCTGTACAAATGACAGTTTTTTGGCTTTGTTCTTGAAATCATGATGTATTAGTACCTCATACAGTTCTACGAGAATGGTAAAGTCAATTTGCACACTCTGAAGTTTTTTACTTGTGGCGTTAACACGATCCAGTAAACATCCCCAAAACACAGTCATGATGACTGTTCCAAAACCTTCCAGTTTCAGACGAATACCTCTTGCTTCGCATATAACGGCTTTCTTCTGTTGTGTGTCATTTTCGATGGAGACTAACGTTTTATGGATATCATTCTACGATTCGCATAAATTTTTGCATGCGTCTGCACGAGCTGACCAACGTTGATAGACTTTTGACGGTGGGCTTGGAGGAGTTCCCAACGCTGAGTTGACGCTGATATTATACAATTCTTGGAGTAGAGAAAAGAACGAACAAGCCTCTTGGCTGCTTTCAGCTGCACATTCACCTACTAAATTGAGTGAGTGTGCTAAACAGGGAACTTACTCGGCACGAGGATATAATTCCTTTATTTTAGATTGTAGGCACTGATGCGTGCGGGCGAGCGAAGTAGAGGTGGGCGTGTAACGCTTCCTTTCCGCAAAAGTCCAGAAAAGATGGAATGCAATGAAGATTCCAACTTTTCTGCAAAATCACTGAAAGGGGGTTACCATTAGCTTCCGGTAGCTCAGTCGGTGGCATGAAGACATCTACAGGCGTGTAGCTGTGTGTCGACCATGGCATGGCTAGAGGATAGAAGAACAAACAGAACACAAAAATTTAACAGATTTTATTTAACAAAAAAAGCATTTTCATTACATTACAATTTTACAGTTTTAAAGAACAAAATAAGTTTTACATTTTTGGCGCTGCTATAATACTATCAACTTATCTTTCGCTGGTCCATTTTGACTCGACTGAAGCCAGGATGGCCAGGTGCTTGAAGTGGAGGTCCCAGTTATGAGAGCTGACCTCACATATAGTGGCTTCATAACCAGTTGTAGGCGAAGTTGAACTTAAAGGCGATGGCGCTGCCAAGGCACATGCATAGGTGAAGTGATAGGCCAAGCAACGCAAAGTCAAAGACTAAGGCAAAAGGGAAAGAAAAAGAGAAAGAGAAAGGGGGTGGCCCCAATCTGGAAAAGAACCGTGTGCATTAGCAACGTGCCCTAATGGCCAAGGCATTTCCAATCTCAGTCTGCCTCAAAAGAGAACCAACGATTTTCTAGGTTAGAATTACATTATATAGTTTGATAAAATCAAACCGAAAATTGGAAATGCCTTTCATAAAATAAAATCATGAAATAGCAAAAAAAAGCGTAAAACAAGATGGTGGTCATCAAAAATTTCTCCACATGCTTCTGATATAAAAACACAAATATCGAATATTCATAATCAACGTACTTATAATTTCACTGAACTATGAATATATATACACACACAGAGGTAAAATCGATGTGGATCGATTTCCACCTCGATTTGATTAAAGTTATGGCGAATGATCGAAGTAGTCGAAAATGACGTTCGATGGATATTTTAAAATCGTACAAGAAATAAACCACTTACATATCGATTATCTATAAACTACAGGCAGATCCAGCAATAAAACTGTATAGTATTATAAAACTCACCATTTTGTCCTATACGGACACACATTCTACAAAATTCTAGCACATGGTGCTATATGACCTTGTGCTACAGAGAAGAAAATTCTTAGCTCTTGTTCGATCGGCGGCTCAAGTGAAAAGGAAGCGCGAGGAAGATCGCAGATCAGGAACTCCGCATCAAGCGCTCCAAGCGGAAAATTTTCCAAGTAAAGAAGTTAGAGATGGGATTAATGATTTGCGATTCTGAAATGATAATCGAGAAGTGATTTAATAAATACGATCGGACGGTGAAACCGTTACAGGCGGGGGCCGCGGCGTTCGCGTACGACGTACGTCCGTATAGCTTTTTATAGTATTTTTAAGCTGGCGCGTATAACAATATTCTTACTGTATTTAAATGTACGAAAATACGTTATATTTTATTATAAATTACATTATACCGTTGATATACATAGCTATATTTTATACATAAAATGTAGAAGGTGATTTAGTAAGATTATTGTTATATGATATAGTGCAGTGCGGCCCGCCATAATGTGCGCGACTCTTCAGAATATTTAGGTACTCAGTCACTTCTTGATATCATCAGTGGATTTTTTGACATGATTGGCCGCCCCTAATATCTGGACGCCCTAGGCTCATGCCTACAGGGCCTATTGTCAAATCCACCACTGGCTGTCGTAAAATGTAGCAATAACTCAGGATGTGTTGATTTTATCACCATCGGTGGAAATCAAATTCTAAAATAAATCAAAACACTAAGTCGCATCAAAATTGAAAATCAATAATTCTAATCAAAATGAGAACAGAATATTAAATTAAATATTAGAACAGAATCTTAGGTTTGACAATAACCTAACCTATTGTAGAAGTAGTATGTGCTAACGTTTTCTAGTGTAACATATTGGCAACGCGGCAGATTGCATGACCTCCTGCGTCACCGGTCACCGTCGCTAGGAAATGCGGTAATGACCTTCGCTATTTAGCCGGTTTCTATCTCTTTCTAACATGTGTTGATACACACTTCTCGCGCTTGTTTTCTCTGTATATGTAGTTGCATGAGGTCGTGTTTGTTATGTGAAAAATAAATGACGTCTTCTTCGGTCATGTTAACTTCATTTTTAACAATACGTCGAACACATATGGTGTCATAACAAAACGTAGATCGCTACTGTTTCAGTCTTTATCTCTACTGAGTGGAGATATGAATAAATGCTTCTTTGGGAAGCTTTTGCAGGTGTAAGATATTTTAAAGTGTTTCTAAAATATTCGTCAACATGTTTTCTCATTTAAGCTGCGCAGTTAGTTTATCTTCCTTCTTTCATGATTTCAGTAGCAGTGCCTTGTCTTCAGGTTCTGCCATGGTGGCTGCTTCACTATTAAATTCATTTGCCGATTTTATTATGGGCACTGTCTGTTGCGTATTAGACTGTATACAGGGTGTTTCTTACATGAACCGACAAAAAAATATGGGTAATTGGGGACGCTATTTGATGATTTTTGGTCGCAACCGTAATACTCTAAGGGCTACGGTTTCCGAGATATGATTTTTTTCGTTTTTTTTTTGCTGAATTACCAAGAATGGCGCAGAACTATCGTGATAACTTTTTTGCTTGTCGAGATAATAACACAAAATTCGAGTCGATTCTTTAGAGCATACTGAATCAGATGAGATCAATGTTTGTACAAAGCTTCTCTATAAAATGATTTATGACCTTCCAAAGGCGTAAAATAGTGGAGAGTGAATAAACAATTTTAAATTCAAAATTCGAGTACAAAAAACCTGTACCTTTTTTAAAAGTTAGTTTTATTTACAAAAGTTCTGTGATTTATTGCGTTTACAACGAGATACTATACATCATAGAAATAAGATGTTTTGCGGTCGATAGACGAGAAAACAACTGATTAGGTTCAGGAATAAAGAATTTATTTTTTCAATGTTTCACGTTTTAATTTGATGTTAACATATCATAAGGTATTTTCAAAATGACTACCTTCATTTCTGAGTCATGCTCGATATCCTGTTCAGATTTGGACGGTTGCGGTGTGTGTAGCAGGATCTTTTCCTTCATCTGATGAAAGGCAGCTTTAATCTTTTGGATTAGCACCTCTCTGTTGGGCACCTCTGTCACATACACCAATTCCTTCGCTCGACCCCAGACCTAAAAGTCCAAAGGTCCACCCCTACCAATCCAAGCGTTTGAAAACTGTCGAACGGGTTGGACGTAATGTGCGGGGCAGCCATCATGCTGGAAAATAATTGGTACCATCGGGTAAAATTGGTAGCAGCAGATCAGGCAACGCAGTCTGCAGGAATTACAGGTAATTTTCACCATTATCCGGTCTGGCAAAAAATAAGGTGTTATCAGAGTGCGTCCAATAACGCTGGCCCACATGTTGACGCTGAATCGTCTTTGAAATGCGCACTGTCTTTTCTTGTGTGGGTTCTGGTCCCGGTCTGCCCAATAGTATAGATTGTGCAAATTCACGATTCCGTCATGGCTGAAGCTAGACTCATCTGTCCACAAGATCCTCTTTAAAAAGCTACCGTCGTCCACGTCCGTGAGAAGAATGAATAGCAGAACTCCAGCCTTCTCGTACTGTCAGCTTCGTCCAAACCTGTAACATAAATACGCATACGGTTAGCACAACCGCACATGTGTCAAACTTCACAAGGGCTAATGCCTATGACCATAGACTATTTTATGACTATGACTTTGACAAGCTGTATACACGAGTTCATAAGAAATAGGGATTTCAACTCTTATGCTTATGACTGTGATTATGACAAAATGTTGCATAAACCTGACAAAATTAAAATTTCATTACCTTGTACAGGACAATAATGAAATGGATATTTTCTGTTTGCCTGTAACACCGACCAGACTTTTTTCACCGACACAGCAAGTCTTTCAGCCACAACCCGAATACTTGTGGTAGGGTCCGCATCATATGCTCTTAGGATTTGCTCATCAGTAGACACACTGAGTTGTCGACCACTCACTCTAGTCTCTTGAAAATTCACGCTCCCAGCTTCTCTCAGTCGCCGATATGTTGTTGCGAAGGTCCCACGAAGGGTATCTCTGCCAGCAACATATCAGCATATTCCTCGTTACTGAACCTCGGCATTTTGCCACAATGAAACTTGATACTGACGGTAAAAATACTAACAATAACAAAAACAGAGACAACAAAATCAAACGCAAATACACTTCTGGTAGATAGTCAAAGCTCGACTAGTCCTAATTTCGTAATGCGCTCTTTTATCTATGAGATGATGAGGATCGTAATTGAAATGTAATTATCAGGCAAGCTCAGGAATCCAACACGGGCAAGTTTATCTGAAATTAGCGAGCTGCGATACCTGGAATACATACATGTCAGGTTATGGGATTAGACATTAATGGCAGCGGTTTAGAACACTTATCATAAATAGTTTTAAATCATAGCTAAGTAAAATAATTGCTTGTGGAACCAAATACGAGGAACGTTTTTTAAGTTTTGCATATAGAAACATAGTAGGCCGCGCGGATCGAACGTCAGTACTGAATGTTAACCTCACTCTTTAGTAAACTTAAATTCAAAGTTTCACAACAATACGTGCAATGTTCTCACTACAGTGAATTTTTAAGTGTCACAAGTCATTAGAAAAATGGAACTCAACCGAGAACATTTTCGCGCCATGATTTATTACAACGCCACATCAGTCGACAATTTCCCGTTGGTATGGAAAATTCAAACGGGGACGGGTGAGTCTTAGCGACGATCCCAGGGTGGGTGCACCAAAAACGGCAGTCACCCAGGAAAACGTCGATGCTGTGCGCAAACTCATCATTGAAGATAGACATGTGACATATCGCGAGATTGAGGCGTCCTTGAAGATCTCAAAGACCTCAATTCAAAAAATTTTACATGAAGAATTAGGAGTAAGAAAATTAGTTTCTCGTTGGATACCCCAGGTGTTGACTGAAGAGCAGAAAGCAGCCAGGGTTAATTGATGTCAAAAAACGCTTGACCGTTTCAATTCCGGAAACTCAAAAAATGTGTACAGCATTGTTAGTGGTGATGAATCGTGGGTTTACTGTTATGAACCAGAAAATAAAGGACAGTTGGCTGTTTGAGTGTTCCAAGGTGAAGAAAAGCCAACAAAAGTCATCCGTTCTCGAAGTGTTTCGAAAAAGATGGTCGCGACATTTGTGTCAAAAGCGGGTCATATTGCAACAATTCCTCTTAATGAGCAAAGAACTGTTACTGCGGATTGGTATACCATCATTTGTTTGCCAAAAGTCATCACCGAGCTTCGAAAAATCAACCCCGAAAGAAGAATTATCCTCCACCAAGACAATGCAAGCTCGCAAACAGCTCAAAAAACAAGGCAGTATTTAACGGAAGAAAACGTGGAATTATTTGACCATCCTCCATATAGTCCCGATCTAAGTCCTAACGATTTCTTTACTTTCCCGAAAATTAAAAACAGACTGCGTGGTCAAAGGTTCCAGTCACCAGAAGAAGCAATTGACGCATTCAAAAATGCCGTTTTGGATCTGCCAGCAAACGAGTGGAATAAGTGTTTCGAAAGTTGGTTCGAGCGCATGCAGATGTGTATTAATCTTCGTCTAGAATACTTCGAAAAACAATAAAGTCATTTAAAACTACCTACCGTGTTGTTTTATTTCCATATGCAAAACTTAGTACAATAGTTGTAAACCCTTGACATTAATACCCTAAGACGTGTTATGGTAATCCAGGTATCGGATGTCATTAACTTCAAATCCACCTGCATAAGAGGTATTCCTAATCTGTGTACTGCTTGGCCCTTGCTTCATTGTTCTCAACAAGTGGAGGCAGTCATTTCGAAAAGACTGATTCAAATTACATAAAAATGTATAAATCGCACAAAAAATCATTATCTCGACACATTGTTTCCTGTAATTTTGACCACTAAACAAATTATTTCTATGATATATCGTTGGAAAGGCAAAGAAACACAGAACTTTTTGGAGTATCACCAGAGGTATAGTTTTTTGTAATTGAATTTAAAGTTGTTTATTCACCCGGTGCTAATCCAAAAGATTGAAGCTGCCTTTCGTCAGATGAAGGAAAATATCCTGCTACACACACCGCAACCGTCCAAATACGAACAGGATATCGAGCATGACTCAAAAATGAAGGCAGTCATTTTGAAAATACCTTATGATATGTTGTTGAATAAATTCTTTATTCCTGAACCTAATCAGTTGTTTTCTCGTCTATCGACCGCAGAACATCTATTATCTCGTTGTAAACGCAATAAATCACAGAACTTTTGTAAATAAAACTAACTTTTAAAAAAGGTACAGGTTTTTTGTACTCGAATTTTGAATTTAAAATTGTTTATTCACTCTGCGTTATTTTACGACTTTGGAAGGTCATAAGTCATTTTATAGAGAAGCCTTGTACAAACCATTGAATTCATCTGATTCAGTATGCTCTAAGGAATCGACTCGAATTTATTTTGTGTTATTATCTCGACAAGCAAAAAAGTTATCACGATAGTTCTGCGCCATTATTGGTAATTCAGCAAAAAAAAGACGAAAAAAATTATATCTCGGAAACCGTAGCCTTTAGAGTATTACGGTTTCGACCAAAAATCATCAAACAGCGCCCCCAATTGACCATATTTTTTTGTCGGTTCTCGTAAGAAACACTCTGTATTCGTTGATAATAGCATACACTTCGTAGAACATGAAAAAACTGTAATTGCACTACAAATCTTTTTTTGCATGTCATACAATCAAGAACTATGAAAAAAGAAATAATATATACATTTCTAAGTTTTATTGTGTAGAAATACTATACAATTCTTATCACATCAGGATTCAATACCTTTGATCATCACTTACCGTTAGAGACTTAATATTAATACTATAAATTATCAGATCATTTACAAGTATTTTTGGTATAACAGCATCATAACATCTTTGACTGAAAATCAATCATAACAATATTTTTTCTAGCAACAGAACAAAAAAGTGTTGCCTTTAATTTCTGTTGTGTGTAGTATGACAAGAAACGAACGTTTTTGGTGATTTACATAATATACTAAGTGACATATAAATCCGAACACCCAGTTTAAATGGTTTTATTTTAATAAAAGTTGGTGAATGTATTTATCTTACTGTAAATAGCAAGTGAAAAAAAGAAGTGTAGACACTGTGGTTAGGTGTTGTCAGGCATGGCTTCGAGAAGGCCGTACGCAAAGAGCAAGGGGCACTGGACGCCGCCGTAGAACAACAGACCGTGAAGATCGCCGCCTAAGATTATTGGCCTTAAGGGACCGTTTCTCCACTACCAGGTCTATTGCAAATGAATGGTTTGCAGAACATGGAAGACCTATTGGCATGCGAAGTGTTTACCGACGAATGAGAAGTTTTGGCTTGTTTTCATACCGGCCACACTGGGTCCTCCCTTTAACTCGAGAACACCGACGTAATCGCCTTGAGTGGTGCAGACAAAGGTCACTCTGGGATCAGGAATGGAACAGTATTGTCTTTAGTGACAAGTCTCGATTTTGTTTAGGCATGCTCGATGGTCGTGCCAGGGTTAGAAGGCGACGTGGTGAAAGGAGGAATCCACAGTTTTTTGTTAAAAGACATGTTCATCACACTGTTGGAGTTATGGTTTGGGGTGCTATAGCTTATGGTTGCAGGTCACCTTTAATCTTCATCAGAGGTAACATGAACGCGCAGCGTTATATCCACGAAGTTCTAGAACCCCATCTTTTACCCTATCTTGACACCCTGGCAGATCCAACTTTCCAACAAGATAATGCCCGACCACATGTTGCAATAGTCACAATAGACTTCTTTCAACATAATGATGTCACATTGTTACCATGGCCACCAAGATCTCCCGACTTATCCCCAATTGAGCACGTGTGGAATATGATGGGTAGGAGATTGCTCAATTTGCAACGCCCTCCTCAGACTCTAGAAGCACTTCGAGAGGAGTTGGTGGTTGCCTGGAATGAGATACCACAGGAGGACATTGACCACCTGATCAGAAGCATGCCTAGGCGCGTTGGAGAATGCGTAGCACATCAGGGTGCATCCACACATTATTAAAGGTCAAAGGGCTTTAAAGCAGTGCAATCATTTTGAAATTTTTATCATTTACTTATTATGCTTCATTAAGTACTTATACAAAATTTTATTAAAATAAAACCATTTAAACTGGGTGTTCGGATTTATATGTCACTTAGTATATTTTCACTTTAACTGGTCACAAAGTTTCACATCACAGCAATGGTAGTCACGTCTTTATCTACTTTTGGTGTAATCTATTGGTGACCGTGTGATTTAGTAATAAGCATATGTGTGTATGTCAGATAAAATTAAAGTGAAGTTTATATCACAATAGCGCAACTTTTGACGAAAACTTTTAAAGCATTTCCTTAAAATCCTTCGCGGCATTGAGCCACAACTCTAGGGCAGAACTTCTTGGCATATACCATATAAGCAGCCTCAGAGTCAAGGGGCAACTTCTCAACTTTACTATGCTTGTTCCATACATGCACGACGTAGCTGTTCTTCGACATGTTGAAAACGGACCTGGAAAGTAAAACATTATTAGATCTACTGAGCGATTCCAGGAATGATCGATTGTTATGATAATGAGCAGCAATTAACGCTAATGCTGCTTGACTCAAAAGTGCGATGCTGATTGCAACTTGCCAATTATAGGTTCAGCTAAACCGAAACGTCTGATGTATATAATATGATCTATGGTATCCTGAATGTTGAGACGGTTTCTTATCTTTAAGGTGAGAACATAAATCTATAAAATCTATTAAAAGATTCCATTCAGGTCATTTTATTATATCTCTATTCAATTCATGTGTCTATTTATATCTAAAATAAATTGATAGAAGAATAAAAACGTAGGTATAACAAAACTTTCAAACGGTTTATTGTAGTAAAACTATTTTAATCGTTTTCAAACATTCATTTTGAAGATTATCTTGGGCGCTTTCTGTATTACAATATTTATTTTATTAATATTAGAATAAATAAGATTATCGGCAAGCACTAATTTGATGTGGTGCATGAAGTGCCCAAATGAATGAGAACTATTAAAAAGGCTGAAATTCTATATAAACATGTCAAGTTTAAAAGTTTTTTTTCAATATTAATTTATTCTATTTAGGTGTAAATAAAGATACTTGAAATTAAGATAAATACATATAAAAATGGCATATAAAAGAATTCAATTTTCACGAATATGATGGTAAAAAAAGGCAGACTTTCCACCCCCTTTGAAAAGCAAAGAAACTAAGAGATATCTTGAAAGACGAATCGTAAAAAAATACCTAGTAGCGTTTTCGTCGAAGTACATCCGCCATTTTGTCCAAGGTACAGCATAAAAGCGATCTGGTGGGTAAACTTGAAACCCTTGACAGTCTTTGGTACTCATATCTTTGGCTTGTTGTGTGCCACAAATGCGACGCAATAACCTGTAAAATTGTTATTTATGTGGCTAGGGCGTAAAAAGTGTTGGAGTACAAAGTACGAAGCTCCGTACCTGTAAGGCACTGTTCTTACCATAAGCAACCTGATGGCAACTCGACTTCAACCCAATTTCGTTTGAGGTTGTGACAAAAGTCACTAAGTCACTAATGATATACTTACTATAAATAATAGACTATTACTATTTTCAAAAATCTTGACTGAAGGAAATGCATGTAAGTATCGAATTTCACAAATATAATTTAGCCATATCAATCAATCAACATATACAGGCTGTCCCCAGAAGTCGACGTCAAATTGGAACCGAGATAGGCCAAGTCATAATAGTCATAAATTATAGGCTTTAAGAAAAATCGGAAAAATCTACACCCTGTGTAAACAGATTGAGTCTCCGTACCGATGGGCGAATCTTCACATCTGCTACTCTCTCCAGTACGCATGAAGTGGGTAAAAGGGGACCGCTGTTTTCATTCTCTTCCTGGAAATACTCTAATACGTAGCAAGAGCTGTCGGCCTTCTCCATTGATCGTATTTCCGGGCATCGTACAATTTTATATTGAAGATTGATGGAAGGACACTCATACGTAACGACAAGTTTTCGAGACGGAGACACACAACTAAAAAACGTTTGTCTTTGAGCTTACCGAACAAACGTTTACACACAGGGGTAGGTTGCATGTGTATGTATGAGGAAGATGGAGATAGTCTTAATTTAACCCGCCAAGAACGGTGATCACAATTATAGTAATGTGAACTAAAAGATCATTACATGGTGTAGATTTTTCCGATTTTTTTTAAAGCGTGTAATTTGAAAAGTACACGACGTAGATTTTTTATATTTTCCTGGTAACTATTACGACTTGGCCTATCCCACGTTTCCGGCTTAACGTCGACTTCTGGGACACCCTATATGTGTTGAAACTTGCAACACATCATACAATGTGCAATATGGGGAAAGTAACAGCCTTATTACCACAATTAATTTGCTTGTCACACTTTTCTTTGTCCAAATAAATTACTTAAAAAACACAGAAATGCGATGGAGAAGTACTGTTATCGAGAACTTTTTGAGGGCATTATCGGAACATTAGCTGAAGGGTCACAATGATAGAATAGCTTTTGGTGAGAACAGTGACCAGCACTCCAAGCGATATGCTCGTTACTCTCGAGGTACATACAAAACTTTACGCCTATAGGCAAACCAAAAATTTAAAGTATACACATACATAAAATAACTAAATCAACGGTACCAGGAACCGGTTATCGGTAGTTGCCGCCATTGCCTATTAATAAATGCGAACAGTTCTGGTGTTCGGCGAGCATTAAGTTAATTTAATGAGAGCTTAAGTTACCGTCCTAGAGAGTGAAGGAGCCCTTGGGATGAGAAGCGAAACTCAACAATCTGTGAACCAATTCATGCAGCATACTTTACTACACGGTCGTGAAATGCTCACCTGGTGATAACTCCTGGGCCATTATTGCCCCAGTCCCGCCCGTCAAAGTTATCTCTGAGATCTTCAAGGCACGTATTGGCTAGATGATGTCCCAAACCGTCGGGAGAGAAACTCATTACACCAGCCGCGACATTTCTATCAGATTCACAGCCAGCGTAGTTATGAGAAAGTTCTTCTAAGGATTTTATCACTACGACGTCCAAATCAAGGTAAATACCACCGTATTTCCACAGACTTAGGTACCTATAAAGACATATACGATTCCATTTTCAGGCTTGATTTCCTATACTACAAAAATCATTAACAAATAATATACGCTGAGAACTAAATCTGTCTGACGGCTTGAGTTCAATGTGTTCGAGACAGAAGTGTGAATAGACACATATGTTAGAAAGAGATAGAAGCCGGCTGCGTAGCGAAGCTTATCACCGCCTTACCTAGCAACACTGACGCGGCTACCTGCCAATGTGTTACACCAATTCCTCGAAATAAGTTGGATGTTGAAAATATGAATTTGTTTTTTCTCCACGCCCAAATAATGGTTTTATTTTGAGCGTACACATTTTTGAATTGTGACTTTGGTCGAATGTGTTTAGGATCATTCCCGGATCGGTCCTATCGGCGCTCTATTTTAGGTCGAAATGAAATGTCAGGATCGCCACAAATTCTTTGCATCATTGGTTCGCTCAGCAACACCGCATCTCGTACATTCCAAGGTAGGGTTTCCACCTCCATGATCATAGATGAGCGATTTTGGTCAGTGTCCAGCTGGCGCTCATTGGGTAGTGTTGTCCTGCTTCGAAATTGTTTTCACCTGTGTACACGCAGGCAGTAGAAAATGTGTATTGGGTATTTGTTGCATTTTGCGACCGCTCGCTGTAACAATAACTAAGGATGTGTTAATTTTATCACCATCGGTGGAAGTCAAAGACTTAAAATAATACGGAAACACTAAATCGCATCAAATTTGTAAATGAATAATTGTAATCAAAATGAGCACAAAATATCAAATGAAATATTCGAACAGACCTCCTTCTTAGGTTTGACCTATTGTAGACGTATGTACGAACATTTTCTGATGTAAAATATTGGCAACGAGGCAGATTGCATATGCAGTGTGGTGATGACCTTCGCTCTACAGCCGACTTCTATCTCTTTCTAACGAGTGTTGATACACACTTCTCGCGCTTCTCTCGTATACATTGATCTCAAGCCATAAGACAAATTTTGTTTTCCCTGTATATAATTTACAGTTTTAGTTGAATTTGATGCTGGTGTGATCGAATATTTAACCGCTGTACTCCGTAGGGACATCAGGCAACATGATTTTATCTTCTTGCAAAAAATACATTTGCCAGACACTGGCATGATTGAGTTTTGGTTTCCTAGATATAAATAGTTTATTCATCCTATGTACGATCATTTCAGCCCATTGATGTTAAGCATGTTACCGATGTAGAGATGGAATGGAACAAGTTGTATCCTGCAATTTTTTTTTTATACTCCAACTACCACGAAGGCCTAAGGCCTAAGCACCCATTGGGTACCGTGGGGCTATATGGGGGATACATGGGAAAGGGGGGACGCCACACGGACTCTGGCGAGGGAACACGTGTGCATGCAACATGCACACATTCTGGCTCCGCCTACGAGAACCGCCGGGTGGTACCTCCGCGTTCGACAGTCAGAGACCATCTACCACCTACGGACAATCACAACATCCATAGCCAAGAGAAACATTTCTCCTGGGACGGGACTCGAACCCGCACAGCGCACGGCGACTGATCAGGAGACCGAAGAGTCTACTACTGCGGCCACCGCTGCTGCCTAAAACAAACACACAACATCCATGGCGAAGGCGAGATTCGAACTCGCGGCCCGGCCGGCCGGCTGATCAGTAGCACGACACTCTGACCCACGCGGCCAACCGAGGTCCCAGATTTTGTATGGGATATGAAATGAGTAGATCCAGCTAAAGAGATATGATCTGGGTTGTGTTAACTTAGAGGGCCTCGGTGTATTGCGGCTTCTTGGCAAATATGTGTGACTTCAGAGAGCAATGGTTCCACAAAAAAATGGTTGGTGTGGAGTTTGGGTCAACAACATCACTGGGCATTTTGTAATCTTTCTAAAACGTTGACGAGACCATCACCGGTCGTAATAAAGATAACTAATGTCTTTTGGCCCGAATGGCAACGATGTGAAATGTTGCTGCCGCTTGGCGGCGTTTCTGCAGTTGGAGGTCAAACTGCCAAAAGTAGATTAGAAAATGGCAGCTTTGATGATTGATTGATTGATTTCTAAAAATTTCCTTATATTGTGACGTCAATTGACGTGGTCAGCTCATCAGCAATTGACATCTTCGTCTGTGTTTAACCTTAACATAACTAACGACGTCTACTTCTAGCTTTCCAGATTAGACCTTCATTTAATGATATCAACGTGGGCGACATGCGATTGCAGCTGCATAACAGCCCGATTTCACCGATGCGGGGCGAAAAATTTGCGCCTATGGCATAAATACAACCAATTAGTAGACGTTTTTGAAGTAATGGATCTAACGAATATGGTCAATTTCTTGTAAAATGTCCCTCAAACTATAAAAGAATTATACGATTTCTGTAAGATGGGCTCCTAATTCTCATATTAAATCAAGAAATACTTCAAATAACTCTTGATTTAGCTACAAAAACCTATTTTTTCATTTGCACCCGGGCAAAAAATTTGAGAGCCCAGATAGAAATTCCACCAATCGAAAGGAAGGGTTTGCATTATTGTCGCCAATTCGAGGAATCAAAAAGAAGCATTTGTTTTCTAATCGAAGCATGGAGCAAATATACAATAGATTGATATGATAAATATTACGGAGCATGTAATTGAAAATAATAGTGTTACTACTTATTTACCTGAGAGAGATAATTTTGAAAAAAGATATATTTTTAATTCATGTCCATTGAGGTCAGCGACAAAACTTATTTCTTTCTCTTTATAGGTTTTAGTAATTTTACTGACTACCATGCGAAAAATCTTGTTTCTTTCTAATTAGTTTTATGGTCAACACGTGTTTAGCGCCAATTTTCTGGATTATCACAACACCCTCCGCGATCTACGCACACCTTGGCAAGGTAGGGTTAAAAATTGGGTCGTCATTCCACCTCTTTACAGGATTACCTTGCTCACGGAGTCGGTAGATGGCGCAATTCTTCTTTGTCATTCGTCGAATTTACAAGAAATCGACCATATCCATCAGATCCATTACTTCAAGAACTCCTTCTAATTGCAACGAATTAGTAACATGGCGCAAATTTTGATTCCCACGGGTCAATAGTACAATTGGTCAGAAAGCATACGCCATAATGAATCCAATGACAATAGGATTATCTCTCACAGTGGTGTCCTGAATTTGCCACTAAGGTTTTGCATGTATTGCGCCAAATATTAATTATTATACAGCGTGACACAACAGTCCGGGCTCTGTATTTTCCGGCTCTCTCGATAGTCAGCATCAAAAAATAGTTTATCTTGAAATGACCTTGAAGCTGAGGTTTAAGGTCAAATCCAATATCACCACTACTTGTGCAAATTTACTAAAGACCTGACCTTAGCTGTTATTTTCGTCACGATCTCTGTGAGATTTCTGAAAGTTTTCCTAGGTGCACATATTTGACCTTTATTTACCCTACTTGACCACCAGCGATCATCTTGAGCCTTACTGAGCGGAGCCGTGGCAAATGCTTGTTCCGGAAATTGTTGTATCCAGTATACAACTTCTTCCCGTTCAAGTGATTGTACATGCGTTAAGGAATACCTCAGTACCGATTGCCGGGTGGCGGTACAAGTCCGCCAACGGGCCACTTTAGGTCCATTTAATATCATTAACAGTTAAACAGTAGGTGGTAGACAAGGACCAGTCGACCGAGGCGGTACCACCCGCTAGCTTTTTCCAGGGTGTCTGATAAATGTCCTCATGTTTCCACACCTCAGCTATGCAGTCGGTTATCTTCCAAAACAAAGAAATTAATGATGATGGATCCTCGAGCACTAAGAACTCAGGACGTAAACTCACTCCACTCTCGGAATGTCCGGGTGGAGGGTAGGCTCGAGGGAACAACATCGAAGATAAAATTTGTTTTTCGAACATCTGCGGGATTAACAGCAACATTGATGCTGTTCATCACTAGCTGCAATCTAATCCTCCCGCCGTGCTTTTTTTGGCGGAGACAAAAATCCCAGAGTTTGCACCGATTAACCATCTTAACTTCCCAAACTACGAGGTGCACTCCAATCTGGGAAAGAACGGGGGAGTTGTGGCTTTTGTCCGCAGCAGTCTTTCCTGCTCCAGAGATGTTTCTTTGGAATCAGGCCGGAAGGACATTCTGCGGCTTCGCCTCATCTAAAAAACATCATCCAAATTTATCTGCTGCCTTTATCGCTCTCCCTCGGACCGACCATAACTGGGATGACCTACTCGATTACCTCGCCGTCCAGATCGACTTCCTGAACATCAATCACCCCGCTTCAGAGGTAGTTCTTCTCGGTGATTTCAATGCCCATAATGAGCTTCGGTTGGGCTCAAACAAGACCGATGCAGCAGGTCGTGCAGTCGAAGCGTTTGCTCTTACTCAAGGGCTGACTCAGCTGGTGACGAGCCCTACTTTTTTTCCCCGCGTCTCGTCACACGCCAGTAGCCTGCTGGATCTCTTTCTGACCACACATCCTGTCCCTTAAAGCACTGCCGTCCTGTCCGCTGTGGCAGCAGAAACACGTACAGGCCGCAAAACTTGGCATTACGGACATGCCGACTGGGAGGGGCTCAGAGACTTCTTCTTTAGCTTTCCTTGGAGAGATTTCTGTTTCACTGACGCGGATGCGTCGGCTGTCTGTTCTTCGATAACCGAAATTATCCACGTCGGATTGGAGGAATACATCCCTCACACAGTGAATGTGCCTAAACCAGTGTCCAACGGCTGGTTTAACAAATCGTGACAGTGCTCGCTAAAAGAACATCAAGGCACACAGAACCTTCTTACAAAACTCCACTGCAGAGAAGAGACAAGCCGACGTCGAGTCCAGAAACAAATATAATGAAGAGGTTCGCATTGCCAAAAACCAGCACGATATAAAAGTTAGGCACAGGGTAATGTCGCAGCGCAATGGCAGTCGGTCTTTCTGGACGCTGGCCAAGCAGATTGAAAAGAACTTCTCACACTGTAGCCTTCCACCACTTACGTGTCAGGATGGAA